TGTGCCAAGGAATGTTCGACCCGCTTATATGTTCGGCTCGCTTATAAGGTACGTTGTTGTAAATCCGTTTTCGATCACTTTGTTAAGGCACATGTTATTCGCCTAGCCCTCCAACCACCCCCTGGTTCATGCCATGCATATTCCTATCGTCACTAGGTGTTTACCCCGAACAATTATGATCTGGCCTACCGTGTATTCAATATCCCCCTTTCTCTAACTTATTCTCTGCTCTGTTGAACTTCCATCATCTTGGCCTTTTCCAGCGTTTTCGTAAGTCTTGTTTCATGGAAAGTTAAAAACGGGAAAATTGCGGTGGTCCAGCCAGTCGACCAGTTCCAAGTCGTCCCTCATCGAAGAACAAAAGCAACGAGCAGCTGATACAGGAAATGGGAAGCTGGCGGGACTGCTTCTTGACAAGCTGAGACTATTGGTGTGCATATGGACTGATATCCATGCACACCGTCGATCTTTTGCGGACTCCTACTCCCGCGACACCTGATTTCATAACATCATAACTTGTGTTCCAAGTCTTGAAACAAACTACAGAAGAAATCCCAGTGTTGTCCCACGCCCATGCTTATTATCCCCTACATGAGATTCCCGATCCTCTCCCACTCTTCTTTCGCTGATACTGTTCCATATGTCTCTTATGCAACCATGTACTCAGCTCTGGCTATATCCCTTCCCTCTCCATATCAACGCTCACGAGAGAACCTCATACCCAGATCCGCGCTGGTAAGCCGACCGATTCGAAAAGATATAGTAGACGATCAACCCGACGAGAGGGAAGAGGAAGACGATCAAGCACCAGAGAAGCTTGTGTACTGGTGGGCGGCTGGATTTGATGACCTCGACTGTTCAAGCAACATGTCAGCATGTAATTCAGGTAGACGGTGAAGCAGACGTCGAGAACATGGATAGGACCTACCGATCACAATGATATCCAGAACCAAGATAATAAGCCCGATGAGCCCACCACCGGTGCCGTAGTGCCAGCTGCTGTCCAACGATTCAGTAGAAACGGGCGCGGCAAGACCCAGAGGGGCCAGGCACAGATGGAAGAGGATGCTGAAGAGGAGCGAGTTGATAGCCATGATGTGCTGAAGCCCTTGATTTGTGGTATAATGGTATTTGCGTTGAATGATGTTGGTTTTGAGGATGGAGAGAACTAGAAATCAGGTCGTGCTTTTGAAAACAATGGCTTAGAAACAGAGGGGTAACCCGGAAGTTTTGTTCCTGGGGAGGCCGGAGTGACGTCATCACCCGGTCTGGAACATGGTCACCTGGTGCGATATTGCGTAGCATGAACAACACTTCGATTGGATAACTCACGATGGAACTCGCGGGGTTGTTCACCATGCGTGGAACGCCTATTGGGGGTTGCTTGATAAGTTGATTCCCTCAATTTCCCGGTGCTGCGTCCACTATCTACCTTAGAGGCTTAGCGAGTCTCAAGGGATTGTATCTCCTGCTGAGATGCGGAACACCCATAGTCAACAGAAGGAAGACCGGGTGGAATATTTAATTACACCACGATTTATTTACCGAATGATCGTTACTATTCTATAATATTCGCCAGTGGCCTAGGAAATGTTTCTTTCATAAAAGACATTAACTATTTCTTGAGATTCATCAATCTTGATGACTCCGTAGTTTCCGCTACCCTCACATCAACCATGGCACCATCCTCCCAACAATCATCCTGAATCAGGGAGGTTCGTCACGAAATTGCGTCTCCCAGTGGTTGGCTGTTGCTGTCCATGTGCACCCGGTTGCTGCGGGTGGTGTGGCTGCTGCAAATATTGCATCTCATCCTGAACAAATCCGTCTTGCACCCATGACCCGGGATCCGGGATTGTGGTGGGATCCGACCATAAGGGCTTGCGCAATATCTCCGTGATGAGGCCCAGGACGGCCGCAGATACCCAAAAGTCGAGGATTGGGCGGACGATCTTGTACGCGGACAATTCCACCACGCCCCACGCGAGCCTGATATCCTTGATGTCCACCGCCAGGACGAACACGCAGCGCAGCAGCCAAAGGAGGGAGGCGGTGAGTAAGAGGCTTGGGAGCTAAGGAAACGTCAGCCGTTTAAATTCGGATTGTTGACGATCAGGCACGCCGAGAAATGCTTGGTAATATGTACTCACATTTCCAACCTGGTAACGACTCCGGCTCCGGAATTTCACTGCGACATAAATCGCCACACCAACCACCCCCACCGCAAGGAGAACCAGCGTAATGTCAACAATGTAACGGAACCACTCAAAGCGGAAGCCATACCAGCTAGACAAGCTATCAATGCGGTAATTTTCGTTCATGTAGTTGGCCAGGGTCTTGCCGAACCACGTCGCGGCCAGCGCCACGAAGAGCACCGACCCGCAAATCGCATTCAGCTGGAGTGCCTTCCACCACTTTTGTCTCGACCGCACCGCATAGAAGGTGCACATCCCAGCGAGGCAGACCGCCGCGGTGGTGAAGACTGCCGCGGTCGTGGTAAGGAAGGAGGAGATCAAGGCTGTGTACATCGATGCGAGCGCGCCAGGATATATCTCTGACCTGTAAGGCTGGTCCATCGATCCCATATGCCGTAGGCTTGCGGTTATGGAGGGACTGATCGCAGCGGAAACTACGGCCCTTCAACGGGGTGATCAGCAATGATTCATGATTCATTGATTTCTCCTTGTTGCACTATCTGACATAAAATTCAACGACTTACATGATCCAGATGGGTAGCGCTAGGTGCAGGTACACACGGGCGGACCTCACGGGCTGGGATGGCCGGTCGATGGGGGTGTTGCGAAGGTGAAGAGTCCAAAACGCAGTAAGCGGGATGATGGTCACTAGGATCAACGCTGCACTGGTGATCCATGCTGGGAGAGAGTCCAGGGGGTCGTCCATGGTGTTGAAGTGCACACCGTATTCCGACTCATAAACTGAGATGTGCTTGACAAGAAGGTAACTACGAAAAACTGGACTCCTGGAGCGCCACAAGGGACATTTTATAGATTAATTCAACTTTCCCTCATTTCTAGTAAATGACCCCAAAGCGCCGACCCGTTCAGCCTGGCTCAGCCCCAACCGAGTTCCCGACCGAAGTCACCGAGCTCATTTCGGAGATCCGCCTTGGTTCGCTTGCGGGCTGCGGCGTATGAGAAGACGCAGACGCGCGGTTGGATCGAGTGGTCATAAAAGCACAAGGACCCGGCTTCGCTTGGCGCGCAAACAATGATGTTGAGTCGTTGACAAGTCACCACCAGCTGGTCTCTCGAGGGCGAAACGGCGAATTGAACTTGATATAATTGATTGATTAGTGGTTCCGCCCGCCGGGCCACCCTGTATTATAACCTGGAAGTCAGCTTCGCATCGCCCCTTATAACTGCCCCCAATGTGTATTCAAAAGGCCAGCCGTGGGCGTCAACTGTCTGTATTAATGACGTATACCACAAAATCTGCCCGGCCACCCGCGTTCAGAGGAACTCAGGGGTTTGCTCAACGCCTAATTATTTGAACCTCTAATATGTACCCCAGATTTTGGCCTCACGCAGCAAAGCAGGTGAATTTCAACTTAACACCCCAAGCCCCCTCGGCAGTGCTTCCGACGCAAGGTTTCCTCCACTTCGAACCTCATGCAAGGTACCGCGCAGTCGCAGTTCTTGGCATCCGTCTACCCCTTGGCTAAACGAACCAGCCCTGGTTCTGAACAGGCTGAGCCGTCGCGGTTGATTTCCCCGGTTCCCGTCTAGGAAAAAACGCAGCCGTTAATACCGGGGTGGTGTACTTTGTTCCGACTACCGTTGCTACTACTATAGAAGCTTGTTTGCACATCAATGGTTACCTATGTTTCTAAGACAAGGGGCGAACACGTCTCTAGGCTTGGGTTGATTGGGCATGAAGGACAGTAATTATTACCGTGAAACAGATATACACCCTCACGAGGTATATCATGCGTAGAAGCTGGGAAAGTGGGAACAAGGTCAACCTACGTTTCGGGTGGGAGACTACTTCAGGGAACGAATTCCCGTTCTCGAGAGTTTGTCTGACGCTTTCTCAAGTATGTAAGCTATATTTAAGGGGAGATATCAACTTCCAATCATTACCTTGAAGCCGACCTTGTTAGTCGGCCTGCTGGTCTATTGACCGCACATACAAGCCTGACACATACCCAGTTCTGATGTTGCTAATCGGTAGTGGAACGGTGGTGGAGGGTGAGATTTTGGCGGCGGCTGCGGTGGTGATGAGGGAGATGGAGATAGGGGCAAGGAGGAAGATGGATGGCCGGGCTCGGGGGGCGGGTGAGAAGACGGCGGTGAGGAAGATGGCGAAGGTGAAGGTGATGGAGATGAAGGTGGCGGCGAAAAGCCATGCTAAGGGACGGGCCACTGCCTAAGTATGTTACTTTTCTTTCTCCGTTATCTACGTCTCATCAATCCTGATGGCAGAAACAGGCAATGTGCGCGAGAGTGAAGGGGACCGCGACCACGAGCTCACCTTCAATCACGATCCTGTACCAATGCCGACGGTGTTCAACCTACCCCCATTAGAGGGAACTCAGTGGTAGGTGTGTCGTGATGCTTATTATACCTGAACTATGCTGACTATTTGAAGATCTTGCTTTAGACAGACGCAGACTTCGGTCGATTTCTGATTATTTGTTCGATGGTGTCCGCGGCCGTGGCGTTGCACTGGGTGGGTGGTCAAGTTGAGATCTTGATGAGAATGAACAGATCATTCTGCACATTCACCACACAGGTGGGCTGGGAAGTTTGAAAAGAGACAAAGGGGTGGTTTCGGATATCTATCGCTGAGCTTCTTTCCAGAGAAATTATGTCGATTGACAAAGAGAACACTCCGTTCTTTGAACGCTAGGTTCCCCGCCAGCCCAGTTTGACTCATTGAGTGTACACAACGATGCCACTCTCAGTTTTTTCTGCTTTATAAGACGCCAGTTTCTTGACTTAACCATTCGCCAGTTCGGACTTCTCTTCGAGCCCGCAGACTTTGCTCTGCTAATCCCACAGGTTATCACACAAACTAACAATATGGCAGATCCCCTTGGCCCCCTGGACTGCCGCGACAACCCCCTTATCGGGCTTCCCATTGAAGGCCCCCTGGCTGACGAACCCCTTCAGCCACCACCCTCCGTCCTCCAAGCAATTCCCCCCTTCCACCTTCATCAGGGCGACGACTGCTGCAACCACAATCACGACTTTACCGGTCCCGTCTTTGCAGCCCACATCCAACCTCAAAAGCAAGAACAAAATGGACCGTATACTAACCCCCACGAGAACCTCCTTCTCCCCTGCACCAACTGCCATGTTCCTACACCACCCCACAAACTCCACGACCTGCCCTGCGGCGATGTACTCTGCCGACTCTGTCTCGTCGCCCGCGTAGCCCGCGTACAAAAGCGTATCGCCCAGAACCACACCGAGATCCAACGGCTCTCCCACAAAATCCACCACATCGACCGCTACCTCCGCACTATCCAAGCCACCAACCGTTTCACAGGCGACCGTCAGAAACGATACCTCGCCCACCGTCAATTCTACCACCGCACCATCGCCCGCTTAGCCGGCTTCACCTGCTACCATTCCTCACGCGATGTAGAAACCAAAACCGAAGCAGAAACAGAAACAGAAATCGACATCTCCCAAACCCTACACCGTTACCAATCCTGTCTTGGCACCACCGTCTCACGCAACCTCTGGCTGCTGCTCAACTGGCTCGGCGACCTCCCCACAGGTCAACGGGTGTGCGCGTGGCCGGACTGCGGCGCGTATCTTCCGGACTGTTGTCGGTATCAGATGGCCGATAGTATTGGTAGTAGTAAGAAAGGGGAGGTGGGTCTGTGGCGGTGGCATTGTGCTGTGTGTACTGGGAACTCGATGGGGGCGTCGTCGCGGAGGAGGGGGGAGGATCAGGGGGTGTTTCCGTTTTTGAGGAGGGGGACGGTGGAGTTGGCGCCGTGTCGGTAGGGTATAGGAAAGGGCTGTTTATGTTGATATGCCATATTTACTTCGTGTTTATTTCCAGGGTAATTGACTGTAATTGTAGAGAATCTATATGGGTATAGTCCAACTCCTTACCTGACCTAACCAAAACTTCATAAATAGCTGTAATGTTACTTCTTCTTTTCCACCTTCGGCTTACCCTTTTCTGGCGCGGGCTTCGGCTTCTCTGTCGGCACAGGCTTTCCTGGGGCCAGCTTCCCAGTCGATAACCCCAGCAACCCCTTTGCCTTCTCCATAGATGCCCGCTTCGCCTTGTCCTTCTCTCTCTCCTTCTCTTTCTCCTTCTCCTTCTCGTCGCCCACCGGTGCCGTCCACTTCATCTCCTGCCTCAAAAACCCCTTCAACGCCGTCCGAATATCCGACACCTGCCGGTTCCACACCTCCCGGTTCTTCCTCCCATTCTTCTCCTCCAACGTGTGCAGAATCTCCCGTACCTGGCCCTTCTTCTGCCCCAAATACGCCCCAAGCTGCAGCACTCTTCCTTTCCCACACGGAATTGCAGTTGCCCCTTTCTTGGTACTCAACGCCTGCTTTAGCTTGACCATGTTGTCGTGTTCGCGCATGGTGAAGACCACGACAAAGTCAAACGTCGAAAACACATCCTTAGGCAGACCGGTGGATTTGCGGCCCAGCGTGGCCGTCTGCACCTCTCGCTTGAACGGATAGTCAGCCCATTTGTTGTCGAACACGGCCGCCATCGCGGCGGCGTTGGGCGGTTCGCCGCCTGGTCGCCAGGGCAGCTGGAAGGACTTTTCGCTGTAGTCGAGCGTGTCGACCGCGTCGGTGGCGCCGTGTCGGCGTTTTATGAAGAAGCCGGCGGAGCTGATTTGCGCGATGCGCCAGTTATTGGTGTCTTTGTCTTTGTCTTTGGTCGCTTGCTGCAGCGTCAGCTGGCCGATCATCTTGAGCAGCGCTTCGGCGATCACACTGCGGCCTTCGTTGTACGGATCAACAAAGAGAATTCGGTAGTCTTTCCGTGGTGGTGATGGTGACGGTGAAGGGAGCACCGGTCGTTGCCTCACCGATGAAGTGCCGTGGTTGAGACCGCCGTTGCTGTGGTTGCTGTTATTATTCGTCGGCGGTGGCATCAACAGCTTCCTTTCCGGCGGCCGGCCCAGCCTGGGCGTCGACGGCTCGTACGCCTTTTCCACCAGCACAAATACCAGGTAATCGTTGAGCACGCTGCGCTGGTGGTCGATATCCTTCATCAGGTCTTCCACTTTATCGGCGCTGTTATCGACTAGTGAGAACCACACCTGCGCCATCCACGACGCTCGGAACGTCAGGTCCTTCGACCGCGACAGAATCCCCTTGTTGTACCGGTCAAAGACATCGTACACGGCCGCGGCGTTAGTTTGGATCCCCTGGAGCAGCTTGTGCAGATCGCTCAGCTGGCCGGGCAGTAGCTTGCCGTGGCCGCCTCCTTGGCCCGTCTTCCTGTTGTTTTGGTCGGCCTGTTGTAGGAAGTTCTGTAGTCGGACCAAGACCATGTTGATGGCTTCCATCCGTCGCCCCAACCTCTCTAGTTGCACCGGCAAACTCTCGATCTTCTGGTAAATCTCGATGGCCTTTTGGACCAGGTCCACCACCGTCATCACCGTGCCTAAATCCATTTTGGCCAAAGTGTGAAGCCGGACGGCAAGAGTAAAGTGAAAAAAAAACGAAACAAACTCAAACGCGCTGGCGAAGAGACACAGTTTGTGAACGCGGGGGTTTTGGGTAATATCTCAAGTTCTCAAGGCCAGCCGCTGCGAGAAGCAACCAAGTTAAGGTAAGGTAATGAGGTATGACCTCACAGGCTTACAAGCTTGGCATGGAAGGCTGGCTGCAAGGCAACCTCCAAAGTTTGGCGAGGTGAGATTACAAAAGGCTGTGCCGTGGACACTGCAGCGTGAGGCCGACACAGCCCCCCCACAGCCCTCACTAAGACCTATTACCAACCCTAGGACCAGGACGTCTCCCAGCCTAGGACGATCGGATATGTCTAGCCTTATGGGGCTTGGCTCCTCGGACCCTTTCCGCAGGCCCAGTGTGTCTGCCGAGCCCGCCTCCCACGGAAGGTCGCTCCAATGCTTCAGGCCGAACCGCGTAAAGAGTCGAGACAAAGTAAACTACGAGTAGGATATTGTAACATTTCGAAAAGAGCTATCATGTCGCGACGAGTCCCCCTGTTTTGTGCACCGAGACAATCCCTTGTATCCTCAAAAGACAACGAGTCGCGCCGAGGCCCGGGCCTTAAAACCCGTCCGGCCTTGTCCACTTTTCGTCTAACCGTACTTTTTGACCCACCCCGTCTTGTCTAGGTACTGCGTACATACATGCCGAATGAGCCCCGACCTCGCCCAAGGTGTCACGAGATGCTTGACAACGTAGAGAATATCCCGAGCGCACGCATCGCACCTGCAAAGAAGTTGTACAAGGAAATAATGAGCAAAGAAAGCATGGGTAAAGAGCTATGTTAAAACAGACTTCTTTTCCGTGAACCGGTGAAAGGAAATATTTGAAACAACTTTTGAGTTCATCAAGTTTCAACTTCGAAAACAAAGAGAAAAAAACAGGTCAAAAGATCGTAACACATTACCAAGGCCAGGGATGGCTGGGCGGCGTTCCGTTCGACTTTCGACGATGGGAAACGCCATGTTTCCAAGCCATGCCGTCCTTTGACGTATTTTTGCCACAGTCACACACTGAGGCAAAGCCCTCCCTCTCCTCTAAACATGCCCAAATCTCCTTGTTCGAGGCGAACACAAAATAAGCTTCATCACCCAAACAACAGCACTCTCCGAGTTGTAGCATCAAATCTGGAGGACTCCCACGTCCGAGATGCTGCGGTGCCGCTTGTGTAGGTTGGCATCCGTGTGATTGCTCGATGCCTTTCTCTTCTGCGACATGGCCCCAAGAGGGCTGCTCTGCTGGATGTCCGCGTACGAGTTGCTCCCCACCGTGTTGCTTCTCTTCTGCCGCCGGATTGGCGTGATGGGCGCCGTGACCGTTTCCATGCTACCCGTCTTGATGCCGCGGAGCGTGCCATGATAGTACGGACCCGAAAATGCGAGCGACTCTTGGCTCGCCTTGTCACTGTAAATAAGTTGTTGGTTAATCTGATTGCGCCGGAAAGCACCCACGGCGTCCGAGTTGCCGTCAAAATGGGTGAGTAGTGGGTGGACCGCCGCAGAAGACTCGGCCCCCGTGCTGGCGTTGCTGGCAGCCGTCTTAGGCCGGGTAGGGCTGGACATAAGATCTCCGTTCCAAACACCACCCACCTCCTCCTCCACCTCTTCCTCCTCATCATCCGATGAATCATGATTGAAAGTGACAAAGTCCTCGATCTTCAGCAGGCTTTCCTCCTCGTCCTCCTCTTCCTCAATGCCGGCAAAATACGAGTCGTCGCTCTCATCCTCTCCTGGAAACAAGCCAGGCGTGCAGGGGAAGAAGGCCTCGGCAGGGCCAAAGGGCTGCATGTTCATAAAGTCACCGAACGTGTTGGACGAGGCCATGGCACCCATCATGATAAGGCCTGGGTTTCTGACAAGGGGAGATGCGGTTAGATCTTGCCCAAGCGAGAAATCCAGGTGCAGCGATTCCGGGGAGAGGTCGAGTTGGTTAGTCCGGCGAGGTGTGAATATGATCATCTTGCCGGTAGCAGGGTCAACAACCCCGATGGGCTTGTTGTCGGACCTGTCAAGGTTGAACCGGCCGACACGGGGCCGGCCCGGCCGCGATTGAATGGGCTTTTCTGTATCCGAGTCGGAAGAGGGTTCCACCGTGTGGGAGCGGCGCATGTGCTTCTTGCGGATGATCGGCTCAGGGATGTCCTCCTCCGTGGTATCACCGTCCGCTGGCGCAAAAGCATTAGCACCAGAAGCAATGTTTTCTGGCAGGCAAAGTCGAAGCACTCACTCTCATATCCGTCAAGCTCCTGCACTTCCACAGCGACGGTTACAGGCGCTGACATGTCAGCAGGCGGCTGGCTGTGCCTCGGGGTCACTGTTGGCGTAGCATCTTGGTCCTGAGCTGCGTCGTCGTCGTCTACACCTACTTGACGGCCCGCCATGTCGTGCGAGCCGCTATGGAAATCCCAAAAGGAACCGTTCGATGAAGTGTCATCGTCATCCTCAATCTCACGACGGAACCTAGGATCTAGAGAACTTTGCTCCACGAAGATGTCGGGGAAGAAACCGTGGATGTCATCAATCTCGCTAGTCTCACTGGTTGTCGAATCCGAGTCACTATCGGGGACGCCGATGAAGCGAACGTGGCGGCTCGGGGTGACAGAAACCTGGTTCAAGAGATCAAGAGACACGGGCTCGGCGGGAATAAGGTCATCGTTATCAGATGAAAACCCTGCCCAGCTTGCAGCGTCCCCAACCACATCAACGTCTTCCACCTCAGCTTCGTCGTCGTCGTCATCATCATCGTCCTCCTCCACGTCGTTGTCGGCCTCGCTTTCTTCATCCGCGTCGTCGTCTTCGTCGTCCACCACGAGCGACCGAGGAGGATCCGATGCACGCTTGCGCCGCGCATTGGTGATTATGTGCTCCTCCTCGGCCGCAAAAACATGATCCTCGTCATCGTCCTCCGAGTCGCTGAGGTCTTCGACGCCAGAGTAGCCGCTGTCGTCGGAGAGCCCGAGAGATGAGGATGACACGGAATCGCGACGCTTGGGCGCTCGGGCCGGCTTGGATGGTTGTTTTTGGCGGACGTTGCGAGGCATTGTGAAAATTTCAGGGGGTTGCGCAAATCGAATATAGAGTGATGCAAGGGGAGAATTGTTAAGAGCCGGAAGAGCAATTGAAACGATAATCAACTCTCCGTCTCGAAGAAAGTGTTGTTTCGGCCTATGTTGGTGCCGGTGAAGTGTTTCTGTCCTCTTTTTCGCGGGGTGAAACGAGTAATACGGGGTATAGAGAGGTGGTGATGTTTCAAGGTTTGTGTAGAACGTTGTTGTAACGAAGTCGCTTGGGGACCAAGAGATGTGGGCATGCAATAGAACCTGTGGATTTCAGCTCGAGAGCAGACTCTCGATGTCGAGCGGTGCTCGAAACGGTGAAAGTCTGCGAAAACTTCGTCGAAGGGGCGGGCAGAATTGGGAATCTCGTTGAGGCTGCTGGACTGCAGGCGTGCCGGGGGCAATTGGCACGCCCGCAGTGGGCGCTTAGAGCTCAACGACGGCCGACGGCATCTTGAAAATCGACGAAGTTGAATGGGTACGGTACTGAATCTCGGGGATGATAGTGCGACTTCGTTGTCTCGTTGGTGGTTGGGTTGGGTTTGAGGGGAGAAAGAAAGGGAGGGGGAGAAGCGGGCCGTCTGGTGCTTTTGACCAGACTTTTTTTTTTGGCTGCTGCCGCTGCTGCTGCGGCGCTGGTGGGGAATCATGGTGGAGACCAGGGCGGACCTTGGTTCGAAGGGCTCGACTGTCAGTGACTGGCTCGAGCAGTCTGGGCTCTGAACCTCCAATTGGCAATTGGGGCCAGATCTGTGGGGCACTGAGGCACGATCCACCCCTCGCATCAACGACGTCCGGAGCGCCGCAGTCTCTGACAGCTGGCGGACGTGCAGAAAGCGCTGCAGGCAATTGTACTCCTGCAGAAGCCCCCGGTGGTCGACCCCATTTCAATGCGTCAAGCTGGGACGATTTACCGGAACACAGGCCCCCGCCTGGACCCCGTCTCGTCACCGCTCTTTTCCCGCACGGGTTCGACTCGTGGCCGCATCACCATGGCATGTTCCAACAACCTGGAAGACCACATGGGAAACAAAGATCAACAAGCGCAGAAGACATCACCAATTGATAGAAGCCGGCCACGACTTGGCCCTCCTGTGGCAGCATTTTATGTGTACTGGCATCGTCCGTGGTGCCATGGAATCTCGATTAACGGTAACCTCGTGCTCGTGCCGCTGGCCCAAGAAGGACAACAAAATTTCACGTTTGCCGCGTGCCATCCGCAAACGGTCCGCTCAGGGTCTCAAGAGCGGGGCGCCTCGTTCGATTGCCCCGCACTCTAAGAGCTCGCTTGAGCAAGTGCAGCGCAAATGACGAAGTAACGCGTTGATCGTGCTAGGACGACAGTAAATAGGAAGCCCATATGGCTCCTGTGCCGAACCCCTCAGCTTGTCTCCACTGGTTTAATTTCATTCTTTGCCGCCCAGGCCAATGTCGAACGCCACTGGACGTTTATGTACTGCCTCTGGTATGTATCAAATCGAGTAAAGGTCACGGTGGAAGTGGGAAAAATTGGGGGGCTCGGGGGTAACATTGTCTCCACTTGCAGCCGATCATGAAAGGAAAGAATACCCCCAGAAATGGTGGCACGGGTGGGTTTATATCCTGAAAAGTGAAAACAGCGCCGTGGTAGATCCAGCAACCAGCCGCGGTTTCGAACCAAACGGACGGGGCAACACCTCTCGCAACGAGGGATAGCCCGGTGAGAGAAGAGGGGCCTTCACGCCGTGTTCAGCCTTTGCTTCCAGTGGTTGTCCTCTCTTTCTTGAACAGTCTTGTCACCGGCGTTGAGTCATCACCGACCAGGAGTCAACGTGACTCTTCTCTGCCTCTCATTCCTTCGCTGGACAAGAAAATGGAAAGAGCACCTTGGACAGGAAACTGCCGGCTGACGGCATCCTGCTCCTCATTGGCCCTTCAAACTAATGTGTTTTCGGAATCCGTGGCAAGCTGTGGCTTCGAGAATTTTTTCTCTCGAGCTGGGTCCACTACCAACTAAAACTCGAACGCTTGCATTAACCCATCAAATTCAATTATAACCGAGGGGTTGTTTCAGAAATTGCTCAGGCATCGATGCATACGGCACCTGTCCATTGGGTGTATGCAACTGTCTTAAACAAATCCACCTTCTGGATATCGTGAATGCTGAGAACAGGAAGTGGGTGGCGCTGTAACCTCCACGTCTCTTCCCTTCGCGATGTCCTGCATGACGAACCAAAAATGGTCGAATGCCAAGCCGGGAAGGCTGAACCCCTCTGGAGCTTATCTTATCGACCCTTGCTCGCAACCCAGTCGTCCAATCTTTGCAGGGTTGCCGTGGAAACCTGGCCACATCCGGCGCAGCCCAAACAATTTTTGGAGCGCACTTTTCATGACTTGAGCCGCAGGACAAGGGAGCATTTGGCCGTTGAACACGGCCACCCCAAGCCACTGCTGCCATTTTCTATTACACTTCTTACCGTATCCACCAGCCAGGGGCAACAAATCCTTGACTTTCAAACGCTTGCAGTGCATCGTTTGACGACAAGGGTTTTTGTTTTTTCTTCGTCGACTTCAGATGTCTTTCTTGTTTCTCCGTGTTTAACTTCAAGGCTCAGATCGCCAGGACCGGGCGCCATGGAAAAAGCGTCAACCATGCCGGGCCTGACGCCAAAAAACACAAACCTCTTTCAAGTGTTTCTTCGTCTCCGCCCACCACCGGGTGGAGCCGCCAACGCCGGGGAGCGATTTCTAACTGTAGAGCCGGCCGAAGATGACGATACGACGCCAAAACACATCACGTTAAACCCGCCTAACGATAGGCGACGCGCCGTCGAGAAGTTTGCCTTTACTCAAGTTTTTGAGGAGGAAGCAACACAGCTTGATGTCTTCCATTGCACGGGGGTGGCCGACCTGGTCAAGGGCGTATTAGCGCCCACGGGTGGTGATGGGACAGACGCGCTCCTTGCCACGTTGGGTGTTACAGGGTCGGGAAAGGTCAGTTTGGCCAACGTTTGTGTGCTGTGCAAATTGGAAACTGATTCCTGGGCCAATAGTCGCACACTATCCTCGGATCACGATCTCAACGCGGCCTCACCCAGCTCGCACTCGATGTCATATTTCGGTCTCTCGGTGACAACTTGGTCGACTGCGACGCGAATCCGGCCCTGGAACCGTCGATTATTGCATCCGATTCGTCTGAGGCCGCCATATTTTCTGCCCCAGCCTTTCTCGATACTGTATTCACAGACCCATCGACATCTTTCCGCGCAAGCTCTAGGGCCCAGACCCCCATGATTGTAGGATCCTCTCGGTCATCTCCTCCCCAAACGTTTTCTCCGCAGGAACAAGGCCAGAATGGCCCCAGTGGGCCAGACTGTGCCTGGAGGGAAAAGAGTCTACGCATCGTCAGTCGCGAGGACTCAGTGGCGCCATCATCACCCTTAACTCCAGTAATATCAAGCAAGATATGTGATGCTGTGTTGTCGAGTCGGAGCATCCACTTCCACAACACACCTCGGGGATTTTGGCATCGACAACCGCAACAAGCACATGGCGGCCCAGGGGGCAAACAAGCTCCCAAGCATTTCATGGCTCCTACAGAATCCATCCGTCTGAAGAAAGGTACTAAAACTGCATCGCAACCCCAGGGCGAATCCGGAAACCGACCCCAGACGCCATCACGCAAGCTACATCGACCGTCCACCTTCCCGCAACAACCCGACATCGGTGCACTCTCCGTATCTTGCGACCCGTCAGCCGAATATGCCGTTGTCATTTCGATGTACGAGGTATACAACGACCGGATTTTCGATCTACTAACCCCGGCGGTCAAATCAGCAGCCACCAAAGAGTTTCGACGACGCCCACTACTGTTTAAACCCACCGAAGGGTCGCCGGACCGCAAGGTGGTAGCCGGATTGCGAAAGGTGATCTGTGGCAACTTACAGCAAGCATTGATGGTACTCGAAGCGGGTTTACACGAGCGAAGGGTGACCGGGACCGGTAGCAACAGCGTGAGCTCACGCAGTCATGGTTTCTTCTCGGTAGAGGTGAAGAAACGTCTCAAGAGCAACCGGAAATACGGAGCGAACGGGCCCTGGAATGGGAGCGCGCTCACGGTTGTCGACCTTGCTGGGAGCGAGAGGGCCAGAGACGCCAAAACAGCGGGCGCAACGCTGGCCGAGGCGGGCAAGATCAATGAAAGTCTCATGTACTTGGGGCAATGCCTGCAAATGCAGAGCGACGCCTCTCACAAGGACAAGGTATGTCAATGTGTAAGGAGGTGCAAAGTGGACAGCGAAGAATGCGTGCTAATACAGATCGCAGCCCAACTTGGTCCCGTACCGTCAGTGCAAGCTGACCGAGTTGCTCTTCTCCAACTCATATCCGTCTGCTTCTGCCCACGCGTCCGGCAGGCACCGAAACCCGCAAAAGGCCGTCATGATCGTGACCGCAGACCCACACGGCGACTACAACGCGACTTCACAGATTCTCCGTTACGGGGCACTAGCGCGAGAGGTCACAGTGCCCCGCGTCCCGAGCATCACCCAGACGATTCTTGCAGCGACAGCCCAGGCGCCGCCCGCATCATCGTATACCAGTCCTACATCGCCAACACTGACGCGCCCGTTTTCCCCGCCAGGATCGGTCAAGTACCCCAAGCTGCATTCACCGCCCAACATTATGCGGAATATCTCCCCAGTCAGCAGCAACTCTGGTAGCACCAGCGATCTGCATAGAAGTACGATGGAGGCAGCCGCTCTCGAGATCGCGCGCCTATCCGAAGAAGCCGAGTATCTTCGCCAGGCACTCGACTCGGAACGTGCCGCTCGACAGGAAGCAGAATCCCATCTGTTGTCAATGGAGGACCGCATGATCGAGCTGGAGCAGGTGATTCGCGAGGACTGTACCAATGAATTCGAGCAGCGGCTCGATATCGAAATGGCGCGGTGGCGGGCAACAATGCAGGTGGAAATGGAGCGCGGAGAAGAGCATTGGGGCCGGAAGATCGAGGTCTTTGAGCGGAGTCTGGGAATGCAGATGAACGGTGATGAAGATGAGGAGGATGAGGACAAGGAAAACATGCTCGTGGAGGACATCCATCAGGAAAATGAGCGATTGCGCTGGGAGAACGATGCGCTCCGGCGAGAAATCTCCGGGTTTAGCCCCACCAAACGGATGCCCCTTCAGGAGAGGGGTGGCGAGGCAGGACTCAGCGCGAGAACCAGGCCGGCTACAGCGGAGACGGGGAGCCCGCGGACACCGCGTATGACACGGTCCGGTGCAGGATCGCGCGGTGTTGCGCCGCCTGCTCGAGGTAGCCGTACTACTACTGGGGATGATGAACACAGCTTGCTGTCGCGAATGGAGATGTTGCGCGTTAGTGACGCGCCCACGATGACGACGACGACTACAACGACGAAAACCACAAGGACGACCACGGCAAGGGCGGCTACGGCCCGTACGTCAGCAACCGCGACCGCTAGCACTCGAAAAGTGCGCCGGCTCCCGGCTAAGAAGTGGAATGCAGTCAACGATGATGATGATATGTTTTGAGCCATTTTGGTGGGACGCGGTCAGGACTGGGGGAGGGATAGCAGGTATTGGGGGAACGGATAGATTGGACCTTTTGAGGAACTCGGGCTGGTTAGACGGTGGATCTGGCTGGTTCTCGGGCCACAGTTTGGGGCCGAGATACTCGCCCGTCCGGCTTACGGGTTAGGTATTTGGAGTCCGGAGTCCGACCTGCCGCCTCATTCGCGCGTGCGCTTTCTTATGTCTTCTTATTTGTCAAGCCGGTCTAGGAGGTGATTGATGATGGCGATGCTGTTGGGATACCTACGTACTACATATGAGCCTATGAGCCTACGAGAAGATTGTCTAATGATAACGATGTGCTGTTCTATCCTGTCACCTTGCTGTTGGTTGGGCTTTTGGCATAATTTGCTCTGGCCATTATGCTAGGGTAATCCGCTTCGCTCTAGATATTATCGTGGCCTTTGCAGTCTTGCATGGTATTGACAGCCCCGTAAATCGGCGTATGTTCTTTATATCTGTCTACAAATAAATTTACACTAGCCCGCAACTAGGAGCACAACGCACACCTCAGGGCCAGCCCATTGGCTAACGACTCTTCGTCAAACGACAAGTCAGCCCCTGACGCCGTAGCGTATCCCGGAACTCCTCTCCTCGTAATTGGACTCCGGTATGTCCAAAAACGCACCTAGGTCCCAAGAGGATCCTTAGTTCTGCCTCGCCTTAGGTCGATTTCTCGCCCGCGACACAGCTCCTGCCATAGCAACCGGAATGGTCTATGTCCTGGTCAAGCAACCCAGTAACGCAGAACAAAGAGCCCCCCACCTGACTTAGAAGAAAGCCACAGCTTCTCTTCAGAGGCAATATCCGAGTGTTCGTATTAGCCCACGCTTCTCCAAGGATAAACTCCTTATTCCGCTTTCTTAACTCAGCGACACCTCCTAGGGAGACGTGTCGGCGCAAGAGTTAACCACCGGGGTTGAAGCGGTCTCGCAGGCGTTTACCCCACGGAATATGTGTTTAAACGCATGCTTCAAAAACATGCCGTGTTGAAGAAGCCCCAACAATGACGCGCCGCTGCCCACCATTGTGACGGTGAGACGTGGGTTTTGTTTGAACTGGGCAATGATTGGGTCGCATGGGTTATGGGACCAGTTCGATCTCGACGTGATGTGTCCGCGCAGGTGAAGAGTACCATCTCAAAGGCGTCCCAGGCTAAAACGCAAGTGAGGAGACCGTCGTGGGAACTTATCATGTGAGAGGGCGTTATGACCAAACCTTGCGACCCCATCGGGTTGCTTTCTGGAGGGCCGAAGGTATGGGCGTCTTGGGCTCATATTTCTGCTCCAACCGTTTGACCTTGTCCCAGGCGTTGGCCAGTTGTTTCGCCGGCAGGCCTATCCGCTGCGCGGCGGTGACCAGATAGCCGTTGATATAGTCGATTTCGGTCCGTCGCTTGGCCAGAACGTCCTGCCGCATAGAGCTGACGTTGTCGGCCGTGTTATAAGCCACCTTCGTGACGGCGTCGAGCAGATCCTGGTCAGTAATCTCCGCGCTCGCGGGACTCCCGTCATCCTTGGCTCCAGCCGCATCGAGTGCCCGGACGATGGGGCCGGCTTCTTTGAGCAGCTCATCCCGCAAGAATCGCCGGTCCGGGTTGATGAACACATCGCCGTTCTTGCATTCGAAAAGCGCCGTCATGGGGTTGATGACGGCGTTGATGACCAGTTTCTTGAGGCGGGCTTGCCGAATGTCCGCTGGCTGGAGCACCTCGGTGTTGAGGAGCTTGGCGTCCATGAGTTGGGCCACCATTGGATTGACGTCGAGGGGCTCGGAGGGCGGACTGGGGCCAACACGGCCGATGGTCAGCGGCCCGTGGCCGGCGTGGACAAAGGAAAACGGTGACCGAGGATCACTATGGATGCCCGCGCTGCAGATCCCGGCCCAGTAGGTTGGGCGGTGCGTGGGGCTGGGGAATAACCTCTGAGAAACCTCTTCCATAACGCCTGAGTAGCCCGTTAGACTTAGACTTGCAAGGACGCTCGTTCGAACTCAAAACAAGTAGTGGAACATACCCATGCCATTCTGGAGAAACAAAATATGAGAATGTGGCCCGAGCCGGACCCGGATCTCGGCCAGCGCAGCCACGGTAACATGCGCCTTGGTCGCGACAATAAGATGCGAGATCGGAACCCGGCTATTTACCATAACAGCCCGGTACGCTTCGCGATTTTCGAGGCTTCCCGTAAGCAAGAGCTGGAGAAGCTCCGCACGGAAACCGTAAGCCGTGTGGATCTCCTCATCACCCGCGTCCGTCGTGGTAATCCGAGAGATGCGGTGGTCTACCTTGTACCAAGAGGAAACAAGGTCCTCCCGATGGAAGATAAGGGTTGGCGGAGGCTGCTCAGAAGGTCTGTAGAAACCGGCACCGAACTGCTTCTGGAGATAATGTTGTTGTTGCCGGAGGGCGAATGCGACATATTTGCCCAAGTTTCCGACGCCGAGAACGTGAATTCCCTTGTCCATTTTGACCCGGTCATAAACGGGATTGGCTCATGTCTGTGTAGAGGGGTGTTCAACTGTGCCAGGGACGTTCCGGCAAGCTACATATCCTTGGAGCGACGGTGATCAAAGGGGAAAGTTTGCGAAATTGGAGCCAAATCCACACGTTCCCACTATTAATATTTTGCACATATTCAGGGTTAGGGTTTAATGCTGATGTGAACCGTTCTTGCGGAGGTAATCGTGCAGTATTTACCGTATTTAACGTTACACAAGACAACCGCCCAACATCAAGTCCCTTTAAGGTTTACATTCCATGTTTGCAAGTCGTCCTCTATGAGACCCACGGAGGCTCATGCGCCCTGTCCGGCGCCCCAGATCTCAGTCCACCGCTTCGCCTTGCCCCGTAGCGGCCCATCCAGCCGTCCAAACCTCGCCGGCAACCCAGTATTCGCCTCGGGCAGACACAGCCACTCCCTTACACAGTCTGGTACTTCTTCCTTGACATGGCTGATGCAAATCAGCGCCTGCCTTTCCGACAGACCTGTTACTTTAACCCTACCCGCCTTCGCAGCAGAGCTATCCACCACGGTAGCCCCCGCAAGTCCCCCGTCCCCTTGCTTAGTCTCGAGAGAATACACCTTCTCTTCGCCATGCGCCAGGAAGAGCATGCACTTATCCCGCACGGCGTCATCCATACCGCCGAACGCCTCGTCGAGCACCACCACGTCTGGGTGCTTGATGATGGCCCGGAGGAAGAGCAGGATGCGCTGGGCGCTAAAGGATAGCTCGCCAAACATGTAGTCCTTTGCCCATGCCACCGAGTCATCAGCCGTCTCCGACGGCACCGGTGTTCCCGCTGTGGCCTGCTTGCGGTAGGCCGGATTGAGTTCCTGCTCAAACCATCTCAGCGTGGCCTCTACTTGGTCTGTGGCAGCATCGTCCAGCTTCGGCTTGCTACGGAAGGTGTCAGCCCACGCGCTCTCGAGTACCTTGCGGAGTGTCAGGCTGCGTGGCATATGCTGGTGTATCTCCGGACTGGAGTGGCCAATGCGAGATTGGATATCCCAGAAGGTGAGCGGGCGTTCGCCAGAGCCTGGCTCCGGGAGTCTGCTGCGACCGAAAAGCTTGATGGGAAGGGAATACGTCTGGGGGTGGTCGGAGCAGAGGAGTGACACGATGGTGGTCTTGCCAGAGCCGTTGGGCCCAAACACGCCCCATCGCTCGCCTCGTCGAACTGTCCACTGTAGCCCAGTGACAGTCTTGCCGTCTTTCTCCTCGGTCCAGTTCCCCAGGGCGATTCTAGGTCCGTACTGCACTTTACAGCCGTTCATTTCCACCAGAGGCTCGCCTAGCTCTTTGCTCGTCGCAGAGTCCGCAATACCTTGGGTCACGGATATTGAGAAGTCCTCGGCCAAACCCTCGCCAGAAACACCGTCCTTCGTGAGAACCCTACCCATCTCGCTCAGCGCATGCACGGGAAGCGTTTCGTCTTCCGGGAGCTTCCCATTCCGGACTCCCCGCACGTATGTCCTCAGCCCTTCCATAACCACGTCCTTGGTACCCATTGCACCTATTTGGGTATCCGTCCGGAGGTAGATCAAATGTGTAATCCACCCCGGCATGGGGTCCTGCGGCCGAGCACCCAACACCAACCGTGGACTGGCCTTCTCTGCCAGCGAGTGTAGCAACGGACTCAGGCCCGCGACAGTGGGAGGATCCAGCCCCATAAACGGCTCATCGAGCAACAGCACCTCCGGGGTGGTCAAAAGCGCGCGGGCAATGCGGGCTCGCCTGCCCTGTCCGTTGGACAAGAACGTCACAGGCAGATCCAGCAGGCTCTCCAGCCGCAGATCCGCCGTCACACGCTTGAACAACTTCCCATCTACAGTACCATCGTCGCTGCCGCCGACCGGCTTGGACGGGTTCAGCTCCATGTTGCCCAACAGGAAGTCGTGCAGCGAAAAGTCCGTGATCTCCCGCCGCGACTCGTACCGTGCAGACAGGTAGGTAGATGCAGCCGGGCCGAGGCTGCCACCGCCGGTTTGCGAGTCAAACCCGACATACTGGATCGCGCGAGCCGGCGTCCGCAAGCGGTACGGGACGTCTTCCGTGCTCAGATACGGGAACGAACGGGCCGTAGGCGGGAAAGCCAAGTGCTGTCCGCGAAGAATTTGCAGCAGCGTGGTCTTTCCGGACAGGGACGGCCCTACGACGCACCAGTTCTGGGGTGTCGGGCTCCGCGCGGGGAGCTCAAACGTGAGGTCCTTGAAGAGCGCCGGGTTTGCGTGAGCATGGGCGTGAGAGGTGAGGGCCGACACTGTGCCCGGTTGGTTTCGGTAGAAAGTGCCATTAGCGATGCGGATTATGGGCGGCGGGCCCGACGGAAGACGCATCTTGTCAATTGGGCCTTGGCAGTGCGTTGGGAGGCCATCGTGGTGGGAGAAGAGGAGGAGAAGTAGAAAGTATGAGTCGACGAAACGGTCATTGCCAAAAAGAGTTGGAGTGCTTGCAGCTGTCCCCCGAATTCGGCTCGGGGATAAACGAGCGGAAGCCGGCAGGGGTCGTGTATCTTTGATTACGTAAGGTTCTATACTCTCAGTTGATTGTTGGCGCCGTAGCCTGACCCCTGCTGAACGCGAGGCTGCTGGAGCCTGCGCAACACAGCTGCCGGCCCGACCTTGTGGGAGCTCCCCTTCACTTCATTCAACAAACAACTTCAACACCGCCAACTTCCACCACTACAGCGGCCGATCAGACCTCTTGTAAAGCCCGCAGACCACGCATATAGGAACCTATCTTTTCTAGAAAAGACCCCCAACAAACTCGACAAGATGGTGTGTTCCCCTCCCTTTCCTGCCCCTCGTCGACCTCAAATCTCACAGCCTCCAACCCCGCCGAACTATCCCTACCATGCATACCTCCCATACCTACCTACCATAGTAAACTAAACCAACCAACCGACTAACTTTTTCTCCTCCAACCCAGTCCCTCCGCATCGTCCCGGCCGACGCCCACCCCTCCCACTTCAGCCACATCCCCTCCCGCACAGCCGGCGCTCCGTCAGCCCCGGGCCTACACGACACCCTCCGCGCCGGCGTCGGCCCGTCTGCCCTCAACACCCCTGACAACCAGCCGGCGTCGGCCCACCCGCTTGAAGCCCGCCTGAAGGCATGGGAATCGACACGCGAGACGCTGCGCATGGAGACGCTCCGACGGACCTACGGCGTCGCTGAGCCGGTGCGTCGGCAGATGGAGCTCAAGATTGCGCGCGAGGGCCAGTGGAAGCCGATGGCACTTGGTGGGGCGGGTGTGGCCTCGACGGGGCTAGGGATGGGGAGTGTGCACGAGGATATCCTGGCGGGTAAAGACGAGAGCATCACGTGGGAGGATGTGTTTACGGGGGATGAGAGTAAGGCAGCGGTGGGAGTGCATGATGAGATGGAGAAGAAGTTGAAGATGTGAGGGGCGCGATGGATGTGAACGGAGTCAAACGAAGGGGGTTGTTGATTCAGGCAGCCAGCTGACATGAGCGCATAAACAACCCTCACAGACATGCGAGGTACGGAATAGCAGAAACGGCAGTCTGCTCTTAGCATTCGCCGACACCAAACACTGCACTCTGAAACAGAAAACATACTGTCCAAAGCATCGCTGAGACGCCCTCAGGTCATCCCTCGTTATGTATTGATACTTCCTCGATAAGAATGAACCCACAACCCAATGCGCCGAACCCCCAACCCTTTGCGACCCTGTGTACATCTGATAACAAATCAAACCGAAAAAAAGCCCTCATATACGGAAGCGATCCGATGCTCCGTTCATTGCCGCCATAGATGCCGGTCAAGAAAAGTTGGCAACGGTAATCTCCTCTCAAGTCCACTTCCCAAGCAATTGAAACAACAATTTCTTAGAGGATAACACAGCAGCCATTACCGCCGTCACGATTCCGCCCCTCACGGCCGTGACTCTTGCTCTTGCTCGTCTCCTCTTCCTCCATCATCTCAGGTGGTCGCACCGACATGTGAAGGATGTTTGGACTGTCGTGGCTAAACTGGTATTCTGCAACGTTGAGTCAGCGCTATGCGAAGAAAGAAGAAAAAAACAAGCCGCTAGGGCCTGGGAGTAGCGGAGACCAACTTTTCAATTGCTCCTTATCATCCAGCAGTTTTCCGAAATGGATCAACCTAATGCTACTCGGGCTCGCCGGTTTACCCTCCCACTCCTCCCGCCACTCCCGCAAAATCAACTCCTTCAGTTTATAGATGGAGATGCTAAATGGGTCGCGCACCCCGGATTCCGTCACATCCGGCATCTCAACGCTCCGCTTGGCGAGGTACTTTTCATCGATCCGGTACGGGTGGCGGGCGCCAGTGGGGAGTAGCAGCGTGATGGCGCAGACCGGCGCCTCGACGGTGTTAGCGTCAGCCTCAGGGACGGGTGCCGGTGGCTCAGTAGGCCCTATCGACAATGAATCGCCCTCTCGCGGCTTCGGCGTTTCGTCCTTCTCCTTGCCCTTGAGATCTGAGTCGGCGACGGCGACGCTGGATTCTGCTGCCGGTTGTTCAATTGTAGTCTTATACTCGGTCTTCTCCTTTCCCTCGTCAGCATCCACTGCCGGTACGGTAGCAGTCGGCTGTTGGGCTGTGGATTCGTTCGTCGCCTCCCCGTCGTCGATTTTCGGTGTTGGTTCGGCCATGGTTGCGGGTCGGATTTCAATTGATCGGTAAGGTAGACGCCGTTAAGAATCGCTTCGTCAGAGCAAGCAGATGCGGTCAAGACAGAAATGCAATACACCGAGCACGTCGGGATATCGGGGTTTCGCGACAACAATCACAGAAACCGGACCTTGTTGTTTCGCACGGTAAGGCTGGATCCTGGATTTTACTTCCGATCGCTCGGAAATACTGTCCCGTGCTAATTGCTGACTGAGACCAGACAAGGCCGTTGATGCGACGATTTCCCGCCCTTTTATCTCGTTCGTTTATTGAAATGCGATAATTAATTGATAGGTGGTCAAAGTGTTGTCGTCGGATCTACCGGAAATGCAGCCTGTCGTCATGTGTTCGTGAGAGGCGATGTTCGCAGTGCGAGATTCGGATGGGAGTGCTCGGTCCAGAAGAGGCGAGAACAACCCGGGAGGAACAAAGTTGGACTGAGAAACAGACGGACGGGAATTCTAGGGATGGCAAAAGAAAGTTGAAGCCGGGGTGGTCGAAGGCAAATCAAGATGCAGCCTGGCCAAGCAAGCTTCCAAACCTCCTCGTCCTCTCGCGTGAAGCTGTGAGGTCGGAAGACACCTCCAAGCCAATGGAGGCGGCGAGAAGATGTTGGGAGAAACAAGGATAACAGCACAAGGTGCGGGCAGGGTGCCAACAGGGTCGGTCGAGATCCAAAAAGATTCTGACAAAAAGAAAATAAAAAACGGCCGGCACAAGACTAGTACCCCGAGGAATGAAACCAGACTGCACGACAACCTTGAATTGCTTGGTCGGAGCTGAAAAGGAAAGGGGATGAAAGATCTTGGCAGGAGACTTGTTTCGATTCCCGAGCAAGACTGGTCCATGCGACGGCCCCATGACCCCCCAACAACAACAGGCGCCCAGAAGACGCAGTGGGATGGGCCCGACGCTCTGACGGAAGTACTCCACCGTTGGCTGGGGAAAGACCCACCATCACCCCCAGTGCAGAATGCCCACCCATGATGCCATGCAGTGACAATGATGAAAGAGCGGGGTGACCCCATTCCCGGTTCGGGATATTCCTGATCCCAAACGTCCAACAACAGCCTCGGACTATTTCCATTGACGGGAAGTAATTAATGCACCTAAACAGCGGCATAGAATCTAGACTATCATGAGAATTAAATTGAATGTTTGTGCTCGATGGCTTTGTTCACCTCAGATTTGTTCCTTCTATTCCCTCACTTTACAATCCGGCTTTTTATCATTCAATTTCTTGTCAAAATATCCTTGGATTTTTGTCACCCCTTAGTTACATCCGAAGCGATGATCCCATACGTGCTTACAACCACGACATGTTATGGCACGAGACCGTGATATTGATGATTAGACAAGGCTGCGTGTCAAGAGACTCCACCGCCGGTTCGCAACCCAGAGTCTTTATTCTTCTTTTAATTCCTCACCATTTCTGTGCCAAATACGGAACTATTAATTACGACATTGTATTATTTCAAGCAAACATCTCGAGGAGCGCAGTTAAATTGATGCCTTGCTGGGTTTCGAAGGGCTTGTTCAAAGCATTGGAACCATGGTGATAATTAACATAACTGTAAATAGACGCCAACCTTGGGTGTTTTGTGGACAGTCTTTGGTCTGTTCATGATCCATCTATGATTACCTCCCAATTATCTTGCCTTCATTGCATATTAGGTTGCCGGCCAAGGCGTCCGTCTGGTGGGAGCTGAGCTGATACAAGGACATGACTCCAATCCACCGCAGGTTGGGGCTTGGTTCTCGCCCAGGCTAAGGTTGGTTGAAGTGGTGGGTGGTTACTCTACAAGGCGTCCACGGCTAGTGACCTTTTCAACAAGGGTGCCGTGCATCATTAGGTTGATGTCTGTGGAGCAAACATAAGTGGCGCCCACAACAACATATCGACTATAAATAGACTATTAATCCAATTAAATCATCATGGCTGAATCCTCAGAATAAAAGAGGCTAGCAAATAATTACTGAAAATACCCGAAGCCACTCATGCTATCAGATCAATGGAGGCACCGAAGCCGTAACCTCGGGGCTAACTACATCCACTTCTATGCTACAAACGTTCTCGGTGGTTTCAAGATCAAACAGGGAACAATCACAACGGGTGGCCACAGCACTTCGTGCCATAGTAACACCACCGTTAGAGGTTAGCAAACCAGCAATACTAGGGGTCAAATCAAGTACTTGACGACGTATCGTACGACTAAAATTATCGGAGATGATGGTTTCACTTTTCGGCTGTCACTAAGAACACTGGAACCGCCGAAAGACAGAACCATCCCTTACCATTGCCTCCTCGTGTCTCCTTCTTCTCAACTAACTTCCCCTGTTTGAGACCAGGTTCACCATTAGACACCGAGACCTGTTCAAGATCAGCCAGTGTCAAGTAGAACAAGTCCCAAGTGATGGGCTGAAATTTTAGGTCTAGTACACACACTCCACCGTGTGATCCTGGGGGCCACACCAACAATGAATTTGAAAAGGGCAGGTGCCCGCTGTGTGCCTTCCACGTTTGTTTGCCAAAGAACAGGAAGGAATGACCAAGATCACAGAAAACTTTTTCCACCACCCAGTTCAGTTTCTCGACCTACCACACTGTCATACCAACCCCCCCTCGTGCCATCACACAAACTGCCAGGCGGTTCCGTTCGTTTCCTCCCAACTTGATATCTTCCGCCCGCAAGCCCGCACCCAGGTTCTACCAAAACAAACCCGCGGAAATCTTCCTTCTCCCCTCGTTTGTTTCCACAACCCTCTTTTCCTCTCTTCCACGCTTTTCGGTCCTCCCCCAACTGCAATCAAAGCAACCTCGTGGACGAAGTTAACCTCTTGAGGTCATTGTCAGTGAACCGTAAGTATCATTTCGACTTTGTACTCTTGCAATTTTGGAACCCGTCGGCGCCAGAGTATTGCTCACTTTGCGAGCGACTGGCCAATCCTTGGGCGGTCGTTTTATTTGGCAATCTTGTCCCCGATGAAGCGAGAGTAAATTTTCTGGACAAACGGTGTGCTAACAACTGCCGACTCTCATAGGATTTCTGAGATTTCCTCAGTTGAAGGCATTAAAATGATTTTCAACCACGCTGTCATCGCGGCTACTGCCGTTTTCTTCGGCTACGCCACCGCCAACAACGGTGCTGTCGACAGGCTTCTTGCCCTTCGCGAGGAGCTAGCCGAGACCGCGACCGTGACCGTTACTGCCTCGGTGACCGTCACTTACCCGGGCACTGCCTGCGAGACCTCCACTGAGTCCGTCATCGGCACCAGCGCGTCTGAGAGCAGCAGCACCCTGAGCACGATCACTACGACCACTTTGACCACCAGCAGCTCGACTACCGGCACCTCGCCTATCGTTACTGAGACCAGCTTCGACACGGCTCCGACCAGCACCTGGTCCGAGACCTCGTCGTCCATTGCTGATACTTCCTCGATCCAGAGCTGGACGCATACCTCTTCTGAGGAGGCTACCTCGCAGACCGAGACCAGCACTGCGGCCCCCCCTACCTCCAGTGTCAGCGGTGCCGGCAGCAACAAGGTCAACATGGCCGGTGGCGTCCTTGCCGGCGGTGCCCTAGTGTTGGCTGTGGCCATGGCTGCTTAAGCGTGGCTGACATCCGGGCGTCTCTCTTCCGCCCTCCCCCCTGGCTCGCTCTTACCAACAAGGTAAAGGGATGCGGCAGACCCTCTCAAGTACTCCACCATTCTTTTATTCGCATTTCACTTTATCGGTACCCATTTAGGAGGTGATGGCCTGGATGCCCGAGGAGAGTGCGGGGACAAGGTGGTGGATCTAATGCTCGGGAATGGATAGGGGCAGGTTTAGCTAAGGAAAGAAGAGAGAAGTCATCGCTATTTCCCAGGTCATTTCATTTCATCAATGTTGTTGTTTTGCTAGGGAAATGAAGAACATGCGGAAGACGTATGGTGGAGATTAATGGTGCGATACTTTTGCAATGAAATAGATTTGACCCGACGTCATGTCCCTGAAACTAAGAGTGAAATGCATGTGCCATGTGGTTTGCGCACGCGGACCGGAATCGTCCCGAGCCGCTGCACCCACGGAATGCAGATGCGGCCTGAGAGAAACTGCAGCAGGAAACGTACTGTGCGATTTGGAGGGGAAAATAAAATTATCTCGAAACAGCTTGGTCCATAGTTCGGCTGGTAGGACTGCGGTACTATACACCCGAGCACATACACGCATTACATCGATGGCGTAGCTTCTCGAGTCCATCATACCGGATAACCCAATTCACCGTTATTCTCATTGCCTATGTTTTCCTGGTATTATATATATATTTACCCCGACGCTAACCATCATCCACCCATCCATCTTCTCCTCATTCCATCGTTTTTATGCTAATACCATATAGACAGACCTACACTACACTACAGCAGCAAATCCCCCTGCGCCGCCTGGTACCCCGTCGTCTGCGGCGCATACTGGTTGACCACGTACCCGGCCGTCTCACCACCGCCGAACTGATCCTGGATCGGCATCTGCTGGATCTGGGAGAAGTAGGCATCTGCGTCGTTGATAGCTAGGGCGTGGTTTGCGTCGTTGTTGGCATCGCCATTGCCGTTGTTGTTGTTATCGGTAGCGGGATTGGGACTACTGGGGTTGTAGGCGCGGTCGGAGTGGGGGTTGAAATCGGCTGCTTGACCGCCGAGGCCGAGCTGGCTGAGGGATTTGTTGGCGTCGGAGCGGAGGCCGGCGGCGACGGGGATGTCTTGGCGCTGGAGGGCCGGGGAATCGTGGAGACGGCGGGGGCGGGCGTTGCGGAAGACGGTTTGGACGGGCTTGAGATAGACGGTGGCGAGGGTGCCGACGTTGAGACACATCTCCTCGAGGGTGGCTGGGTCAAGGCGTTCTGACTCGGCTGTGATGGCGGGTTTCTCGCCCATGACGATGCGCTTGGCTGCTTCGATGTCGGTTGAGAGCAGGCGCCAGTACATGTAGGCGCGGTCGCGGAGGTCTGGGTTGTCGGTCTCTTCGGTGGCCCATTTGAGGACCTTGGGGACGAGGTCCTGGCCCTTGGTGGGGCGCTGGATGAAGAGCTTGACGGTGGCGGTGAGGAGGGCGAGCTGGACCTCGACGGGCTCCTCGGCGAAGGTGAAGAGGAAGTCCTCGAGCAGGGCGTCCGAGTTCTCGATCCGGCTCGCGTACTGGCCGATGACCCAGACCATGGCCGCCTTGGCCTCGGGCTCGTCGAGCGAGTCGAGGTGCTCGCAGAGGGTGCCGATGATGCTTTCGTATTGGTTGGGGTATTTACGGAAGATGTTGCGGATGACGACCGTGGCTTCTTGCACGATGTACGTGACCTTGGTGGCGACGAGCTCGAGGAGGAGGTTGATACACCGCCTCGCGGCGGGCTCGATCTTGATAGCCAGCTTGCCGATGGCCCGCACCGCCTTACGGACAAAGTGCACGTCGATCTCGGTGGCATATTCGCGGAGCTCGGTCAGGACTTCGTCGATGTTCTTTTCGTTGGCGAGCATGAAGATGAGCTCGAGCTTGGTAACCTTGACGTAGATGGGATCGTTGTATTTGCAAAAGAAGACCCGGATGTCGTTCCGGAGCACCTCGGGCCGTCGCTGAAGGATGAGCAGCGCATTCCGTAGCGCGAGGTACTGCACTTCGGGCCCCTTGGCGAGGAGCGTGACCAGTGGTGGTGACAGCTTACGGCAGAGGGCAGTGATCTGTTTCTGGTCGGCGATGTAGTTGAGCAGGTAGAGCATGACGCGGATGCAGGTGAGCACGACGGCCGAGTTGGAGTGTGATAGCCGTGGCGCTATGCGCTCGGCCAGGAGCGCGGCTTCTCCCGACTCCTGTGGCACGTAGGACATGAGCGCCTCAAGAATGTAGGTTTGACCCCACCTAAAGAAGATGCAGGTCAGCGGCAGAGTTCAAGAACAACCGAGACAAAAACAAGGGGGAGGTTAGATAGATAAGATGACAGAGAGGGGCATACATACTCCGAGCAGTCGGGTAAGATGGCCACCATCTTAGAGGCGTTGGTGTAGTCGATGGTCAACTTGATAGCATCGCTCCGTTCCCAAATATCCATCAGTCCCGCCAAAGCACTCGCGACCACAGTCGGGTTGTCGTCCCGCAGTAGGCCGTTCAGCCTGTCGATGAGATCCGACTTTTCCACCATGTGCCTGTCGTGGTCGTATAGCTTCGCCACGCAATAAGCTGCTGTCTTGCGGACGTACGGATCGGGATCACGGAGGAGGTGTTTGACGATGGGCACTGTTGCCTCGACAAACTCTCGTACGTGGATGTAAGACATGGTTCGAAGAGCCAGGGCCCGGACAAGGGGGTTGTGGTCTTCCATATCCTACCGAGAATGAGTATCCGTTAAGGTGAGGGTGAGGGTGACTTGAATCAAAGGTAGGGAGTAAGGGGGTTGGTTGGGACTGACATGTTGCAGCACGGGAATGGCTTTTACTGCCACATCAGGGCGTATCCTGGCGTAGTTGACGAGAAACAGGAAGCACCTAGCAGGGAAGCTTGTTAGCGGTCTCGGAGAGAATACCCCGATGAGGATACGAGGGAGAGTGGGTAAAATAACGGGGAGGGGCCCAGGAGAAACCAGGGACCGCTCACATCTTCTTGATCTCAAGGTTTTGGATGTTCATGCAGCCCACAATGTCGGGGAAAAGGGCGACCATGTCGTTGTTGCTCATCGTCATGTTGGCGACAATCTTCTTAAGTGCGATCTTCTTGGCCGTGAAGTGTTTGTCCTTCTTGCCGCCGCTGTTCAGCTCGAAGCGCAGCTCAGCGACCTTGCCCTGTTGTGGTACGCGCATGGGTGAGTGAACGGACGGAGGAATATACGCGAGGAACATCATGGTAACGACTATCCGGGGGTATCTGCTTTCATGCCCATGACGAGAGGAGCTTATAGCTGGAGCTAATCACCGGGTATTGACGCCGTGAAGGGAGAGTGGACGGGGCTAATGATAGACCAGGTAGATAGATTGGGAAGCGTGGAATGGCGATTGGGGGGTGGCCTGGGTGGGACAGAAGATAAAAGGAAGCGGAGGGATACAGGAATGCGAAGATAGCGACGCCACGGCCGCCAAGGGCGGTTTGGCTTGTGAGGGGCAGCTCAATAAGGACGGTCGCTTGTCTGCCATATGAGCTCGGTGGCTTGATTCTTCCCCGCTACCCCGCGACTTGCGACCTGCGACCCGCGGCTCGCGACCACCAAACGGTGCATGAAGTATGTGTGATGTAACAAACGGCAAATAGCAGATCGGTTGCTTACCCGAGCGAACAGCTTCGAGTCTCCTCCCTGCGCGTTCGACATGATGGCGGCTTGTCCCTGAACAATATGTGCTGTGTGATGATGTACAAGTACAAGTGGTCGGCTGCTGGTTGGGTCTCGCGGACGTTGTTGGCCAGGGTATGGTGTATCACTGCGCTGAGTCGAGTCGCGAGAGATACGTCGTCGTGGTCTGCGTGCGCCCCGAGGTGGGTTAAAACGGCCGAAACTACCGGGCAGATGGAGCGCCGGGGCGCCTCACACCGGGACGGCGTGCGATCTCGTATCGGACGAAATAGATGTTTGATGCTGGGCTCGACGGGGATATCGTTATTTCGGCTTGGTGTCGCATATACCTGACTAAAGAGCCACGGTGGTTCTGTCGGTCGTTGTTCCGGTGTTTCCGCGAGAGTTTCGGTCGGTCGTCGCAGGTCTCGTGTAGACGCACTTGATTTCCGGGCCGGTTCCGCGTTACGAAATGCACTCGGCGGGTGTCAATGGCAGGATGCGCGGCTCGAAAGTCGAAGAGTTGACGTTGCTCGACTCCCGCAGGGTCCACAGGGTAGGCCCAGGAAACCGAAATTCCCATTGCCTGGGCCCCTGAAATTCAGCAATGGGCCCGGGCTTGGTGGGGCCGTCGGGCCCGCTGACAACTCGGGAGCAGGCGCGTGGCTTGCGGGACGCCAAGCCGCCCGTTACTGGAGCAGCTTCGAGATGCGTCCAAGGGTTAGCTGACAACAAGCTCAGACACTGAAAGCAAGACTTCACATCAAGCTCCTGCGATCAACATCCATCAACTCGCCCAGCGCGTCGCGTCGCATTCATCGGTCCAACCGCCAATTCCGCTCCACACAATGTTGGCCATTGCAACAAAAACATTACCCGCGTGGGCGACTGAGCTCCAGAACCCGCCAGCACACAAGTCGAAGCAGGCCGGCATTCCCGACCCCCCGGGGTTCCCTTCGTCGCATTCGTCGACCACCAAGGTACGGGCGAGCAGATGGATAGGACAGAACTCAGAGAGAAGCAGAGAAGAGCGTTCGGGCCTACAAAAGAGGAGAGGGAAATATGACGGACATTGGGAGCAGGGCAATTGACCGTCAATCTTACCTGGGACCACCGCTAATGGCCTCGCTGCAGAAGAAGGATGCCAAGGACAGCAAAGCCGCGCAGCGCAAGGCCCCGACTCCCGACGAGATGGACACACTGAAGCTCAAGAAGGCGTGGGAGGTGGCGCTGGGCCCCATCAAGAGCCTGCCCATGACGGCCATCATGATGTACATGTCGGGCAACTCGCTGCAGATCTTCAGCATCATGATGGTGTTTATGGCGTTCAAGAACCCCATCATGGGCATCGTCGGCACGAATCAGGCGCTTGAGCGCTTCGAGACCGAGTCGAACCGATCCAAGATGCTGCAGGTCAAGCTGGCGTATGTGGCCATGCAGGTGGTCGCGCTCGCGCTGGGGATATGGAAGATTAATGGGATGGGTCTGCTTCCGTAAGTTGTCCACCGTTGGTGTGGCCGTGGCGTCAATGATCGTGGTGTGGATGATGGCCGACAACTCTTGAGAACGCTGAATGACTAACTTGGGCACAGAACCACGAGATCGGACTGGCTGGCCTGGGAAGCGCAGCGAGAAGCCGTGGAACATTCGGTGCCGGGGCTCTAGGTTAATGTCCTGCATGTGGACTAGAAAGCATACAGACACCACGTGTTGAATAATATTCATGCCTCACACAACCTTGGACTTTGCTCCGCGATGCCAAGCCTACCTGTCCCGGTGCCTCTTGACCTGTCGGCCGTCTAAGTCCTGAACATTGCTTGCAGCATGGAAGCCTTACTTGCAGGGTGGAATGAAATCTTTAGGACTCTTGCGCCTCACATCGACTGGAGCAAGGACCCGCAATTTCGAAGCGCGGCTCCGCGACTGCCAGGGGCCGGATGCTCAGCCTTCTCCGTGCCACCGAGGTGCATCCCCAGGACTGTTCCTTTACACTAGACGGTAAAGACGACCCAAACAAAAAGTCAAATGGATAACGATAACCGGACAACGAACCTGTTTTCCTGTCTTTGACCGGTTTGAGATCCTTGACCCCCTCGAATCAAACACAGGCAAGTTGTGATTCAAAAACGTTGCTTCCGAGTGTAATAAATCAATTTTCTCATGCACGGTCCTTGTGCCTTGAGGAGTCCAAGACTCATCTGCCCCGCCAAATTTGGTCCACTGCACAACAACAACCACTTAACGGTCTCTCGGCAGCGGTTTTCTCCACGCCTAGCCAAATCCTGCTGGTCTCAAGGACTCCAAACTTGAAGCGCTGCAGGTGGGTTTTGGTCGCCCGCCACACGCGAGCCACACACAGCCTGCCCATCAATGCCCATCCTCGCTATGCCCAAAAAAGCGGCAGGCTAGGGTAAAACAGAACAGCCTTTGAGTCTAATCCAGTAACATTCGACCGAATCTGAATAGATTTTAAGTGATCTACACTGCTTCGTCCCTTCTCACTTTTTTTATTTATTCTTTTTTTATCTTCTTTCCTTTTTTTAGTTCTTTTTTTATCTTCTTTCCTTTCTTTTATTTATTCTTCTTTGTCTTCTTTCACTTTTTCGCTTATTCTTTTTGTCTTCTTTACTTTTAGTTATCTACACAGTATGGGCTTGGTCTACCGCTTTTTTTTGACCACAGCCAGCCATCGTCTCATCTTCTCGTCCGCAGCAGTTGCTTGTCACGCTTGTCCGCTGCAACCTCGCGCGCGCGATCCTTCTGGATTCGGCACTGCCCTCCCGTGCTTGGCGGCCTAGCCCACTCCAACCAAACTTCTGAGCCTCCTCTTGAGCCTTCTCAAGCCTCTGTAGCAGGTCCTGCGGTATCACTTCGAACCCACCCAGGAATGAACCATGACTCGAGTGGTCGGGCCCGAGTGTAACACAACCCGCCGAAACGCTCTCGGCTCAACCGTCTCTTTTGGTGGTTTGGCAGAGAGTGCCGGGCGCCAAGGCATTGACCCATTCCGTGAAGAGCGGGAAGGATCTAAAGATGGATATTTTGAGTGGATGAGAATTTAGATAACTCCGCAAGCCGAAGGCAGCAGCATGGGGTGACCGGTCGGCTTGACCCCGACCTGGGCCGTTTATAGTTTTTTTGTGGGAGCGGTGTATTGGAATAAATGGGAGGTCCCGCCTGGGATTTCGTTTTGGAAATGTTGGATGTGCTTGTTTCTTGTTCAGCCAAGAGTTCGAATCCTGAACAGACGAGAATATAAAACCCATCTCATCTTGATAACCCTTTGGAAAAACACCCAATACACTACCCCCTCTCATCAGTCACTCTCCCACTACTACCGACATCATGTATCGACCCGCAGCCTTCGTCCTCCGGGGCCTCCTGGTAAGCGCCCGCCTTGACAAATACCATATCCCCCCATCAACGAACCTAACACGAACCCCCCTCCTAGTTCCTAACCTCCCTCACCATCCTCGCCCTCGCTGTCACCCTCATCAAGGGCCAAGTCCTCGACACTTCCCCCGTCACAACCCGCTACACCACCTTCACCGGCGGTTTCGGCATGATCACCTCCGGCCTCGGCCTCCTCCTGCTCTCCCTCCCCTCCCTCGAAACCTCCCTCCCACAGCTGGTACCCATCGCCCTCGACACGCTCACATCCCTCTTCTTCGCCGCGGGGGGTATCGCCTGGGCCGTCGGCCTGCGCGGCGTTGACGGGTGCTCCAACTACCCCAACATGCTGTTCAACCCGCTGCTGAACCAGGGTAGTGTGGACCTGGGCAATGGGAAGACTGCGTACGGAGTGATTGGGGATGGGGATGATGACGGGGCAATCATGGGCAAGTTGAAGGGGAACTGCCAGCGGGCGCAGGCAGACGAGGTGCTGCAGTTTATTTGCTTTGGGTTTGCGCTGTCGTTGGTGATTGATGCCGTGCTTGTTATGAGGAGGGGCGGTCGTGGTGGTGTGGCGGGTGCGTATGTTGCTTAAGGAGTTTGACGGGGGGAGAGGGAGGTATTGGATTAGAAGAAAGGGTCGGGTAAACAAACGGGGATGGAATACATGGACGACGGGCTGGATATCCCTATGAAGATGGCTCGGGCACAACTAATGAACGGGACAAATGGAAACGAAGCCGGGCTTTTAATGAATAAAATCACACAATACACAATACAGAAAAATCAACGCAACCGAAATATCCATTAACGACGAATGACATGAAAATTGTGTATCTGACAAAAGAAAAAAGAAAACCGTTACCGGGTATCCTACATGTGTAAACTAGACTAGTCCGACCTAACCCAACAGAATTCATCCTCCCATGTTCCCATCCGTCCATCATCGCATCATTCGTGGTGCCTAAATCCGATTCCCAAACAAAACAAACCAACCCGCCCGACATCCTGTCATCTGCCGTTACACATTGCCATCCGTATTTCCTCCATTTGACTGCACACAACACGTGATATATCACACATGACAATACCACATCGTAAATATCCCACTCGACAGGGTTAAACCAACAGCAAAATACCTGCCTACCTCCTCACACTACTCGCGACATTGCTCACGGTATCGCTGATTTTGGTCCCCCACCCGCCCAACCACTTGGGCACCTGAATGCTCATGCGCACCCGGCCCTCCACAATCGTGTTGATAAGCGCAATGACGGCAAACGTCGTGCTGCCGAGTGCACGGAATACGGCCAACCCTGCCACCGACCAAAGGATGAAGCGCAGGTAGAAGTTGTCGCCTATCGAACTGCCGCCGTACGCCTCGCTCGCCGCCATGGCTAGCGTCGCGTTCGCTATCAGCCAGGTTAGGACCATGTACGTCCGCACACTCTTGTAGTAGTCCTGTTGCAGTTGGTCCTCCGAAATGCCGGGCTCCGGAACCTCGACGCGGTCGCGCAGGTTGCGCAACGCCTCGTCGTAGCCCGAGTCGATGTCCAGCTGCTCCGACGGCATCTCCAGTTCCACGGTCGAGCCTTTACCGATGGCCCCGCCCAGGTCTGTCTTCATCACGTTGTCACCCTTGGTACCCCAGGTCACGTCGTGCGTGTTGCAAAAGGCGTAAATCTGCAGCGTGCAAATGTACGACGGTAGCAGGATGAGGTACTGCAGGAATGACGTGAACATGTGCCACGGGTCCAGGTACAGGAACGACATGATGAAGTAGAGCCCGACGGTCGAGGCGGTTGAGACGATCATGTTGGTGAACACGTTGTTGCCCATGGCGAGGTCGGCCTCATCGCCTTTCAAAGAGAACTGACGAACCACGACATAGATGCAGGCAAACAAAGTGTACGCCATGATGATGGCGTAGATGATCATCGACGCGAGGTACATCTTGCGCGCACCCTGGGGCCGGTTGCCGAGAGAGAGAATGAATTGGGTCGAGATGAGAAGAACGCAGACATAGCGGAGGATAATGAAAATATACTTAGCGCCGCCGTTGAACGGATCCACGTGAGGATCCGCAAGGCCGCCGGCGATGAAGTAGAAGGTCAAATAGAAGTTGGCGAGAGAGAGGTACGTGAAGATGAGTTGGATGAACTGGTAGATGAACTCGATGTGCAGCAGAATCTTCCGGGCGATGGTGTGGTCGGTAGCCCAAACCTGTCGGAAATGGACCAGCGAGTAGACGGCCGCAAAGAAAGCACCGTTCAGCCACCGACGGCGCTGTGACACGAATTCGGGGACCGTGTCTGCCAAGGGTTAGAAACGATACACGGCCGCCAAAATCAGGAGGAACAAAAAAGGGAGGGAAAGGAGGGAAAAAAGGAAAAAGAGGTTTAGAAGCTTACCAGGCACATCCGTCTCGCCCGTACACCCCTTGACGTACTTCAACACCCATCTCTCGCCCCGCTTAGCCACCAGCTCCCAACACAGAATACGATCTTCTGCTAGGTACATATTGGCAGTGAAGACGTCGGCATGCTGGCCGTGCAGCGTCTCCCCCTTGAAGTACTGACTGAGCGGCCCGTGGCCGGTCTCATCGTTCTGCAGCGCGTGGTACCGGTAGGCGCTGAGCGCGCCGGGTAGAACCGTAATGTACCCAAAGACACTCTCCAGCGGCTTGTCCAGAATGTTCGACAGCTTGTACTCAAAGTTCTGCGAAGCTACTAGAGGGTTCAGCAGGTTTCGCCCCCATTTCCCTTTCATTGCCTTGATCTCGCCGCAAGCGCCGGCTACATTGGAGTCGGTATCGAACGCCTTCCACAGGTGGTACAGCGATGTGCCGGTCGGCCGGGTGCCTACATCGAGCAGGATACAGACGTTCGGGTTGAGCGCCTTGCCAAACGCGTTGAAGAACCAGCGATGCGAGTTGAGTTTCTTCTGGTTCTTCTCCTTCAAGCAAAAGATCATCTGGCAGGGCACAATTCCCTTTTCCGCGCCCTTGAATTTGAGATCCGAGTCAAGAGACACCTGGGTAGTATATTCGTATACGTGCGCTTGGACCGCTTTTTGGTTGACGTAGTTCTTGGCGATGCCGTGCTGGTAGACGCCCATCGCGGCTAGCGCATCAAGGGTCCGCGGGTGAATCTTCTCACGACCGTCCGACACGATGCAGACCACAATCTTCTGCCAGCCCAGCTCGCCCCAGGTTCGACTCCGGTTGCGGCTGCAAAAGTGGCTAATGTTCTTCATGACCGCATGCATGGTTCGGGTGAAGCCGTACTCGTCCTCGTTATACATGGTGATGCAGATGAACAGCTCCGTCTCGCGCGCCGTTCTCCCAATGTTTTGGCGCAGTTTGTAGCCCCTGTCCGCGAAGTCGTCGGGGTCGCAAGTCACGGCCGTGTATCGCATGTGGGTAAACTCGATCTCGTCTCGGCGCGGCAAGAAGCTGTAAAGAATGGTCGGAATCTTGCACTCCAACACCAACTCGCCATTGATCAACTGCACCTCCCGCCTGCTCATCTGCGGCGCCCGGACACCACGTCTCTCCTGTTTTCCTTCCGGCGCAGGTCCATAACGATCCGTCTTCTCGTCATACGAGATGTCCGTGGCTTCGTCGCTAAGCGTGACCTGAGACTCTGCGTACGAGTCACGGGGGTGTCGGCCATGACCACGACCAAGGTCGGATTCGGGACCGAAAACGTCGTCCGTGTCCTCGGCCAGAGGAATGCTCACGGTGATATCGTCTGCAAAGGAGTGGGTAGATCCGCGGGCTCCGGCTCCGGCCGAGAAGAGCGGTGCCGGTGGGAGTGGGCGCCTCGGGCTCCCGCCATACGTCGAAGCGGGTGTTCCTGGCCGGGGGCTGCCGTTGAGATCCGCCGGCTCGTAGCGGTTGCTGACCGGCGGAGGACGGCTGTACTCGGAGGCGCTGTGCGTCGGAGACCATGGCCGGACGGGGGATTCGCCATCCAGGGCCGGGTCGTACGAGCTATAAGACGGTTCAGGGGGCGGCATATGAGGCGGATCCAGAATAGACTGGCGTGAGTCCAGCGACGGTTCGTACGGGCGCCGTGCGCGACCTCGAGAGCTGTTCCTGCGTGAGTATGGGCTTGACTTGAGGGCGAATCGATCTTCTTTGGGGGACTCGGATTCGCATCGAGCTTGGAACCGCGATTGCTTCCTCGGGGACGGGCCCTCTGGAATCACAGGCAAGCTGTCCGCCATGCTTGAAGCGACCGGTGACTCCGGCCGCTGCTTCTTCTTCTTTTGCAACCTGACAGTAGTCGAGCCCGGAGCCCCGCATCCAGCCATGGTTGCGTCTGACTGGCACTTGGTCTGCGTGCCCGGGGGTACTAGTAGAGGGCGAGGCCAGACAAGATCCTTGCTCCCGTCTTTGCTGCCGTTGCCGCCCTTGCTGCTTATAACGTCCTTGCTGGTAATATCCTCTTTGTCGCCTCGTCCGGGAGCGGGTGACTGACCCGTCTCAGGCGTGTCGTCGTGCTGCGGGGCCAAGTGCGCTCGCTGGAGCGTCCTTGGAGACTTAAGGGAGAGAGGAGGGGGGAATGGAATCTCTGGTAAAACATACGGCCTTGGGTCATAAGGCTCCTCCATCGAAGTGAGCAGGCGCACGGCAGCGCCATGGTTTGGCGAGCTGGCGGGCGTCGAATCGTCCACATCACCGTACTGTGGGAGCTGGTACTCGGGCGGCAGCCGGGAACGCTCACGTCGGCCGTCCATGGTGGCTGCTGCGGTGGCGGCGATGCCGCAGGGCAGTGGGTGAGGGCTGCGTCTGTGAGACAAGCGCGCCTTCGGTTCCGTGGTTGAGCGGTGTCGTGCAAACGGCCGAGATTTTCGGGTGGATTTTAGATTGCGATTCGCCCGGTTCGTTTGTGCTGCTAATCAGTGTTCTTTGTCTAAGAGCACCGCCAAAATGCAGGAATGCGCGCGCAAAGTCTCAAATCGGCCGCGCAAAGCCGTGCGATCCGCTAGTTAGTTAATTGATGCGATGAACGTGTTTGGTCGGTGGCTGGTGGGAATCAGTGGCACAAAAAATACCAGTGTAAAAAAAGAAAAGAAGAGGAGAATTGCGAGGACATGGAAGTTCCAAACCGCTGCTAGGTTGTGTTACTGGACAGAAAATCCAAGCTAAGCTTGAGTCGAACGACGTGGTGGAATGCGACTGCTTCGAATGGCGCAAGCAAGAGGGGCTCTTTCCCTGGCCCTTGTTTGGTCCCTCGTTCCCATTGGCGTTGTCCCGGCAACCTGGTCAAGACTGCTGCGGGCGGCTGTGTTCCCCTGCAGGACGAACCCCACTCCACCAGCAGGAACAGCCAACCTGATCGTAGATCGGTGGCGCTTGATCCCCAAAACATGGAAGTTTTGCCAAGAAACGACCTCCCACAACCGCGACGAGCTGTGACTTGCATCTGGGAGAGAATGACAATGTCTCGGCCGCAGACAAATGCACCAACCCGGCGGTAACGAGAACCATGGCACCACAGGCGATACGCGCGTAGCATGGCCCCGGTCGATATGGGGGAACAAGGTTATGGGGGCAAAAGATCAGGCCAGTGACGAGAATGTTATGTACGGTACCTTGTTATATGTATTGTATGATATGATGTATCGACAACGAAATAGCGGGTAACCAAAAACAACCTGGAAAATATGGAAACCATGCAAATAATCTTTTTTCAACGCCAAAGGCAATGATGGAACCGTCAAATTCGGTGTCCACATCCAGAGTCTCGAATGCACCCACCCGTGCAATTGGTTTACAAACTCTCGCATCACTGTCTCGCCTGATCGGTGGTCCTGACGGATTACTCTTCATCCGATTCCTCTTCGGCAACCTGCAGTGGGTTTTAGGTTAGCACTAGGAAAAACAAGTAGCTAAACACAGTAGCAAACCGTTAGAGACAACTTACCCCCTCATGGAAGTCCCGGCCCTCCGTGGTTGCCTTGATGATACCCGCACGGATGGTCCAGTCGCCGAACCGCTCGCTGTCGTTGCGCTCCTGCGCGTACCGCTTCAGCATGGGCTTCATGATGGCGAGGATCTCCTCCTCCTTGATGCTCGACCGGTACAGCTTGTTCAACCGCTGGCCGTGGTACCCGCCGCCGAGATACATGTTGTACGCGCCGTAGGCCTTACCCACGAAGGCCACCTCGGCCAGCCAAGGGCGAGCACACCCGTTGGGGCAACCTGTCATGCGCATGACAATCGAGTCCTGGCGCAGGCCGTTCTCCTCGAGACACCCTTCCAGCTTCGAGATGAGCACGGGCAGATACCGCTCCGACTCAGCCATGGCGAGACCGCAGGTTGGGAAGGCCACGCAGGCCGACGAGCTCAGGCGCAGCGCAGAGAATTGGACGTTGTCTAGCTTGTATTCGGCCATGAGCTTCTTGATGGCCGGCAGGTCCTCGTCGGCAACGTTGCTGAGGATCAAGTGTTGATTGGGGGTGAGCCGGAACTCGCCCTTATGCACCTTGGCGATCTCCCGGAGACCAGTCTTCATCCGGAACTCGACCGTGTCCTCGATGCGTCCGTTCTCGATGAAGAAGGTGAAGTGGTTGAGGCCGTGCTCGTCCTTGGTCCACCCAAACGTGTCGACGTTGCTGTCGAAGTGGAACGAACGCGCCGGCTCGAACTTTTGGCCCCATTGCTCCTCAACCTTGCCCCGGAACACGTCGACACCGAGGTCGTCGATCGTGTACTTGAGGCGGGCATGCTTGCGGTTCTTGCGGTCGCCAAAGTCGCGCTGCACCAGCATGACCTTCTCGCAGGCAATGTGCACGTCCTCGGCCTTGACAAAGCCAAGGTTCCGGCCGACCTGGGGATAGGTCTTCTTGTTGTTGTGCGTCGCACCCATACCACCACCGGCCAACAGGTTGAAGCCCTCGAGGTGACCGTCGCTACCCTTGATGGCGATGAGCCCAATATCATGGGCGTAGACATCGACGTCGTTGTGCGGCGGAATAGCGATCGAAATCTTGAACTTGCGGGGGAGGTAGGTCGGCCCATACATCGGCTCGAAGTCCTGCACTGCGTCTCCGGCGACCTGGGTCTTCTTGTCGTTGTCGTCGGTAAGCCAAATCTCATGGTATGCCGTCGTCGTGGGCAGCAAGTGGTCGCTGATCTTTTGAGAGCAGGCGAAGACCTCGCGATGGTACTTGGACTGCGCAGGAAGGGGGCTGCACATGACGTTCCGGTTGACATCACCGCAAGCGGCGATGGTGGTCATGAGCGCCCTGTTGATGGCCTGCATGGCCGGCTTCAGCTTGCCCTTGACTACACCGTGGAACTGGAAGGTTTGACGCGTGGTTAGCTTCATAGTCTCGTTGCCAAGCTCGTTGCTGATGTCGTCCATTTGTATCCACTGCTTTGGTGTCGACACACCGCCCGGCAGACGGCACCGTATCATGAAGGAGTAGGCGGGCTCCAGACCCTGGGCCTTGCGCTCGTCACGGAGGTCACGGTCGTCCTGCATGTACGTGCCGTGGAACTTGGTCAGCTGCTGGTTCGCGGCAGAGATGGCACCGGTCGATGTGTCCTTGAGTTCCTCGGCGATGGTACCACGCAAGTAGTTCGACTCGATCTTGATGTCCTCGTTGGTGATCGGAGGCGGCTCGTCCGGAAGCCCTTCAACGTTAGCCACTCCAAGGGCCTCCCACAACTTCGGCTCCCACTCCGCGTAGCCCGTCTGGTATCCGTCCGGATCTTGGTCATCGCCCAACCCGACTTCCGCGAGCCTTGTCGCGCCAAAGTTGCCCAGCACCCTGTCAAGGTCCTTGCCGGGCTTGTTATAGTACACCTTGTCCTCCTTCCGAGGCCAATAGTGGCTATCGCCAAGGGCAAAAACGGAGAACTTGACCGCCGCCAGGTCCAGCTCGGTGTTGTCCTTGATGGCGTCCCAGAATGGCTTGCCGTTCTGCGGGAACTCGCCCTGGCCAGCAGTCGACGTAAGGATGACAATGTTCTCCTCCGAAGGCAGGTCCTCGACTGGGTAGTCCTCCATGGCCAAGACAGTCGTCTTGAGACCGCGAGCCCTGCCCCTTGTACCGAGGCGCTTGGCCAGGGACTGAGCGTTGCCATTGTCCGAACCGAACAGGATCGTGAGCGGAGCGCCAAACAGCCCTTCAAGAAGCTGATTATACGCATCCTTAGCCTGCCGCTTTTGTTGCGCCCGGATCTCGGTTCCAAAGTCCTCCGAAAGGACACCGCCAAACTGCGGCTGACTCCTCATCATCTGCGTCAAGCGGTTGTCCCTGTCCAGGAACTCCTTGAGCTCCTTCTTGATGCGCTCGGAATCCAAAGAAAAGTTGGGCTCATTCTTCTTCTCGTTATCGGGGTTCCACCGGTACAGGGGCCAGTAGCCGAGGTCGACGGCCTTCTTCGTTTCCTGGAGGACAGTGAGGGGGGAATCGTGCTCGCCAAAGTAGGGGAGGTAGGCCAAGACGATCGAGGGCCCGTTGAACTTGTCGGCCTCGTCCATAGCCTGGAGAACCTGAGTGTACGAACTATAGACAGCGGTCGACGCAACATAGGCGTTGGCGAAGTTCATGGCGTAAAGACCGATATCCTTCTTTCTCCGGTTGGCATCGGCAGCGGCACGCTCCGAGTAAGGGGTTGAATCGATAATCAGGAGGTTGACGTTCTCACCCGATGCCAAGACGTGGTGAACACCTGAGTTACCCAGGTCGTATGACCAGGCATCGGACCCGACAAGCCACAAGGATTGCCTGTGGAAGAAGTGCTTGTTCTGGAGCAACGACCTGGACAACCTGGAATTGTCGATAAAGAGCTTTGAAAGGACATCTTCGGCGGCCGCGTCAGCCTTCTTGGGATCCTCAGCGTTGGCGACCCAGTGGGCCAAGGACCGCTTGGGGTTTTCGGTTAGGAACTGGCCGGAGCTCGCGGCGTTCTTGACTTCGCCCAGGAACTTCTTCCTCCGCTCCTTCCTGGCGAGCAGAGAACCAAAGCCAAATTCCGGGGTGGCGGAGATGGTGTTGGAGACACCGGCGTTATCCGACTCCAGGGAGTTGGCAATAAAAGCCCTGCTGCCGAACAGCTGGTCGAGGATCTTCGTATAGGCTGTCTCAAGCTTCGGCTTCTCAAGGCCGTACTCAGGTGCGTGTTCGGGAGCCTCACGTTCGCCAACCTCCAAGTTTTGAACCGGCTTGTCGGACCTGAGGTTCTGGAAGACACCACGGAGAGCTTGCTGCACGGTATCCTTGGAGATGTAGCCAAGCTGGTGGCCAACAATGGTGTCCACGCCGCCAGCAGCGCTCTTCACGGACGTGAGCACGTCGATAAGGACGGGGCCCCACTTGGTCGTCTTCCTTGAGACCTGCTCCAGGACGGCCACCTTCTTCACGGATTTGGGGATGGCCTCGAGCACTTTGGCGCCCAGCCAGGGGCGGTACAGCCGGGGGATAATCAATCCCGCGTTAGCAAAGGAATCGTCGGCCTGCGCTTGGGCGATGGCGTTGCTGAAAAGTGTGGCATCCGAACCAAAAAGGAACAAGCAACTCTCAGCCTTGGAGTCCCCTGTCCACTCAAACGCATGGTATTGCCGGCCCACGAGGTCATTAAGTTGAGTCCAGATGGAAGTGACGTATGTGTGGATATCTTCGGAGGACACAACGGGGACAGTGGGCTCGATGGTCGTCGCGGCTGACGGGACGGGTGGTGAGCTAGCGGCGCTCTGCTGACTGGACTTCACAGAGGACTGAGACGTGATAGTCGGCGTTGCCAGCGCGGCCTCGCCGGCTGGCACAGTGTTGGCACCAATCGCTCCCACGGCCAGGGGCTCAGGCTGATCCGAGACGAGCGCGGTGCGGCCATCGTCGGCGTAGATGTTTGACCCCTCGATAGGGGCGGACTGGAACCGCCGCACGTTGTCAAGGTTCAGAAGACCCCGGAGGACATCCGCGCTCGCGACATCGATGAGCTCGTCACTAGCACCAGAGGCGGGGTCGAAGAAGTGGATGACACCCTTGCCCGAGCGGAGGGCCAAGGCATGCGCCGTGACGGCGATGTCGTGGGCATCCTGCAACGACCACGACTGCAGGAAAGTCCATCCCGAGTTCCGGATCGAAGTGATCGCCGAGTAGTCGGGGAAGCTCTTAGGAGTGAGGGCTACATGAAGCACGACGGGGAAGTTCGCAAGTTTGTAGAGATGGGCGACCGAGGAGAGGAGGATGGAGGAGGTCGTGGTCACCGAGACCAGGCGGCCGGAGCGGATCGGGGTGAAGACCGACAGGAGGGGGTCGGTGTTATGCCTCACGGGCTGGATCTCGGGGACGGCATCGCTGGTTTTCGCGACCAAGCTCGGCGTCTTGCTCGCGGCGAGCTGCTTGAGGCGGCTCGAGAACTCCGACTCGGAGGCTAGCGAGGGTTGCACCGAAACAACGACGTCACTCGCAAGGTATGCAATTGCAGCGACTACAGGTTGAAATTGTTAGTTCCGGCTCAGACTAAGGTATCCAGGCTGCTTGCAAAAGACTTTCTCCCTCATGCATCACCCCAAACGGCCTTCCTCGTTCCCCAATGGCAGTAGCCATTGGCCGTTGGTGTGAAGCTCTTGACGGGCAAAAAGGACACCGATTGCGGGGCGGGTAACTTTTTTTTGCCCTTTTCCCCTTCCAACTTGGGGAATGGTGGGGGAGGGGCAGCGAACTCACCAGCCTCTTCGGGCGTCCTCAGCTTGACGTCCGCCATCGCTGAGCAGCTTCACGGGGTAGAATTGGGTACTGGGGAAGCGTGCAACATCACAGGGAAGCAACCGTGGTTTTGTAAAAACCCTCAAGGCCACTGACTCTCCATTCCTTTATGGGAGTGGAGGTCTAGGAGTCAGGTCGGAGGAACGCAATCACAGGCCCTATATCGGCCCCGCAGCACCGCCCAAATTTGTCGGGCAGGGGACACGCCGCGCGGGAGGTGAACGATTGCGTGATCGCTCTAGCGCCTCACATCCCGGGTTTTGCCCAGATCCCCAAGCCGGCCAGCGAATTGCGGGCGTGGGATTTCAACAGTGCTTTGTCATATGGACCTCGACAGCGCTCCATTGTTGGGCCCTGGGGGCTGGGTTTTACATCTTGGCCGGCGCTGCACTAACATGGCGCTGTGTGTTCCAAGGCAATCTTTGTTAGCAGCACACATCTGCCGACTTCGTCGCTTGCTCCGAGTTCCTGGCCCTGCAACTCCGAGTGCCTCACCCACGTTTTTTATATCCTCTCAAAGCTGCCGACCGACAGCCGCCGAGCCGCCGAGCCGTTCACGAAACTTTTGTTCTTGCCGTTGCTCCGCCGGGAATGGCGTCAGCGAGAGTATTTTTCTTGTCCCTGCACCTGAGACGAGGCAGAGGGCGGTGAAAAATTGCCAAGCTTCGAGAAGCAGTTTAGTGGAGATTTTCCCAGCCCATCCGTAAAGCTAGACAGACCCAACATCGCCATCGGGGGGCGCCGGAAAAGATACTGCCGCACCCTCTGTTTGTAATATTAGTGGATTGGTAAGTAGTCATCCAAGAGGCCTGTAATATGTATTCTTTGCACCATCTGTATCTCGTAGAGTCCCTCGCACTGCGCAAATCCGAAAACGCCGGCCATGCAAAATATAAACTCCCCATACGTCGTCTAACCGGGTGAAAGCAACGCACACCACGCACCACACACACCACGCACCACACACACCACGTGCTCCGTGGCGGTACCACAGCACGACCCCACCGCGGCATATCCCTAATTCAATCCCTCGTGCTCCTGAATTTGGAGTTGACCTGCCGTGTCCATTCCTCATCTTCCTTCTTGCCTCCTAACCAGTATCCCTTCCCAATCGAAACCATCGCCCGTCCAAGTCTCCCCCTCCAACCCTCTCCAAGCGGCGCGCCCACAGCAAACGGATCCGGCGACACATCCGCGACTTCCTTAGAATCGCTCATCTGTTCGTCCACAAAACGCAGCAGCACCATGCGCGCGTACGCTGTGATGACAAGCGTAAGGTAGATCCGGATGAGGGTGAGCGCCACAATGAGCACCATGCTGGCCGCGGTATCGTGCACGGTGGTCCCGGCCTTGACCTGCGCCTCCTGGCTCGGATCCAGCTGCACGTCTCCATTGCTGGGCGACGACACATCGTCCTCTGCGCCCGCCGGACCTTTGGTGTCATGCATCGACGCCAAGTACCATGTTGTCGCAAAGGCAGCCGTGTAGCCGGCGCTGACAAGTGTGTCGATGGCGTAGACCCACGCGAGCGCGAGGTTTTGGAGGGGGCTCCGTTGGCGGATGTGCGGGATGCAGACGGCAAGGGTTAGGAGCACAAAGATCGAGCCAAGGTAAGCTGTGATTTGGAGCGCTGAGAGCGAGTACCCCGTGAATAGCGTCAGGATACCGTAGATGCCGGTGGCTTTGTTGAAGAGAAGAGCGATGGAAATCAGTTCGGTGCCCGTCTGGAGGGACATGAACCCAAAGAAGGACTAATTGTCGCGTGACAAGCTGGTCAGCAATGAATCCGTTGGCGATTAGGGGCCAACGGCAACAAACCTTGGGTCTGGGCAGCCGGAGCCACGAGCTTAGTGATGATGCAGTCATCTTGTCGAATACCCCAGATCGCTTTCTCGGGGTCTTCAGTGTCGTTTCTTGTGGTCGCCTCGAGAGAGCCGAGTTGCGAGTTGGAGGTTCGCAAGCCTGGGAAGAAGGAACCTCGGAAAGGTGGGGCATTTGTCGGGCCTTGGCGGTCTCAATTCTTTTCCATTGGAAGCGCGGCCGGGGCCTCGGATGAGTCGGCACACGCCAAATTACGAATATGAGTTTCTCGTTCAGACAAACTATGGTAGTACACTTATCCTAGGCAAATTCAGGCGTCGCAGATTTCTCAAAAACCACGTCTCAATCCCTATGCACATGTAACTACTGATAGGAACAAGTGGTTCGTTTCGAATTCCTGACGTTGACCTGTGGCATTGAGCCTGTCCCGCCCTCAATCAGGCATGACAGACCCGACTTGAGCCAAGCAAGGTGTGCCAACCCTGGAAGGCAGTTTGTTTCTGCCCGCCCACCAACGACGTCAGCGAGGACCCCTTGGCCCTCCTCCCCCAAGGACTTCGTAAAGCGGCCGGAATCACCTACCAGAGACGATCATGAAACCCCCACTTAACTATCTTCGTCTTTCCCGTTTGACACCATCCGTTCGTTGATCTTTCACTTACCTGCAACATTAGCGAGAGATGTCACAATTGACACTCTTGGATATCCGTGATTAGCAATGTACACGGGTGAACCAAGGACAGCTGAGCTTCGAGGCTTCCTAGTATCCAACAACAGATAGTGGGTGTGCAATAGACATACAGTCAGAAGCAGGGAAACATAATGCAAATAAAAAAATAGAAAGGAAAAAAAAGAGAAAGGGGAAAAAGGCTACGGGATGATTAAATTATACTTGCCTTCCTTTGGGCAAGAAGAGATCCTGTTAAATACAGGATCGCTTTCACCTTTTAGAACAAATTTGGAGACGACAAGAAACCGTCCCCCATCCATTAGATTAGTCTTTAAACTTGCATTCGTCGGCGGAGTCGATGAGATACAATGCCCGAACCGCAATGCGCCTTTGAGAATTTATGCACGGCATGGCGATTATGATTTTGAGTTTCTTCGAATATTATACCGCGCTTCTCCTCCATTTGTCCACGGTATCATATGTATGGCCCTAGCATGACGCCGAATATGTTGTCTATCGAAGGTGTCCCTTGTGGCCCGACGGTTCGGTACCCTAACATGAAGATCGTGTCCCTCCGTTTTATAACAGCTTTATTCCTTTTCAATGACATTCGCCGGATCGTAGAGTAAACTACAGCACATTCACAATTATGAGGTGAGCAGAGGGGGGAAGCTGACCTCAGTCACCCGAGTTGACTTTCTATTCCGAATCCGTCAATGGGAATATTGAAACATGTTTCAACAACATTTGATACCTTTACATAGACATCTTTTGAAGTCAGGCCAAGGTTTGCGAGCCCAAATACATCTCACATTCGGACTGGCTCAAAGCGCTGTTAACGAGTCGGCATTTATTTGCGTGTCTGGTGATGGGATAAATGCATCCACCCCACAGCGCTGGTCATCCCAACAGCATATGCGTACATATGTGCGGCCCTCGCGGCTGGTTAGCGGGATGAAGCCCGACGACAGCGTAGCGATGAGAGCCAGTACGGAAATGCAATCCTTCCCCCCCTTCCCTGTCCATGAGACTATCGCCAGCTATGCACCAAAGTCCTCGGCATGCGTGGGGAGGCGGTTTATGTACAAGAGTGGTAAAGAAACCAAGGCCATTTCCATCCCAGATAAAACCCCTGTGGACGCCCGATGAGGCGTAAGAGATGAAGCGAAGGTGTGTTCCAGATTTGTGACATCATGCATGACGTGGTCATTCACCTAGTGTTGCTTGAGACCAATCCGCTCGAAGTTCCTCTCGATAGTCTTCGCCGTCCGTACGGCGGCCTTCTCCAGCGGAAGACGGTGTTCCATCCTCTGGACGGCACGCTCGATTGGGGGCGAGACGCGTTGGATGCTCCGCTCCGCCGGGGTACGGAACATGCTGATGTTGCGCTCCCAACGGGGAGCCCATTTGATGGTTTGCCGGCCAAGACGTTCCTCGGCACCAGGTGCCAACAGGTAGAAAGGGGCAAGGCCCGACACACCAGCGGCGCCCATGCACCAAACCTCAGTGCGGGTGGCGGCAGGAATACGGACAGGCATGTTGACGGTAGTGTGAAAGTTGGGTTGACTTTATTCTTGTAGTCGTCAAGTGCTAACTAGCCACCCCGAGAGTTAGTATTCGTTGATGGACTGATGAAGGATGTTGGCAAGATTGGGTAAAAGAGCGCGAGGAAAAAGGCCACTTGAGTCGGGTGGCAACGTGCGGGGTCCCTTACGAAGGGAGACCGTACTAAGGCAAAGAGTATATCGCTTACCTTTTCAAAACGAAAAGCTGCGATGGATGGCAGATCGTGTGTGTGTGTCGAGAGAGGATTGTAAGAGACTTGTACTTGTGTTCAAAGACTCTCGATAGAAGTAGGTTGTGCGTGTTGTGATTGTTGTGGTCTGAAAGATGTGGTAATGCTTAGTTGGAGAGAAGGTGTGTTGCACAAGAGAGGAGAAACCGAGGAAAGGGATGGGCGGCCCCTTTATTACTCCATGGGCATGAACAACTTGACACAAGATGGGCGCGCTGGGCTGGGGAGGACCACGTCGCTTGCCCAAAAGCCCAGCTGACAACCAACGGAGATGCAGTGGCGTGCCGTCCTTGGGACCCAAAACGGCCGTCCTTGCTCCCTTTGCTAGGGGGCGCCTCCCCCAGACCACGCCATCGAGCGAGGTGCGGAGCGGGGTAACCGTCGCCGCTATTAACCAGCGCCAATCATGGGTTAGATGAGACGTCACTGTGCACTCATGCCGGCTCTGTTTGCCAGTGAGCTTGGTCCTTGCCCTTGACTCAAATGACCTGGCGCCATGGCCACGTCCAGAGTAGGAAACGACCAGGGCGATTGTTGCTAGGCTGATTTGGTTCTCGACCGTCGTTCTGCTTGGTGGTGTCGAGATGCAACACGGCCCGCCGAGCCTCATCCCGCGTTTGGACAACAGAGGAACAACATACTGTCATTTGAACTCGATTTTTCGAGTTGATATTGAGTTTAACTCGAGATATGCTCATGGCCGTCGGCTAGCGTGCGAAGGCAGGGGTTGGTGGGCCCGGCCACGATGAAGCTCCACATTCCCCAGACTCCACCCCCGCGATGGAGTGGATCTGGTGGAGTGCAGCACCCGACACCAGAACGTCTTGTCTTGAGCCTGAGGACAACGGTCCGAGTCAACAAGACTCGGTTGAGATCTCCCTCCCGATGTATCAACAGAGTGTACATGTCTCTTCTAGTGCAGCGAGAGCGCCCCAGAATTCAAACCCATGTCCAGTGTATTGATTTGCCTTTGTCGAAACCTTCTGGTCGAAAGGCGACTGGACCTGAGCATGCGCCGCTCGACGTCGCACGCGAGCCCTTCGAACGGCAGGGGTTGTCAGCCCCAAACGCCATGATCGCGCCGAACCGCATGACCGTTGGTGGACAAGAAACATCGATGTTTGCAAAGTCTCAAGGAGTTTGACGGTGAGCCATCAAATCTTCGGCAGCGGGAGACCTTCCGGTTCATTCTGCTCCTCATTCAGCTTTGGGAACCCTGAGATCGCCATTGTTGACAGTTTCAATTCTTGGTCTCGTGAGTCGCCTCGCCTAACTTGGGTGATCCACACCGTTGACAGGGCCTCTGGTGGGTCCACGGTCTTGGCATCAGATCATGATGCAGGCCAGCGGGTTGGGTAGACGGAAGGACGGCAAGACCGTCCTTCTGAACCGACGTCAATTGAACCTCGAGCAGGATTCCAAAGATGGAATCGAATTTTCTAACGGAAAGGATGGCGTGGATATTTATTTAAATCCAGGGCATTCAATTCTCGTCGCGTGGGATATGCCTCGGGATAAAGAGTGCTTTGCGGAATTACGGCTCGCATGGGTCCCTAAAACTGAACGCACGAGCCGAAACATTGAATCAAATATCGACACCCTAAATCAGTCAAAACACTACCCGCCATATGTTGTTGAGCGATTGGATGAAAAGTCTAGACAGTCGAGTGCATCACATTTGGTCGAATTGATATTTGCGGATTCTACACGATAAACCCTAACCCTTGGCAATAGTCGATAAGACCGATAAGCGTGGGGTTTAGCTCCACTTCTTTTCCTGTCCGCAAAAGCGGTCAATTTTTTTTCCTGCGAGATCGAGGGCTGCATTCAACCCCTAGTTGAGGTTGTGTACTTCGACAAGACAGCCCGCCCTCTCGACAGCCCCCTCCTCCCTGTCGACAGCCGGCCACGAGACCCCACGATGCGTGTTGAAAATTGTTTCTTCTGCGGGCGGCCCGCATGGCCCAGCAAGGGAATCACCTTTATGAGAAATGATGGTACGTCTTTCGCTCCCGGACGAGGCAACACCAATGGAAGAAAAGGGTTAAGGGAGAAGACTAACGTTCCAATTTTTTCTTGTTTGCAGGGAAATCATTTCGCTTCTGTCGGTCCAAGTGCCACAAGAACTTCAAGATGAAGCGCAACCCACGCAAACTCAAGTGGACCAAGGCGTACCGCAAGAACGCAGGCAAGGAGATGGTGGTCGACAGCACGCTCCAGTTTGCGGCGCGGCGCAACGTGCCGGTGCGCTACGACCGCGAGCTCTTCGCCAAGACACTCAAGGTGATGGAACGTATCTCCGAGATCCGTTCACGTCGCGAGCGCATCTTCTACAAGAAGCGCATGGCCGGAAAGCGCGCTCGCGAGGTCGCCGCCGCCCGCAAGCTTGTCGCCGACAACGAACACTTGCTGCCCCGCCTGCGCGGCAGCGAGAAGCGCCGTCTTGCCGAACTGGCTGCCGAACAAGGGGTCGACGTGGAGGAACTCGAGCGCGAGGAGTTGGCCTCGTCGCTGCGCGGCAGCAAGAAGACCAAGGCATTTGGTGGGGAGGTGCGCCGCCTGCGGGTGCGGACGGACGGCGGGGTGGAGGAGATTACCGAGGCCATGGCCGGGCATATGCATGGGGGTATGGGCGACGAGGACGAGGGAGATGAAGACGATGACGACGACGACGACGATATGGACACCGACTGATCGGCGGTTTGCTGTTGTTGATGATACCCGCGGCGGAGCTACTTACCGCGCATCCATACATCCGTTCATTTGCTCATCGATTCATCTTTTTTTCGGCTAAAGCGGTTGTCGACACGCCTGACGCGGCCGTGAGGAAGAAGCGACAGCGGCCTCGTACCGAAGGGTCGCCCTCCGCTTCAAAGGGATCTGCAGAGCCTTCAGGCCTACATCCATCCATCAGCTCGTTGGGCATATGTCCACTTCCGCGAGATGCATACCTCAATAGACACCATCGGTTGGGGAAATGGCGAAATCGGCGTTCATGGGAGGCTAGTAAAAAGATGGTTTTCTCTTTAATCCTATAGCCAGAAAGTTAGTATATTCAAACTAAAACCGGGGGGTGTGAACACAGAATCACACGGGTTGGTCGGAATTGCCAGCATGATTCATTGTCCAAGGCAAAGCGAAAGGACCCTTCCAAGGGCGGCCTGGCCTCATAAAATAGATATAATGCCAAACACAGTGCGGGTATGGAGTACATATTATTAGATTGATTTCATGTAACGCTGATGCAAACGCACCCCCCAGGCTACGAGCCTCCATCCAACTCCACGTGGTCCATTCTCCTGACTTTGTCATGCAACTCAATTCATTCGTTATGCCCGCTTTCTTTCCCTCTATTCCTCCACTCTCCCCCACACCCCCTTAACCCGCCGTTTAACAAGCACATCCCTCCTGCTGAGTCTGGTTGGAAGGCGTCGTAACGTCAATCATCTGGTTCGACGCCTGGGCCGCAGCATCGGTACCCTCCATGCCGGGAAGGGCCTGGGCTATCCTTTTGAAGAGGTTCTTGACGTTATGGCCAAGCTTGGCGCTCGTCTCAACGAACATAAGTTGATTGCGCGAGGCCTCCTCCTCGCCCTGCTGCGTCGTGACCTCTCGCTTGTCGTTAAGATCCGTCTTGTTGCCCACTAGCACGATAATCACATCGTTACCCCGCTCCGCGCGCACATCGTCGATCCATTTCCGTGTGTTCTCGAATGATTTTGCGTCTGAGGTAAGTTAAGGCGATTCGGAAGCGGGCCATTGGTTAGCGTATGATTTCTCCAGGAACAGGAAACTTTGCGCAGCGGGAAAGCAAGGAACACGCACTTGAGATGTCGTATACCACTACCGCCACGCTCGAGTCCCGGATGTAGGACGGGATCAAGCTCCTGAATCGTTCCTGCCCGGCTGTATCCCAGAGTTGTAACCGCACTGTCCTGTCTTCAAGATACATCGTCTGTCGTGGCAATGAGTTAACAAGCTATGAGCGAGGGCTAGTTGCAGAAGGCGTCGTTGACTTGCCTTGGAGAGGAAGTCGATGCCGATAGTGGCCTGGTACATGTTGTCGAACGAGTCATACATGAAGCGGGTGATGAGCGATGTCTTGCCAACTGTTGGTTCCATCGATGTTTAGCAAATATCGTCTCTAATCGGCTGGGACGTTGCCGTGCAATCGCATACCGCTCTGTTCTCCAAGGAAAACTAGCCTATGTCCGGAGGGTTAGAGGACACAGGGTTACAGTTATGGGTATATTCGGGCGGGAGGTTTTTACTTGAACTTCTTCAGCGGGTTGTTGTAGGACCCGCCAGCTCCTGCTTGCGCCATGATGTGCGGTGTTGAGGCGAGGGAAGATTGGGTTGCGTGGTGTTGGAGCGCGGCGATGCGAAGGAGGGGTTCGGCAAAGACGACGGCGTCGTGTTGAATGTATTGGCGGTACTGTAAGGCTTCGTAGTACTACGCGGGTTGAATATAATCCTATTGAGGCCAAAACTTGAGCTCTCGTATGAGCTGGCGCAAAGAATGCAAGACGACGCGGCTTCGTTGATTCGGCAAAACGATGTGCTGAGGCGTCAAGGCTGGCGGCACCTGGCAGCAATCCAGCCCAGCTCGCATGCCCCAAGAAAAGGGGGGCGCTGCAAGTGTCGCTCCCGCTTTCACCCTTGCCGAGTTCGCCAGCTGGCAGAACCCAGCAAGGATTCTCAGCTTGCCGGGGCGAGGCTATCTTATCGGCCGTTATCCTGCCCCCTGGTCCGCCGAAATTTTGAGTGAAACCCCACTATTCAGTTCGCAGCTCTTGAATCAGGAATCAAACCGGGCAACTTCAATTCAAGGAAGCGATCGTGTACCGCGGACGGGAAACGGCTACACAACACCCTGCTCCCACATAACCACATAATCAATCGTGACGATGCCGGTCTTACGCCCTCTTTCGGGCAACCCAGATGCCCCTCAACAGTACAAACAACCGTCAAGGAAGGGCAAGAAAGCGTGGCGCAAGAACGTCGACATTTCCGAGATCCAGCACGGTCTCGAGGAGCTCAACGACCAGATAATAAAGGGGTACGTAGTATTGTGCTTTGCGCAAACTCACACTTCCGGCGACTGCTGCTGACGACGATAAACAGTGGTGTTATTGCTGAAAAAGAGTCGGCCGATCTTTTCACTGTCGATGTCACGGGCGACTCCGCGATTCCAAAACGGTTTTCAAAGCACATCAGCAAGGGGTTGAAGGCAGATGAGATCATTGCACAACGCTCGGCGGTCCCGGCTGTGCCGATGCGCAAGCGGGCAGGGGACAAGACAACAGATGGACTGCTTCCGGTGAAACGGCAGCGGAATACCTATGTCACGCATAAGGAACTCGCGAGGATAAAAAAGGTCGCCGATGGACACCATGACTCAACAGTCGCAGTGGTGGATGCTGAGTATGACATGTGGGCCGAGCCCAAGGAGGAGCCCAAGACGGACGACCAGCAGTTCCTCCCCACAGTCGAAAAGGTCAATAAGCCCAAGACGCTTAACGAAAAGCCCATCTCTCTCGCCGCTAGCGGGAAAGCGATACCCGCGGTACCCAAGCCAAGAGGCGGACACAGCTACAACCCGGCTTTCAACGACTATCAAGACCAGCTAATCCTAGAGAGTGAGAAGGCCGTAGAGGAGGAACGCAAGCGGCTCGAGGCCCTTGAGGCAGAGCGCATCAAGAAAGAGGCGGCGGCTCGGTCGGCAGCGGAGGCAGAAGCGGCTGAGGCCCGGGCAGATCTTTCAGAGTGGGAAGACGATTCGGCGTGGGAAGGGTTCGAGAGTGCGGGCGAGGAGCTGAGCGTCAAGGCCAAGCGACCACGGCGCAAGACGCAAGCGGAGCGCAACAAGATCAAACGACGCAAGGAGGAAGAACGTAAGGCCAAGCATGAGGCGGCCATGAAGCGCAAACGGGCACAGGAGGAGCAAATCAAGCAGATCGCGCTCGAGGTGGCAGAAAAGGAGCGGCAAATGGCGCTGGAAAAGATCGAGATGAGCGATGCGAGCGACGATAATGACGATAACGAGGTTGAACTGCGGCGAAAGCAGTTGGGCAAGTTTAAGCTGCCCGAGAAGGATCTGGAGCTGGTGTTGCCCGATGAGCTACAGGATTCCCTTCGGCTGCTCAAGCCCGAGGGCAATTTACTCAAGGATCGCTACCGCAGCATGTTGGTTCGCGGGAAGATGGAGAGTCGGAGGAAGATTCCGTTCCGGAAACAGGCGAAGACCAAGGTTACGGAGAAGTGGACATACAAGGATTTCTCGTTGTAATCGACGTAATACAAATGCAGTTTCGACGATATCTCCAAACAGCCATCCAATGTTGCCTCTTCTGTGATCTTAAATCCGTCACAGGGACCACCATAGCAATTACACTAAAATAGGTGCCTGACTACCTGGGTTGTGAACGAGATTTTTCACAATCCGCAGAACCAGGCGTGATCTTGCCGTTCTTTTTATTATGTGAGACAGGGACATGGCGAGATACGTGGACATGACAACAACAACAAAATCCCAAGATCTCTATATTTTCTCCGACTCCGACGCCGGGTATGCGCTGTAAAGACGATGTACAGAAAAGAACACACCAAATGGACCTTTTAACCGGGCCATCGCTTTCTCGCAAAAAAGCCACTTCAGATCATACATGAAAGATAAATACAAAAATAAAAAGTAAGAAACCAAAAATGGAAAGTTAATTTGAGGGATTAGATGGCTAGGAACTGCCGATTTAGTAGCTCATTAGATCTGCAATGGGTATAAGCGGTTAGCATTGCACGTCAACGTTCTCCTCGGCATCCCACATGGTGGGGAAAAAACAAAGGGAAAAAAGACTCACCTCGCCCAAACAGCCCCCGCTTTGCCCAGTCCATCGCCATCAACACCCTCGTCCGGAAGCTGACGCTCTGCGCAAAGTAGATGCTCCGCCACGCATACACGGCCCATAGACCGCCCGCCATCCCCCAACCTTTGCCTAGATCAAACACGGCCGAGTTGCCGATGTACGCTAGGCTGCCCAAGTGCTTGTACTCGAACGCCTTGTACACGGCCGCGTCGAGGTCCCCCTCAACGATCTCGTTCGCCTGCAGGCCTGGCGTGGCCCGCGCCAGCTTGTTGAACTTGTGTGCGAGGTACTGTCCCTGCTGGTGCGCGCGTTGGGCGGTAGCCGGCAGGCTGGTCAACTTGCTGTCGATTTGCTTGAGCAGCTCACGCAGCTCGCCAAACTCGAGCGTGCCCGACTGGTCGCGGTCGTACTCGGCGAACAGCTTATCAAGGCGCTTGAGGTGGCCGACGGCTTGCGGGAAGCGCTTCTTGACCTGCTCGGCCACATTGCGCCAGTCGGAGAAGTGCAGCTGCAGATTCTCCGGGTCCTTGCCGTGCTTCCAGGCCAGGGAACGGAGGAAAGTCACGATGTGGTCCGCGACGTTGTTCTGCACGGTCGCGCAGTCACCGATGGCATATACGTCGCCGAGGGGTGTGCCGTTGACACGCAGGTGCGTGTCGGTCTCCAGGGCATGACGGTTGGTCTGCGCACTGCCGAGCTTATGTGCGACCGTCTTACAGAACTCGTTCTGGGACACGCCCGTGGACCACAGGCAGAAACCCATCGGGAGCTCCTTGGTGACTACGTTCCCCTTCCCGTCCTTCTGGGTGAACACGATAGACTCCGGCCGGACCTCGCTCACGCGGGAGTTGGTCAGCACCTCGACCTGGTCGCGCGCGAAGCGGTCCTCGGCGTACTTGGACAGCGTCTCGTCGTACGTGTTGAGGATGTGGTCACGGCTCTGGATGAGGTGCACCGAGATCTCGTTGCGCAGGAGCCGCGGGAAGAGGTGGATCAGATCCTCGTTGAGCAGGTCGAATAGTTCGGCCGCGAACTCGACGCCCGTCGGCCCGCCGCCGCTGACCACGAACGATAGTAGCCGCTTACGCTCCTCATCTACCGTGGTCGGCAGGCAGGCCAGCTCCAGGTTGTGGATAACCTTGTTGCGGATCTCCCGTGCGTCGTTGATGTCCTTGAGGAAATGGCAGTGCTCCAGCCCCTTGACACCATGCGGGTTCGTGACGGAGCCGACTGCCATCACCAGCTTGTCGTACGGCACGTAGAACCTCTGCTCGACCCCGTTGGCATCCCTTTGCGCCACCTCGACCAACCGCGCCGAGAAATCGACCTCCTCGGCGCGTGCGAGCAGGAAGTGGCCGCCGACGTTGTGTATGATCCGCCGGATCGGCTCCACTAAGGACCGCAGCCCGAGCGTGCCCACCGTCGCCGACGGCAGCATCGGCGTGAACAAGAAGTAATTCGTCGGCGAGATGACCGTGACGTGGTAGTTCTCCGGCGCCAGCTCCTTCAGTAGCGCTACCCCTCCCCACCCCCCGCCGAGGACCACGAGCCGGGGCTTGTTCTTTTGCCGGCGCATCTCTTCGGTGTCGTCATCGTCGATGTACGACTCGAGGATCGGGAGGTTCTTGGGGCCGCCACGCCGCGGGCTGATCGCTAGCGCCGCAATATCGACGTCCATCTGGCTCGAGTGCAGGTGGTACGTCGAGGCATCGTATAGGAAGAAACCAACCACTCCCAGTCCCAGTACGACCACGGTGCTCCCGAACACAGCGGCAGCGCGGTACCCAAAGTTGAGGAGCCTCGACTTTCGTTGTGGGAGCGGCTTGCCGGACAGGTGGCGCGCGAGAACTAACGGCGCGGGGAAAAGCGGCTTTGGCTGAGTTGCAGTCGTTGCCCTAGCCGTTGCTGTAGTCGCATTTGCGGTTGTCGCCGCTACACCCTTTTCTCGCGTCGCCGATCCGGTCCTACTCCGCGCCCTCGTAAATAACGACTGGCTCTGTGTTCTCGTCCATTGGTGCCGTGGTGTCAAGTGCGCACTCCGAGGACCCAGACGACCCGCTTGTTGGGCGACTCGGGCTCCTAACATCGTGATGCCCTAGTTTTGGTGTTTAGTTCTGTGACGTCAACAACCACAACCAACAAGAAAAAACCAATGCGGGGCAGAGCGAGTGGGAATGGTTGTAAAAAAGAGAGAGAATAAAAACAACAAGAACCCGGACGGGCTTCTTGGTAATATGGGCGCAACAAAGGGCGCAAAGAGGGGTTCTCTGCGAGGAAACGAGTGCGTAAATGCAAATCTCAAATCGGAAGACGGCGCCGACAAGACCACAGCAGCTGAGTTCTCCCAACGGTGGGGGATCGGCACTTTACCACCTAACGACGTCAGTAGCAGCCAAGCTGATTTCTTGGGATTTGACAGGAATTGGTGGCCCTGAATCAGCACTGTTGGAGACGGTATTGAAAGGGTGCTCGCACTGTAGCAATCAGCTTTATTTCGGTCATGGAAATGTCGAACACAGACAGTGCCTACACTGTATTTCGCAAGAGAAGCGTGCGTTGGGAACTCGGAAGAGGTTGCCGCGAGGCCGCCTTTCCAGGGGTTCCAGATTTCATTTGTTCCACCCACTTCTTGAACTTCTAAAGGCCCGACTCGGAAGCCGATGGGGCCGACATAGCCACGTCCAGGTACTTATGAGCGAGCATCGTACCGACGCGAAGACGCGAGAGCGGCGCCGTGTGAAGAAGTTTTTAAAATCCCGCGAAAAAGTGGCAGCATGCAGACGGTAAGTCGGGTTTTACCCCGACTTGACGCGAGATAAGCCAAACGCAGGAAGCAGAGATCCCATCCAAAATGTTCGGATGTTCAGATTGTGATGCCCAGATGCCCGGTGGAAATACAAACGCCAGGCTATGCAATCCTGATGCACCTCTCTTTCCTCACTCTATCCCCTGTTATCCCACCTACGTTCCATCAGCATCTAACACCTGAAGTACTTCTTCTCGACCCAGCGTTCCTCAATATCATGCACCACATGCCCAACGACGACCGCCAACTCCGGAAACACCTTGGTGAGCCGGTGCAGACCCATCCTACCTGCGCTGTACGTGACTAGCACAATGCGTTCGGCCTTCACGCCGTGGTCGACCAGCACCTGCACGGCCATCAGTGCCGAGCCGCCGCTGCTCATCTGCGCATCTAGGAGCAGCACTGCCTCGTGCTGGTGAATGTCGGGCGGCAGCACCAGATAGTGCAGCTCCGGCTCGCCCGTCCGCACGTTGCTTTGCACTAGCATCCGGCCGGTCTTGCAGTCCGTAATGCACCGGTGTAGCCCGGCTTCCAGGGCAGCCCCGCCGCGAAGCACGATAACGGCAGATACCTCGCCCTTGGGACGCAGCCCGGCGTAGGTGAGCCCTTGCGGGGTGGCGATGGAGGAGGGTGTGAAGGGGATGTTGTTGAGTGCTCTGACGACTGTTAGTGTTTGGATTGAGAAGAACAACAAGGGGGGGGTAGAGTAGAATGCATGGGCAACTGACTGCTCTATGAGAAGCGCACTGAGGCGGTCAAAGTAAAAGATAAAGTCCTCGCTCGGCGTATCGATGTTGTGGATGATGGTGTTCATGGCCTGCATTTGCGGCGTCTGGTTCAACACCGTTACTTTCTCCGAAAGCGGCTCCGACTGTGCTCCGATTTCTAGGCGGGTCAGGGCCGCGCGGTGGTGTGTCGACTTTTCGAGCAGCTTTTGCTGGATGAACTGAACCACCATCGCTACTAGGGTCAGAACTGATTCGACTTGACTGCTAGGCTTGCGCTGTTCTACTCACACATGGCAACATGATTCTCGACGCCACGTGGGACGATGATGTCGGCCACTTTCCGTTGGGGATCGACAAACTACATCCGATGTTGACATTCAGTACGATGCCCACGGGTGGTAGGAAGAATGCACACTCACCTTCTCAAAGTTTGGCTTCACAAAGGCAAACCACTGCTTGATGATGCCTTCAATATCTCGCCCACGGTCCCGCTGGTCACGCAGTACTGTCAATCCTATTAGCAACGCCTGGAAGAGGGGGGCGTGTTTCTGAACATACTCCTTCTTGAAAGACAGGTGTCTGCGTCGGCTTCACAGAAGATCTTGAACCCGAGTCAGCCGAGGAAACATTCTTGTAACACCTGGGACAGCCAAAACAGAAATCACCTTCATGTCCATGAGCGCAAGCACCCTGGGATCATATAGTGCAAAGATGCCCTCCAGGATCAAAACATGGGGCGAGTAAATGGATGTGGTCTTGTCTACTCGGGCATGCTTCTCGAACGAGTACACCGGGATCTCGGCCCGTTTGCTACAGCGGGCATCATCATCAGCGATGGCTCCGGGGCGAGGAAGGTTTTGGCACGAGCCCAACTTACCCAGCCTTGAGGTCCCGCAGGCGGTCTACTAAGGCGTCGAAATCGATCGCCTGCCATGATGATGAGCCGAGTGCATGGGAATGCGACATGTGTGCAAGTGGCATCGGCTTACATCGGGCGCATCAAAGTCGTACTCATTCCGGAACGCCTTCCGGGAAGATTCCGGGTCCAGGCTCTTATAGAATGAGTCCTACGGGCAGCCAGAAACACCATGAGCAAACCATGAGCAAACCGCGTCTCACGTTCCCTTCTCTATCCGGACCGCCCGAACCACTCACGATAGACAAAATAACCACCCAAGGCAGGTTCAGCTTCTTTACAATGGCATGCGACAGCGTCGACTTGCCGGACCCGGAGCTCCCCGCGATGCCAATGATGCTGACGTCGGCCCATGGCGGCGCGTAGTGTGCCCTCGTGGCTATCGTGCTGTCCGTCTCGGGAACCGCCGCCGCGCCCTGGAGGACGGCTGTGAGTTCGGCGGCCGTGGACGACGGCATGATCGGATGGCGGTGTGATGGGCGTGTTTCGTTTGGTAGTTATCTGGTGGACCTTGTTGATAGGGGTACTGGTGAAAGGTAGTTCCTACCTCCGGGATACCTTGTTACTTTTGTGTACCTTTAAAAGAGGCGTTTGTTACCAAAGATAGCGAATACCGCCTTTGAAAAGTGCAACTCTTGTGGTGTTGAAAGGGGAATCAGGTAGGCTACCAGATTGCCTTTTGAATCCACGCTTAAGGCGAGGCGAGTATCCCGTTTGGGTCACCAGGAAGGAGGCCGATAGGTTGGCACGTTGGGTCAAGCCTCGTCAAAGCTAAAAACAGGAGGAAGACAACCGAGACAAGATCTTCGATTCCTCCTGTTTTTGGGTTAAAATCCCAGTTGAGTGAGACCTGTTGCGGGGCATATTGAGGCTCAAGGGCTGGCCACCTAGCCTGAGCCGGCAAAGGCCGTTACCAGCTGCCTCTCATCGCCGGACCGTCTGAGATAACTAAAGTGGAGTGCATCAATGTGGAGCGACTGAAGCGCAGTGGCTCCACACAAGCAGGAGCTCGGACGCAAATTCTCGGCCAAAGAGCTGCAGGAGGCAGGCAACTTCCATCTCTGCTTCCCGTTTTCCTCCACTTCCGCCTCAAGAACCCTCCCCTGCTCGTTGAATTTTTTTCCTACCTTCTTCCCTCCTGCTTTCCTTCCTGCATCCCTTCCCGAAACGTCACTCCCCGTGCTTACCTGACCTCAGGGCGAGGCACCGTGACACGCCAAATGTGAGACGCAGGTCGTGGGGAGAGCAGGCAAATGTTCACCGGGAGCGCAAAGCCCGAACTTTGCACACTTTGACGTTGATTTGACATTTTTGCGTGCTGCGAACCTTAGCAGCTCTGCGGGCTCGTTGACCGAATGGTATGCGCCCCTCCCCATATATGAACTTGGACACTCACCCATCCGTTCCCCCCTTCCATCCCTTTTGATCTCTCCCATTATTGCGAATATCATCGCCGGAACCGCCAACATGGATTCGAGCTCGGATTCGGATGCTGACTCGTCCTCGCAGAACTCCTCAACGTCGACGGCGACGCCACAGCAGCATGCCTTCGAGAAACGGGCCGACGGCGTGAAAGCGCCGAAGAGGTACGCGCGCTGTTTAACGTTCCTCTGTCGTTTGTTGTCTATTTTTCCCTCTCCACCACGGCGCGGGCAAAATGATGATTGCATATCAATGGGAATCTCTCTGAAAATTCCATGTGGAGGATCTCTGCACTAATCTCGTAATACCCTGATCGCCGCCCGCGCTCGTGCCTGTTCGCAATGCTTTCATTTTGCCACGTCCTTCCACACGATGCTGATTTTAGGCCCTAGTGATATCAATGCGCTTATCCTCGATTATTTGACGATGGAGGGCTATCCCAAGGCGGCTGCCAAGTTCTGCAAGGAGGCGAACCTCCAGCCGCAGCAGTCGGACTCGTCCATCCAGCGTCGCCAAGACATCCAGTATGCCATCCACAGCGGCAACATCCATACAGCCATTTCGGCGTTGAATGATCTGGATCCTGAGGTTCGTGCGAGTTTGTGTTTTCTCTCCCCCGTTACTGCCTCTTCGTTGCTATGATTAGAACACGAGTTTCAACATGCACCACGCATAGGCTCCGGCCCAAGATGAGACACAACCACTTTGTTTATGAGCAACCTCCACCCCCCTCCGTTGTCATTTTGCTTGTTACCCTGCTACTGGTACTGGGTTCGCAGCTGTTACATGGCACCGGCTAACCCAGCATCAGATACTTGATACGGACCCCAAGTTGCACTTCTCGCTCCTCCGGCTCCAGCTTGTCGAGCTCATTCGGGAGTGCAATGACACCGACGTGACCCGGGCCATTGATTTTGCCACGGACAATCTGGCTCCACGGGCGGCAGCCAACAAGGACTTCTTGAACGATCTCGAGCAGACCATGGCGCTGATCATCTTCCCGCACGACAACCTCCAACCGGAGCTAGCCAGGCTGCTGAGCTCGGACCTGCGCCGGACCACGGCGATCAAGGTTAACGAGGCCATCTTAATGCGGGAGAACCGGCGCCGCGAGGCTGCTATTCGGCAGCTGGTGCGCATGCGGACATGGGCTGAGACGTCGGGCCGGTCCCAGAAGAAGGATGTCCCCGAAACGCTAGAGCTCGGACTGAATACGGATGGTAATGAGTACGGGGAGACTAGCGCTGAGCCTATGATTATGACATGAAGGAACGGCTTGGGTTTTACGGAAAGCTTGAAAGCTCCGGTTTGGTAGAGGCGTTTGGGTTCAAGTTGGAGTATACGGCGCGTCCGTCGGTATCATTAGTCCTGCTTATCTTTAGATGTCACTCGGCTCATACGAGCCTGGACATGGTTTTTTCTTCTCCCTTTTTTCGGGGCTGGTGGGATTGGACTGGGTATACCATATCGTGTATTAGGACGGCGTTTTGTCCCAGTTGCATGGTTCGGCCTTGTTCTGATGGTGCCTGGGGTAGATAGCTCGGCTTGCCGTTGCCCAATTCCATGCCTGCTTGTTACACCTCCCATGACACGATGCTCTCGTCTCTCACTGTTCATGAAGGAATTTGAGGGAGTAAGTTAAAAAGGTTCGGTGCAGTCTATGAACCTAACCACCCTGTAAAGCCCGTTCTTTGCCTGCTTATGCCTATGTACATCCTGTCCAACCCCTACCTCGCCCCGTCCCTTTCAGCCCTCGTCTCCTCCCCCCCACGTCATCCATCCACTGTTTACTTCGTCCGGATATGCTTCAACTTCTTGGACGAGTACAAAAAGTTGTTGGCGTACGCCTTAGGAGCGAATTTGCGCTCATTCGGCTCCTGCACAAAGTACTCGTACCCTTGCTTCTCGGCGAATGCGATGGCGTCTTCCTTGGTCTTGAAGTGGATGTGCGTGCCCTGCACGAAGTCGGCCGATGACTGCCACCCCATCAGGGGGTTCTCCCACCGATGGCCCTTGCCGAGCACGTCCCAGTCTAGTCGCCAGCGAGTCCCGATTTGTGTGCCGGATTGGGTGGCGGGTTTGGCGGGTTTGTAGATACTGCCAGCGGAAAGGGGTTAGTTGGTCTTGCTTGCTGCTTGAGGATGCTTTGGTCCTACTACAGCTTGATATGGGTGGATGAGGAAAAATGAATTAGGGGTGCGTACCGAACGGTTCTCGCTTGAAGCTCGATGGGCGCACCCGAGAGGAGACCGGCGGGCGTCGGGAGACCCTCCTCACTGCCGTCTTGCACGTGCTTCGGGACGGGAGTAAAAGTGCTGGACAGAGGGTGGGAGATAAAAGTCAGATATCATCGAGTTGGTTACTTGTCGTCCAGCGTCTGTTTCAAAATCCCCGAGCTTGGGAGCATACCTGGTGGCCATGTCGATGGGGACATTGTAGTCGGGCGCATTCCTTGGGAGTGTGGCCAACGGAGACGACTCCTTCTTCTGCTGCTCTGTCTTGGCCGGGACGGCTGTCGAGCTCTCATAACGGCGTGTGGCGGGGAGGATGGTGGTGCGGGCATGCGAGGCACTGCGCATCAGGCGCGCGGCCGAGGCGGTCGTTCGTAATGAGGCCATTTTGTTGTCGTCCGTCGGCCGCCGTGGATGAAGAGGGCTGTCGGGTCTGACGACTTGGCAGATCTGTGGTTCGCGAGTTTCGGGAGCTGTCCCACTGGCTTCGAATGCTACAGCTTGCTTGGGGTGAGGCGATTCGATCAATTCCCCCAATTGCGGGTTGCGGCCAACGCCCCACCCCGCACACCATGATTGGCTAGTCGGAAACAACCGCGCAACAACATCTTGCCGGGAGTGCGGTTTTCCTGCTCCACCTTGTGTGTGGTGAAGAGCCCGTCTTTAACAGCTCAATCGCAACCTCGCACGAACGACCCCGATCCAATTGAGCCGCACCTGCGCATCGACCACCCGAAGACTCGTCGCCGAAGTCTTCGCATTTTTCACCGAATTGTCGAGTTTTCTGCCAGCGCGCGCGACGCATTTCTGCCAATATGAGCTTCGTCACTCGCCGGGCGCTTTCGACGCTCATCCCGCCCAAGGTAAGCCGCTGCGAGCTCGGTAGGGGCTATGTATGGCTTGCTAACCCTCGGAACTAGGTCGCTTCACCGAAGGTATGTTTTAACGATCGACTTATCTTCACACACCCTGTCATGACCACGGCCTACTCGGGTATTTGGACTTGTTTTGGGGGGAAAGGGGGGCGAAAGAGGGCAGACCACTGCCATGGACCACTAGACTCGAGCGGGAAGGATGGGGAGAGGGCAGAAGGAGATGGCGCATGAAGATTAAAGAGGAGGATAAAACAGGAGAGAGGAAAGGACGGCCTGGCTGACTGAATACGCAGGCCATTGGCGCTGCCCCCGACGCTGTCCGCATGCAGCGTGTCGTTAGCTTCTACGAGAAGCTCCCCCGCGGCGCCGCCCCCGAGGTCAAGCCCACGGGCATTCTCGGCAAATACCAGGCGAAGCACTTTGGCAAGAACGCCTCCGGAAAGCGTGAGTAGTGGAAGCCCGTCCCGGGACTCACCAGCACCGAGTCCATATGTGGAGGGGATCGTCGAAACTGACTTGGGTTACTAGCCGTCGTCCACGCCATCGTCTTTCTCCTAATTGTCGGTTATGCGCAGAACTACTACTTCCATCTCCGTAAGTGTGACTGTGGCAAGTTGATACCCAGCGAGAGACGGCTAACAATCATGACAGGCCACCACAAGAACAACGCCCACTAAGTGGGGAGCTCAGCGGCGCTTCTGACTTGGCAATGATCCAGGCGTGTACATAAACTGTTTCCCATTAGAAGGGGTGCTTAGCACGCACTGCAACAAAGTTCTTTTTGTTTTCTCCGTTGGCGGTATTGTGTGCCTGTGAGTGGCTGCGGAACCTGGCGAAAAGGTTCTCCCAACGCTATACCTTGAATCCGTGAACCATGATCCGACCAGGCAATTTTATGGACCCTCCTGATAAACTTGAAGCACCGCAAGAAACCTATCCACCGTGTACTGTAACTAGGTAAGGATGACCCTATCTCTTGTGAGGACGCCGACAAAACAAATACACTAGAAACGGATAAGGGGAAGATACTAGGGTCAGCTCGGCATGTTCGGTGGAATGCCCAACCTTCCAGGTTGCTGTTGCTTTTGCCTATGATTGTTTCCGGGAACATATTCCGTCAAAGTGGGATGTCTGTCTTACCCTGTCAATTGAGTGCAAAAGCCATCACCAGGTTTCAAACCACTTGAAACCGACTCGAGTCCACTAAGAATCGCGTCTCCCAGGTTGGTTGCGAGTGGTTGCATGACTTAGGAGGACGATCGTCTCTTGTAAAGCCTGCGAGTGGGCTGCTTTCAACACTAACCCCGATACGGTAGCCCTGCCAGCTCTGGGTTTTGCCAAGTCCGGTCTTCGACTCCCACCCACTTTCCGCTTTCCACAGGCAAGGCATTGCAGGCCAGCGAGTCGTCGTTGAGTTCAGTCCAGTCCAGTCAGCCGGCGAAAAGAGAATCAGCCAGCCGCATCGCCGCACTCGAGGAACCTCACTCCCACAACCCCCTTCCGCGCGACCCCCCTCGTCGACTTCTCGAGCGCCGTACCTCCCCTCCTACAACGCCCGTCCCTTTTACCTTCCCACAATAGTTATTCCAACCACGGCCGCGACACGGAGGGTTTTAAGACCTTGATCCCAACATCGCAACACAAAGAGTTAGGGAAAAAAGAACAAGGTGAGTTCTTCCGCATTCTGCGTTCCACAGCGCACCTTCACACCCTACGAGCTCCCCACATTTCGCGAAGTTGCACAGCCAAGTCCCAAAGTCCACTTTCCAGTGCAGTGCTTTGCGCCAGCCATTGGTACACTGTGTCCATGGGAAAGGAAGCACCCGGCGAACCGCAACACCCGGCCTCGTAACAATATTGGCTGTTCTTTGCTTTATTGCTTGTGCTTCCCTGTTTGCACCGCCCGAGTTTCTTTTAGCTAACCAAATCAACCACCTACGCCCACCGGCTTTTAGTTAGGACAATTACTACCGAGTAGTTATCCCCCATTAATTCTTCGATCAAACCGCAAACGGGCAAACCCGAGAAACCGGAAAACTGAAACTCCAAGAATTCGACCGACACCGCAGCTAACTCGGACGCGCATTCGACCTATTCTCGCCGCTTGATCGCCAGCGACCCGACAACCGTAGGATGGCAACTGAGTCACCCAAACAGCGATCCGATGAAGCTACTCTGACTTCTCCCGCCGAGCTCGTGAGCCCCCCTTGCATTCGCTTTCGCCTTCGCCTTAACCCCTCCTTCCATATTTTTCCTCTCGCTTGATCCTCGCTGCTGGCCCTCTCCCCAACCTCGGCGATGTTCTACCAGATTCCATTGTTGCCGGTGCTGCGGCTGCTTTTGCTGTCCTTGACGATCGATCGCTGACTCTAGGGCTTACTGCAGCAGACGATCAACATCAATACCGATTCGCAAGATGTCGACCTCAACCAACCGCAGGTAAACAGCGATATCCCCGCATCCGCCGTGGACGAGTTTGAGAACAAGCACATTTCCGATATTGTGGACGATCTGGTGAACTCGACAGAAGTCAGCATTAGTGGAGGATCCGACAACGAGGCGACCAGATCCGATGCTTCTAAGGGCAAGGGCGACGGCAAAGGCCACGGCCGCGTGTCGTCATCGACCAAGAAGCCGACATCCTTCAAGTCGATCAATGTCAACAAGACCTTTCTAACGTCCAAGGCGCCGACGCCGGGCGCCCCACCACGCGTAGCCGAGAAGACGGCCGCTACGACGACCACGATGGCCTCAGCCGCTCCTGGGGCCGCGACGTCGTCCCGGCCCAGGCTAGTTGCCAAGACCGGCAGCGGCTTGGTTTCTAAGGGATCGGGAGCACAAGGGGGAAAGCCGGCGCCAGACGCGAGTGCGGTCTGGAACAAGAATCGACGTGAGAATCTAAAGTTCCTCACACACGCTTTCTTTTTCTCGAGTACTAACATGAGACAGCGGTGCCTCCTCCGGAACCGAAAAAGTATACCGACGAAGAGTTAAAGAAGTATGGCATTCATATGGCTACCAGGCTACAGTCGGACGCCACCAAGGGCCAATCGAACTGGGCGGACATCGATGACGACGACGAGGATTGGGACCCCGACACCATTACGTGGAAGGACGGCACCAAGGTCGCTATTGCGCTGCCGGAAGAGCCCCCGGCCCCGACACCACCACCACCAGAGCCACTGGTAGCCCAGCCTGTCCCGGTGAAAGAGAACATTGCGCCGGCGTCGCCGGCATTGATCCCGGCACTGGCAGAGAAGACAAAAGGCCCCGGCCCCACGACAGCGGCAGCAAGCAACTCGCCGTCTATCAAACCGGGTGTGCTTGGGTCTGGAAAGGGGCTCGTACTGAAAGGCGCAGTCGAGAAGCCGACACTCGTTGCAAAGCCTCCCCCCCCGCCCACACCGGCCAAGTCGCCATGGGCTACGCTCCCGAAGATCGACAAGGTGTCCCCGATTGTGGCAGAGGCATCACCACACGGCCCAGGAGGACCACCGCGATCAGGACCTCCGAGAGATGGGCCGATGTACCCTCCACACGGCCAGCCGCCGACGAAGGAAATTGCGGCGGACGATTTCAGCCGCGCGCCCTGGCGGGACAGTGGTGCTAGTGGTGTGAACGCCAACCGGGAGCTGTTCAACTCGCAATCCGGCCGGTACGAGCCGGTGCACGACCGCCGCGGTCCGATGCGCCAGGAGCAGCAGTACGGACGACAGCCGGCGCTTATGCAGCGGCTCCTTCATGAGCAGCAGCAGGGACATGGTCATATGGAGTATGCAGGGGGCAGTGGCGGTGGTGGTTACCAGGCAGGCAGGAACAACGAGCAGCAGAACCAGCAGCAGCAAGGGCCGTATGGACGGAGACGTGGATCTTCCAATGTTAGTGGCGGAAGCGGTGGCTGGCAACGACCTTTGCACCCGTCCGAGTTCCCCAACGCCCGCCGCCCATCGATGGCTGGGGCCAGCGACGTCCCAGGATCGCCAAGCAGCTTCGCGCCGTCTGTGCTCCAAGGAGGCCCGCAACCACAGCAAGGCTGGCCACCCGGTGTTTCGCCTGGTCCCACGCATGCGACACCGTATCAGGGAGGTCCTGGTAGCGCTGATGGCCGCGGCATGCCACCACCAGCACAGTCACAGCCTATCCAGCCGTCGCCATCCGCGGCCCCGGCCGTTCCCGTCACCGAAGATGATTATGAGTTGCAGAAGAGGCTGATGCGGGAGCGTCGGGAGCTTGCGATGCGGCGTCGCCAAGAGGAGGAGGCTAAGGAGGAAGCAGCACGCAAGGAACGGATCCGCTTGAAGCTGGAGGCACTTGGCCCTGCTCCGGAGTCGAACAAGGCCAAGAAGGCCGCAGCCAAGGACCAACCGCCGGTGCCCGCCGAGATCCAGTCTCGTGTCTCTGCCACGTCCGAGAAAGCCGGGCTAGAGCCAGCTGAGTCGGCGGATGGGGAGAGTGAGGTTCCGCGGGTGGTTATCCCCCAGCCCGCGGCAAAGCAACTTGTTCACTCGCCAAACGGGCCAGCAGCACAACAACAACAGCAGCCACAACAGGGAGATTCATCACCCGACAGCGGCGTCGAACCGCGCTTGCCGTCTCAAGGGGGCGCCAGCAATGCCGGACCTGCGCACGTTTGGGGCTCTGCGCCGAGACAAACCGAGCGCGCGCCCGCGGTCTGGGGCCCTCAGCCGTCTTCGACTAAGAATGTCTGGGCCGCTCCGAGCACCAACCGAGGGCTTGGGAACGGGACATTTGCGGCGGACCTTGGCACGCCACCGTCGATTCCAGCTGGGCCAGGCCCTATCGCACCGCCAAGCCGAGCCCGCGCTGGTGCTCCCCAATCGCAACAACCACCGATTGGACCGCCGAGACAACCGCAGGTTGTCCGGGGAACAGCCACGAGCGACCGAGAGCGTGAGCGTGAAGTAAGCAGCAATGACTACGCGGCTGCGGTCCAAGCCGACGACGAGAAGTTCATTCAGGCGCTCAACAGCCACCAAGGCGAGTGGGAGCGTCGCCTACAAGCGGATGGCCGATCGACGGCGGCTGCGACAGATTCGCAGCCAACGATCAAGGAGACGTGGCGGCCGACCAAGCTGGACGAGACGGGCGCGCGCATGGGGGGTGCTCCCAAGCAGACGGTTCATGTCGGACAGGAGAAGACGCCATCGCCGGTACCCACAGCTTCTGCTTCTGTCTCTGCTCCGGGCTCTGCTCCTGTTTCCGAGTATGGCCAGCTGGGACAAGGCTCTTCAGTCGCTCCTGTCGCCCCAATGATAGGGGCGAGGACGGCTTCGACGCAAGGACGCGGCGGATCTCGCTTCTTCCCGGCTCGCGACGCTCGTCAAGAAACACGCGATATCCGCTTGGAGCCCAGCCAGTCTGACGCGCTTCCTCGTCACATTTCGCCCTCTCCACCGCCCCCCGATACAGACGGGCACCCGGCTTTCGACGGCGACGCATCTCATCCGCACGTCTCGCTACCACGGCCATACCCGGTTGTCCGACTGCCGCCCTCCGCCAACACCAGTGAGAGGGGCAGCGCGCCAGGCACGCATGCGCGCGGCATTGAGGAACCCAGCAAGGCGCCGACGGGACCGGCCAACCGGCAAGGCCCGAGTTTTGCCTGGGCCTCGCAGCCGGCGTACAAGGACGCCGAAAAAAATGCCCCACGCTCACCGACATCCAACGTTAACAACACCAAGCCGGACAATAATGGGTGGCAGGCCAGGATCGACAACCTACTGGGAGGACGGAAAGTGCACGCCTCCTCAGCACGGTCCGCGACAACGGATATTCGGCTCGAAAAGCAGCTGCCCACAACGCAGCAACCTACTCAGCAACAACAGCAAGCACAACCGCAGCAACAGCAGAAGCAGCGGCAAAATGAGCCAGCACGGACGGAGCGCACAGCAGCAGAGGTAGAAGCCGATAAGTCGGTCACCACCAAGGGGATGGCGGAAGAGTGCTTTGAAGAACAGGAAATGGGGTCTCTTCCGCCGATCCGCTTTCCCAAGACGGTTCCCGAGATGGCCTGGCAGCCGAGCCCGGCGCCCAAACCGCTCAGCAAGAAGCTCTGGCCTGTGGTGGTCAGCGCGGACCCGCTTACCTTCCCGGCCGACGTTTCGGGTGCCGGCAATGTGTGGCGCGTGTTCTTACCCGGCGGAGAGGGCAAGACCATCACTGTACCGTTTGGCCGTACACGGAGTAACCCGCGCCGGGGCGGACCGCGTGGTGGTGGTGGTGGACGTCACAGCTCATCGGGACAGCCAGGTCGCGGGAAGGGACGCGATGGTGCGTCTTCGTATGCTGCGGAGCAACGTGCTGCTGCAGCTGGAGTGGGAGCTGGAAGTGGGACTGGAGCTGGCGCTGGTGCGGGTGGAAGCGGTGAAAACCCTGCTGGGCCTGGGTCGTCAGGATCGAACAATACCAGTACCAACAACAGCAACAACCACAGTAGCTCGCATGGTCGGGGGCACCGGGGTGGTGGATATCGGGGGCGCGATAATTGGTCGCGAAACGGCCCAGCCCAGGTGCAGACTTGATGCGGTGTCCTTACCGTACCTTACCTACAGATCACATCCACAAATGAACTTGAACGACGACCGACTACAACCTGTTCCCGAGACCGAGACGTCTTAAGGATACTATGGCTCAACTCATATCAACCAACAAACCGCTCGATATTTTTAGCGTGCACGACTCTAGCGATTTCGAACTGTTGTCGTGCATGCGTCTTTTTCGTTACTCGTTTCGGATTTTCTTTTCTTTTTTTCTTTTTTTTTTCACTTTTTCTCAACTTTGTTGGCATGGTTTCTTTGCGGGATGCCACGACCGCGGCTGCGGCTGCTGCGGTATTACCAACGAGCAGTGGCCGAGACGTGGGGATACTCTTACCCGCCTGCTCTACTCATTGGGTGTCCTAATTGTGCAGCCCAGCACAACACGGCGCAACATTGCGCAGTGCGGCATATCTTACTCGGGAGCATTCGACTCGGAACCCACTTTTCGGGGACGACTTCAAACGCGCAAAGCAGGCGCGAATGATGGGCGGGCTACATATCACGGGCAGCACGATACGGGCACAAGTCGGGCATGATGAACGCCAGGCACAGAGAGAAGCAACCACTTGCATCGTTCAAGTGGGGATTCCAGCAGTAATGGTCAATGGTGCGGACGAATGGGAACCAACCCGCTATTTGTGGGAAGGGAGAGCTCTCGTGGGAAGGCAGAAATTTTCGCCGAGTGTGACTAGATTGTCTTTGAGACAACACATTGGACTGAGGCGGACTCGACTCTTCGGAACTGCCCGAGCACACATATGCAACGCAACGGGAGACTTACCTAGGAACGGAACGGAATGATGGAGCGATCGGGCGGCCAAAGTCGTTGTTATTCTGTCCAGCGTATCTTGCCTTGCCGCTGCTGCTGGCGCTGTGGGCTGGCTGGCTGGCTGATGCTAATGCACAGTGAGCACAGCATGAATCCGTAATATTGCGGTACGAAATGCGGAATGCGGAACGTGGAACGGAATGATGTTGGCCGCTGCAGGCTGCTGGGCTCAACTTGACTTGACTGTGAAGGGAGTGAGTGCTACATGAGGAGGGGTCAGAACTAGTCAGAGTAGGGGAATTGATCAAGCGTTATTATCAAGCAATGTGTCGGTCTGTAACTTGTCAGTGTTCAGACTGTTAGTGCTCAAGCTGTTGGTGTTTAAGCTATGGTACTCTGTTGAGCTTTTTGCTAAGAGGGGTAGTCGAGCGAACATACATTATTTTGGCCTGCGCTAACAGGAGGTACATACAAATGAGATTTCTCGGCTTCTAAAGCAGGTGCGGCCGACGGGTTCGCACCCTTCCATCTGCATATCTGTGGCTATGGCTAACTATGGTCAAGACAAATGTTTAAGCTGCCGGTGTTCAATGGCTAATTAATAGCCCGTCAACCGGGCGGTCAGTGCTTTGCTGTTACACAACCTCGTTCCCGCATAGGTACTCAGTAAGTCACAATAACCAAACTAGTCAGTCGGCAAAAGAGGTCTGCCTGATAAATCGGCGTGATTTATCACAATATAGCGCCCCCTATTTAAACTCCTGAGTATCCCCCTTACTCGCATTTATATCCACAACACCATCATCCTCCCCCCTCAGCATCTTCCGCACCACCCGCCCCAGCCGCGCAACACCCTCCACAATCTCATCCTCGTCCGCCCACGCAAAACTCAACCGCACGTTCCGCGGGAACTGCGCGGCCGCCTCGTCCCCCGCCACCTCGAAGATCTTGCCCGGCGCTACGATGAGGTTCTCTTCGGTCTTAGCGCGTTCTGCGACGGCTGATGCGTCGAGATTGGGGTGGTCTGGTAGGGTTAGCCAGAGGAAGTACCCGCCGTATATCTCTTTTGTTTCTTCCTCCAAATTGCTACTGCTATCATTCTTGGGGACAGTAGGAATCGTCCCCGCGCCACCAACCCCATTCCTCTTCCACACGCTCAACCCCAACGGGCCCAACACCTCACGTATCTCACCCCGCATAAGATCAAACCGCCTGCGCAGCGCAGGCCGCACAACAGTGTCAACATGCGCTTCGAGCTCGCCCGTCCGCAGCATCTGCCAGACCACGGCGGCTGCGAACTGACTGGCTGCGCCCCCGCTGCGGTTGGTGCCTGTTGTTGCGAAGCCTGTTGCGAAGGCGGCGCTGCCGTGGATCCAGCCTGTGCGGATGCCCGGGCCGACGAGTTTGGAGAAGGAGGCGTTGGAGATGGCGTGGGAGAAGTGTTTGGGTTTAAAAGCGTCGCTGGGAGTAGAATTGGGGGGGTCGTGGAGTGAGGGGCCGAGGGCGTTGTCGATTTGGGAGAGGAGGGGGAGTAAAGGTGGGAGGGAGGTAGTTTGGGGGGATGTAGAGGTAGACGGAGAATCGGTGACGGGCCACTGCAGGAGATCGTAGACGTCGTCGCTGATGATGAGTGCGTCATGGTGGCGGGCGAGGCGCACGAGCTGCTCGCGGCGTGCGAGGGAGAGTGTCTTGCCTGAGGGGTTGGCGCATGTTGCGACGAGGTAGATGACGTGCCGGTAGAGCTTGCGGTCGGGGCCGGGGTTTTTTGAGGGGTGGTTCTAGGTGTGTTAGTGTATGGGTAATTAAATCATGGGAAGTAAGTATGAAAGGAGCAAAAGATAAAAAGGGAAAAGGAGAGAGAGAGACAGAAAGAGAGAGAGGAATACCTCCCAGGGCTCCTCCTCACAAGCCCGTATCTTCTCCCCCAACACATCCACATCAACCCCCTCCGCGTCCTCCGGCACCGCCCGCAGCCGCCCGCGGAACCCGCAGTCCTCAAAGATCGGACACGCCATAAAATAGCACGGCGCCACCACCCACACCGCGCGCGTGTACCCGGGGTCCGTAAACGACTGCAGCACGCACGCCAGCGCCTGGCTCGCCCCGCCCGTGATGGTGATTTCGTCTGCTGTTACTTGACCATTTTCGTTTACAGACTCGATACCATCAGCGACAATGGGACGGTTTGGGTCTGTATCCGGGTACGAAAACGGGCCATACACACCATTCAGCCAGCGGGCGACTTCCTCCCGCAGCGGCTGGTACCCCGGGTCGATGCCGTACTGCAGCACGGGCACGGAGCGCTCCGGGTCGGCGAGCATGTAGTTTGCTGCGGATTGGAGTCCGGCGGCCGGGAGTAAGGCGGGGGCCGGCCAGCCGCGGAGGAGGTTGATCAGTTTTTTTTGTTGAGGGGGCTCATTTTGATCTTGGGGGTTGTTTGTACTGGGCGTCATCGTGGGTGATGACGGTGATGTCGTGCTTTTGTAGTGGGGTTGTACAGGTTTGATGAGATGGTGGGAATTCTGCAAGATGAGACCGGATTCGGCAGATAAAGTATCGTCCGGTTTTCAGAGCGTTCCGTCAAGTCATCTGGTACAGTGTTATTTGCCCCTAATTGACTATAAACAAGGTCGTGAAAGAGTAGTATGACCGAGGTTGTAGGCTTGGAGCCGCCTACTAATGGAGGGGAATTGGAGTAGAGTGGGGTTCGTCGGTACTATTTGTATGTACGCCTTTCGCAAGACTTGGCGATAATCTCTCTATATGGGGAAAAATAAGAACAATCAAGAAAGTAAGAAAGAAATGGTAAATGAAGAAGTGAATAAGTAGGAAGAAGAGACACAGAAAACAAAAAGCTCACCACTGAGCGTTATCCCCATCCGGAAGGATAACGGTCAGTGGATACAAAAAGCCCCCTCCAAAAAGGGTCTTTTACTTCGCTGGTCCCGGGAATCGAACCCGGGACCACTTCGATTTACGACGGTAGTGGCGGGACCAGCGCGCCTCCCAATACCGCTGCGCCAAACCGGTGTTTGGTGCTAATTGGGAGGAGTTGGTGACTAGGTGAGAGCTGAACGGGGTTATATAGGGGTGTGGGAGGGAAGGTGCGTGGACTTCGGCGTCTGGCGCTGGTTCCTTGCCTAAGGCTGGGTGCTCTCTAACTCGTCGCGGTCCACAAACGCCGACACGGGGAAATGAATTGTTAGAGCTTGATTGTAACAGTCGCACCGTCGACGATGTCCGATTCAGGAGATGGAGGACATGGTGATCCATTGACGGGTCTTCGCAAGGCCCTCGAAAGTAGTCGGCAAAGGGCAGCATCTTGATTCATCCCATCCAAAACGACAACTCTGCATTCATCCTCTACTTGCCACGGTCCCGACTCCATCATCCGCACCAGCTGCCCGACAGCGGTCTAGCTCAGATACAACCCCCTGCGCCGAGTCATCCGGAACAGAATTGGCTTAATCCTGAGAATCTATCACATTCGAAGTCAACTCCAACCACATCCCGGCGCTTCTCGGACAGACTGCTACTGGCCTTCGGTCGTAGTGCTGTGTGTGATATGCACGTCTGACAAGACCTTAGCTTCTCGGCGCAGCGTCTGCGTAGGCAGGAGATGTTGTTGGTGGAAACCACCACAAGCATAAGTTCAAGTGCTGGCTCTCTTCACTTCTCCTTCGTCAAAGGCGTGGGATACGCGTGGATCTATCATGACAGCACACCCAATTGTCAGCAATGTCCACGCCCGATATAATATAACCAAAAACTCCCGTCCCCCATATCAACCGACTCACCTTCCCAGCGAGCTCCAACCACTCCCCCACGCCCCTCAGATACGCATCCCCCGCCGCATCCACAGCCGTCTCATGGCCCCAGACCACCATCTCGTCAAACTCAGCCTGGGTCTGCAAGGTTCCCTGTGGCAGTCCAATATTGTCGCTATCGGGCGCCTCAAGATCAATCACCTCGGGTTCGCCGTCTTTGGGTGCCGCCGCCGCCGACGTGACGGCCACGATGCCGCGGTAGTCGGGGGGTAGGTTCACGGTTGTGCCGTGGAGTTTGCGGCCGCGGAAATAGGCTGTTTGAGAGGAGCCATCTGGAATTGAACGTTAGCACCAGTATTTCTTGGTATGGGGAATTCGTAATTGAGTCGGACACACCCTCACTCGGCTTGGGATCCCAGAAGGCCCGGGCGGGTTCGGCCGGGCCGTCGTGGTGGATGCGACAGGGGAGGAGGTGTGGGGTTGCTTTGGGCGTTTCGCCGGAGAGCGGCGCCGATTTAAGGGTGAGCATGAGTTGAGACATCTTGGGAATTGGGGGTGATGGTGGTGTCTTTTTGTTGTTGGTTGGATTATGGTGAAGTTGCTGTAGTTCGTTGCGAGAGACGCGTTGGGAAAGTTTAAGTGGGACGCGGTTAACGCGACGAATGTAGGGGTCCAAGGGGTCCTAAGCGCGTGGGGGCGTATGTGGGGGTCATGCTTCTCTGTACCTCAATTACACAACGGTCTTCTTGAAACTAATTACCATACAGATCTCTACGGCCTGTCGGGTTTTGTGGTCTTGTTGAATCAGTTTATCTTACAATTAGGAAACTTGACAAGAAATTAAAGTAAATAAAGAAATCTCATCGGTCCCCTCTCTCACTCACACCATCAAGTTGTCGACTATATGCATCTTAGTTGTCAGTCAACTTAGAACTAATTAATTTCGAACCCCTGATGAGCAGAACTACAAATTTTACCAAGTCAGTGAATTCAACGCTCTCTCCCTTGAAAATCCCGAGAGCTGACAAAATACACTGGTTCGGGTCTTTAGCTCCAGTGTAGGCCTAACGGTGTGTTATATCAGATTTATAGCTTCATAATTACAACCTGAAACCTACTATACAAGTGCGATTTTCACCCAACGCTCGGCATAGAATACGCACATGCAGTCCCGGATTCCCTCATACCCTTACTCTTTCTAGCCCACGTGCTAGAGAATCAAGGTAATCTGGAATGTGATCTATATCAGATGTCTGCACAATCCACTCATCCGTGTTTGACACGCGGTTCAAACATTCCTTATATTTCGTCATAATAAACTCGGCTCTCAACCGGTTCCCCGTATGTCGAATTACTTTTAGTCTTTGATTGGTCTGTAGCCCGCTTGTGATGATAGGTGAATGCATCTGCTGCTTCTTTCCCAGCATGCACAGGGCCCCGTTTAAGGTTGGCTGCCTATAATTTTAGGGAGTGAACCAACAACTTGAAGGCCGGTGTGATGCCCGTTACATGCGCTGATATCTACGGGAATGTATGGGAAGATAGGTAGACACTGCAGCCCTAGAATAGACTAGCTTTAGGTAACGTTTTTTGATGTTTTAATCTGATGTATTTCAAGATAAGCCACCTAGGTACTGTGCTCCTAAGTAAATTTCCCTGAGTCTCACATATCATCTACTGAACAACTTATATTATGTAGTTATTTAGTTGATCCTTTGGCTACTTCGGAAAACTAATAAGGATACTAGCTAACAAATAAAGAACTTGTAATTTATTACAAGAGCTCTAGCCTTATCTCCTTTGTCTCGCAGCGTCCATATGTCAACTTTAACCATACCACTAAGTGGTGAACAATCGACCTATACCATCTCAGAACAGAGGTTTCAAAGGGACGAAATCATGTAAATATTTCTCCTTGACAGCCCTTTGTGACTGAGCTTGTTCCAGCGAGTGTGTCTCAGAGAAAATGCAGAATATTGCCGGTCCGAGATGCCTCCTAAACTTGTGTTGCTGCTCTTCCTTGGAGTAGACTGAATAGCACAACGTGGCAAGCTTCTGGATTCCCCGACCCTAGGATGACGCAGCGGTTCTGGTCAAGTAATTAGAACTCAGACCACTACCGCTACTTATTCCCACCTTGGCATCCAACCTAGTGGTCTCGGCTTCCTCGCCCCCCCCATCGCCCCCCAGAGAAGAAAGCTGCTCAAACAGCTGCCCACTTATGCCTCCTCCGGCGCCCCGGTCCAGCCGGCTCGGCTTCCTCCGGCTCATCGCCCATGGCGCTTCGTTACTTCGCGATGGGTTCAACAGTGTCTTGACCCTCAACCCTGTCGCCGCTGCCATTGCCCGCCCGGCCGTTCTCGCGCTGCTGTCGTCGAGCGAGGTCGGCACTCTGGTCCTTGTCGACGAAGTGTACGGCGAGCGTCTGGTATTGGGTCAGCCTCTAGTCGAGACTCATACCGACGAAAGCACGGAGACGACGACGACAAAAACTGCCACTCGCCACGGCCAAAGCCCACCCATCGCGACGCTCACCATCACCTCACCCTCTTTTTACCCCCGCCTCCTGCTCCTCGCCGACATGGGGTTTGCCGAGGCCTACTTGCTCTCCGAAGTCCGCTGTGCCGACTTGACAGCCTTCTTCCGGCTCTTCATTCTCAACCGGGACCGTCTTCACAACGGGAGCACCATGTGGTCGTCTCTTTTATCGGGCACCCTCGGTGCCATCTCTAAACCACTTTTGTGGTTGGGCGTGGGCGGAAGATCAAACACGGTCGAGACAGCTCTCCTCAACGCCCAGGCGCACTACGATCTGTCCAACGACCTCTTTGCTGCGTTTCTCTCACCGGATATGACCTATTCCTGTCCGATCTGGGCGATACAGTCCCAACCCACCTCGTTGCCGTCACAGAGCATCTCTGACCAGACTACCACTGCGGATGAGACGATCCCTGACGTCGAATCCCTTGAATCCGCCCAGCTACGCAAGATCCACACCATCATCGCGGCCGCCCGCATCAAGTCAACCGACCACGTGCTTGAGATTGGAACGGGTTGGGGCTCGTTTGCGATCGAGGCTGTCCGGCTAACGGGATGCCGCGTGACTAGTGTGACGCTGTCGCGCGAGCAGAAAGCGTTGGCAGAGGAGAAAATCCGGGAAGAGGGTATGGAAGGGCGGATCCGCGTCTTGTTGGTGGATTATCGTGCTGTTAGGGGGCCGAGGTATTACTATGAGGGTGACGAAGGGACGTATGACAAAATTGTGTCAATTGAGATGCTGGAGGCCGTGGGAAAAGATTTCTTGGGGGTGTATTTCGCACAGGTGGACAAGTTGCTCAAGAAGGATGGGGGCATTGCGGTGTTTCAGTGTATTACCCTACCAGAAGGGCGACAGGCGGCGTATTCGGCCGGTGAGGAGTGAGTTTCTTTTCTCTTCTCTCTCTCTCTCTCTCTCTCTCTCTCTTGCCCTCTCCTTTCTTCTTTCTTTCCTTTCCTATCTTCCCCCTTTCCTCTTACTTTTGCTTTCCTGACCCCAACAAACCTAGCTTCATCAACCGGTACATCTTCCCCGGCGGCTACCTGCCCTCAACCACACAACTCATCGACCACATCACGGCCGCATCGCACGGCACGCTCATCGTCGAAAGCGTCAACAACATCGGTGGCCACTACGCCCGCACGCTGCGTCTATGGCGCGAGGAGTTCCTAGCTAACTTCAACGCCGTCGTCCGCCCGGCGCTGAAGAGGGAGCATCCGCTCATGAGCGACGAGGAGATTGAAGTGTTTCGGCGGAAGTGGGAGGTAAGCTGCCGTTTCTTCTCAGGCATCCGATCCGGGGACACGCACTGGCTTTGAAGGACCAATGCTAACGAGGGCAGTACTACTTCTCGTACTGCGAGGCCGGCTTTGCGACCAAGACGCTGGGCGATGTTATCATCACGGTCGGTAGGGAGGGGGCCATGGAGCTGATGGAAGGTATTCCTCTTTGATTTTGTTATTGTAACGAACGGGGTACGCATTCGTGGCCATCACGAGGACCTGGGGGTGTGTTGGTCTTGTGTTCAGTACGGTATGGTCATACGGATAGCCCATTTATCACCGTTTCTTCCCCCTTGACTTCTTCGCCTTTGCCCGCGCGTTCGCTTTCGCTTTGATTCCCTTCTTCTTCTCGAAGTCGGACAACCTTCTGGTAGTCTTCGAGGACTTCGGCTGATCCTTTTTGTTCGGTTTCTTCTTCGGCTGTGGAAACCGCCGCAGGTGTTCCATGTCGAACGCCGTTTTGTGTGTCCGGAACAACAACATGGCCACCCGCGCATCCTCCAGACTCGAGTGTTCCCCCTTCTGAATCTCCACCCCGAGCAGCTCCTGCGCCAACACCCGCAGCGACGGTCGCGGGCCCCACGCGTACTTTTGGAACCCCGCGTGCCGCGACGTGTCCCGGATCATGCTGTCGATGTGCTTGATCTCTAGCGCGAGCAGGTCGTGCTTCACATCGTGCCCGATCAACACCCGGCCCCGCAGCACCGCCATTATTTGCGCCTGCACCTCTTCAAACGGCCGCGCCTCTTTCATATGCCGCGGCGCGACCCCGCTGACCTTGGTCCGCCAGTCCACCACCTTCTCCCGCTGCAGCACGTACGAGTCGTATATCTGCTGGCCCAGGAAATCCACCGCGCTGACCCGCGCCAGCGAGTCCACCCGCCCTTCGTGGCCCACGCCGACCATCTCGCAGTCGATCGCCACGTACTTGCCCAGCTCGAGGCCTGGTACCAGCCCTTCGTTTACCCGCACGGGCGAGTCGTCGAATTTGAGGCCTAGCTTGTACGCTTCCGCGATCGATTCTAGGGTGGTCACCTCGCCGCCTGCCCAGATGGATAGGGAGGGCGCCACGCCACGCTCGGGCGGGATCGGGTCGATTTTGGACGATTGCGTGTTGCCCATGATGGGTGAAGGATAGAGATGGCCTGGCCCTTCGGGTTTGGGGAAATTGATTCTTCTGGTCGACTTGGGAACCGCTATGGGACCCTTTTTTTGTTTCTTCGTCTTCGATCCTGCCTTGCCGTCGTCGTCTGCTTTCCTCTTTGGAGCCGCGGGCGAGTCGCCTTTTAGTACGGCTTGGAGCTTTTTCCAGTTTGATGAGAGCGTGGACATGATTGGCCTGTCTTTGAGAAAGTTCCGGAGAACATTCATAGCTGAAGGGAGCGCGGTTTTGGGGTCGTGGACGGTTCAAGCCCAGCCGGGCAGGAACTGATATTTCGAAAATTCAGTTTTTTGAGATGCCAAACCACCTCACTTTGCGATCAGATGAAAACGGGCTGGGTGAAAGTGGGGGCAGATATTCATCCCAAAGCGGCTAGCGTGAGATCACACGGCAGACATGCGCGCACGGCCATCAAGGTTCTGGGCCGAGCCGGGACCCACTCAGTTTTTTAGTCCACTCCACTGTCGACTGCAGATGCCCCTCCATCTCCAATTCAACATTTCGAGGTCGCCATTTACACGGGGTTGCAGCATTTTTTTCATCGCGCGTTACATCCCACATTTGCCTTTTCATCATGAGCCCCAGCGCAACGCATGGCGAACCCGAGGTGGGCTCGGATGGGCCGCGCCAAAAGGGGAAAGCAACGCCGGATACTATCAAGTGCGCCTCTCTCTTCGTCCCTTTTGTTGTCTCTGAGTGTCTTTTTAGATTAGCTAGCTGCCGACTGCTAACACCCCGCGCTCTTAGAGTCGGATGCATTGCGCAGGTCACAAAAGACGGTCAGCCACGGCGCGCCGAGATTCTCAGCATCAAAGAGACTAAGAGCGGCCGGCAATTCTACTGCAACTTTGACAACTTCAACAAGCGATTAGACGAATGGGTACCAGTTGCTAGAATCGACTTTGACCAGGACGTCGAGTGGCCCAACCCGGAAAAGGACAAGCAGAAGGACACCAAGGCGAAAAAGACGGCGGCCGTGCCGAAGAAGGCCCCGCCGTCCAAAAAAGCGCAGAAAAAGGTCGGCAAGCGAGAACAGTCTGAGCCGGGCTCGGAGGGCCAAACACCACATCCCTGGAGCGAATTCGTCGAGTCGCAGCAGCAGTCGCAACAAAATAATAAAACAGATGGGGAGGACAAGGCGAATGCGAGCCTGGAGCTTGGGGCGACTCCCAATGTGGCCTCGGACGAGATGGAGATCGACGAAGACGAGACGCCGGCCAGCGCGGCCAAGAAGGAGCACGCGCAGTCGTTCAGCCGGGATCGGGAAATCGAAAAGCTTCGGACTTCGGGCTCTATGACGCAGAATCCAGCCGAGATTTCCCGCATCCGGAACATCTCCAAGGTCGAGTTTGGCCGCAACGTGCTGTTCCCATGGTACTTCTCGCCGTACCCGGAGGTGTTCAGCCAGGAGGACTGCATCTACATTTGCGAGTTTTGCCTGAGCTACTACGGGGACCTGACGTCGTTCAAAAGCCACAGGATGAAGTGCACGCTGCAGCACCCACCGGGTAACGAGATCTACCGGGACGATTTTGTATCCTTTTACGAGATCGACGGGAAGCGGCAGCGGACGTGGTGCCGCAACCTGTGTCTGCTGTCCAAGATGTTTCTGGACCACAAGACGCTGTACTACGACGTGGACCCGTTCCTGTTTTACGTCATGACCACTAGGGATGAGAAAGGGTCGCATCTGATCGGGTACTTCTCCAAGGAGAAGGAAAGCGCGGACGGGTACAACGTGGCGTGTATTTTGACGCTGCCACAGTACCAGCGCAAGGGGTACGGGCGGCTGCTGATCCAGTTCTCGTACGAGCTGTCCAAGATCGAGGGCAAGCTGGGGTCGCCGGAGAAACCGCTGTCTGATTTGGGACTGTTGAGTTACCGGCAGTACTGGTCGGAGAACATTGTGGACCTGCTGCTGGGGTACAGCGACAGCCAGGAGAAGTGCACGATCGAGAGCATCGCGACGCGGCTAGCGATGACGACGCAGGACGTGGAGCATACGCTGCAGGCGCTCAAGATGCAGGTGTACCACAAGGGTGAGCACAAGATTGTGATACCGGAGAAGCTGGTGCAGCAGCGGGAGAAGAGCAAGGCCAAGCAGAAGCGAATAATTGATCCGGATCGGATCCAGTGGAAACCGCCGGTCTTTACGGCGGCCAGCCGGACCTGGGGGTGGTAGAGGTTTGAGTACCTTCGTAGAGATTCAAGGCTCTGGGAAGGGGGGTTGTTTATAGGCATGGCGGGCAAGGAGTCGAAAATAGTAAATACCCACTAGCAGCATTATTATTCATATTTGCATAACACCACAGTCGTGCAAGAAAAGACCCAATGGCAAAAAAGACAAGGAAATTCACTTAGCGGAGCAATTAAACCTGGCCCCACAATTCCGCGTCCCGACGCGTGTGGTCCCGCGTTTTCTCGCGTCTCATGCCCCGCACATTGAGCTTCTGCATTTGACCCCTACCTTTACCGCTGCAACCTTCCACCAGCCCAACAACCCAAACAATTCAACCAGCCGAATATTCCCACCACCTAATCGACAACAGCCCACGAAACACGGATACCGTGTCGCCATTTATCCTACAAATAGGCCCTGAACTCTTTGTTGACACCATTCCGGGCCGACTCGCTGCCGAGAAACGAGGAATTTAGGGGAAATAAGAAAAAAAGAACCGCCCCTAAAAAAAAGCCACAAAAACAGAGGCCGACACAGGAGGAAAGGAACACAACAAAAAATGGCCACACCAGGGTCCTTCAGCGACGCCGGGTTCATGACCTCAGACGGGCCCGGGTCCCGCACACCCCGCGCAGGACGACTACCCGGCCGCGGGCCCGCAGTACCTCCCTCCGAGAGCCTGGGCGCGCTAAGCGACGGCGAGGGCGAAGGCGGGGAAGGGTTCGCAGACGACCAGGTGCCGGTGCGGGCGCGGCCGACAGACCCGGCGAATATCCCGCGCGTGGAAGACAAGATCGGGTTGATCATCCAGGAGTCGTTTGAGTCGTTTATCGAGGGGTATGTTGAGACGCCGCGGGGTTCGGGGGCCGGGGGCCCAGGGGGTTCCCAGGCACCGCCGCCAACGTCGAGTGCCGCGACGACGGATAAGTACTATGTTGCCCAGATCCATGGGCTGCGGACGTACCAGCTGTCGACGTTTTATGTGGATTATAAGCACCTGGAGAACTGGCACAACGGGGCGCTGGCTACGGGGATTATGGAGTCGTATTATCGGTTCTTGCCGTTTTTAACGGCCGCGCTGCATAATATGATTGCCAAGTATGAACCGCAGTATTTCCGGGAGCACCGGCAGCCGACGGCGTCGAGCCAGCAACAGCACAGTTCCGGGGGCAGTACATTTGGATCAGGTACTGGAGGAACGAGCCAAGGCGACCTGAGCAGCAAGACGGCACACCAGCAAACGGACAAGCTGTTCTCGATCGCCTTCTACCATCTGCCGCTGGTCTCGCGCGTGCGGGCGCTGCGGGCGCGCAACATCGGCCAGCTGCTGGCGATCAGCGGCACGGTGACGCGGACGTCCGAGGTGCGTCCCGAGCTGGCGCTGGCCACGTTCGAGTGTCTGGCGTGCCGCAGCGTGGTGCCCGATGTTGAGCAGACGTTCCGCTACACGGAGCCGACGCAGTGTCCCAACGCGACGTGCCTGAACCGCACCGCCTGGCAGCTCAAGATCCCGCAGAGCACGTTTGTCGATTGGCAAAAGGTGCGCGTGCAGGAGAACAGCAGCGAGATCCCCACGGGTAGCATGCCCCGCACTATGGACATCATCCTGCGTGGTGAGATGGTTGACCGCGCCAAGGCCGGTGAGAAGTGCGTCTTCACCGGCGCGTTGATTGTCGTGCCCGACGTGAGCCAGATGGGGCTGCCTGGGTTGAAGCGGGTGGCCGTGCGGGATGACCGTGGTGCGGATGCGGGCGGTAGTGGTGTGGGCGGGCTGAAGGCGCTGGGTGTGCGCGACCTGACTTACCGGCTGGCCTTTCTTGCGTGCATGGTCAGCGCGGACGTGTCGTCGATCGGGGCGTCGGGCGAGGCGCAGATCGTCGACGTGGTGGGTGCCATGACGGGCAGTAGCAACCTCGAGACGGCCGAGACGGTCAAGGAGTTGCAGGAGGCTGTGCTGGCGTCGTATACCCAAGAAGAGATCGAGGACTTGCGCGCGATGGTGCACAGCGACCACATCTACGGCCGGTTGGTGCAGTCACTCGCGCCCATGGTGTACGGCCATGAGATCGTCAAGAAGGGCGTGCTGCTGCAGCTGCTGTCCGGTGTGAGCAAGTCGACCCCTGAAGGCATGCAGCTGCGTGGCGATATCAACATCTGCATCGTCGGCGACCCGTCGACGTCCAAGTCGCAGTTTCTCAAGTACGTGTGCAGCTTTGCGCCCCGCGCTGTGTACACCTCCGGGAAAGCATCGTCCGCGGCCGGTCTCACGGCGGCCGTGGTCAAGGACGAAGAGACGGGCGAGTTCACCATCGAGGCTGGTGCGCTGATGCTGGCCGACAACGGCGTGTGCTGCATCGACGAGTTCGACAAGATGGACATCGCGGACCAGGTCGCCATCCACGAAGCCATGGAACAGCAGACCATCTCGATCGCCAAAGCCGGCATCCAGGCCACCCTCAACGCCCGCACTTCCATCCTGGCCGCGGCCAACCCCGTCGGCGGCCGCTACAACCGCAAGACCACTCTGCGCGCCAACATCAACATGTCGGCCCCTATCATGTCCCGTTTCGACCTCTTCTTCGTCATCCTCGACGAGTGCAACGAAAAAGTTGACCGCCACCTGGCTGAGCACATCGTCGGTATCCACGCGCGCCGCGATGCCGCCGTTACCCCGGAGTTCTCGACGGAACAAATCCAGCGCTACATCCGCTTCGCCCGCACGTTCCGCCCGGAATTCACTGACGAAGCCAAGGAGGTCCTGGTGCAGCGGTACAAGGACCTACGCGCCGACGACGCCCAGGGTGGCGTGGGCCGCAACAGCTACCGCATCACGGTGCGGCAGCTGGAAAGCATGATCCGGTTGTCCGAGGCGATCGCCAAGGCCAACTGTGTCGAGGACATCACGCCCGAGTTCGTCAACGAGGCGTTCCACCTGCTGCGACAGAGTATCATCTCGGTCGAGCACGACGATGTCGAGATGGACGACGACGAGGATGTCGTCCAGGAGGATATCGACACCCCCATGGACGACGGCGAGACCCTCCGTCGCGCGGCCTCCGCAGCCGCAGGCACACCCCAAGGAGATGACGAGGCCATGGACGAGGACACCGCCCGCGACCCATCAGCAGCACCCTCAGCAGCAGCTCCCAAACAAACAATTGCCTACGACAAATACATCACCATCGTCAACCTGCTCGCGTCCAAGGTTGCCGAGGACGAAACTTCGGGCGCTGGCGAGGGCTTGTCCGGCGATGCGCTGGTGGACTGGTATCTCGAGCAGAAGGAGGACGAGTTGGATGGTGAGGCGGCGTACCATGCTGAGCGGGAGCTGGCGGGTAAGGTTATTCGCAAGATGGTCAAGGTAATTTTTCCCCCTTTTTCTTCAGTTAGAGGATACGAACGGAGTGTTAATGCGATAACAGGACAACATCCTCATGGCGATTCGCGGCCAAGGCATGACGGATGCCGATGCCGACACGGACGGGGAGAATGCCAACGGCGAGGGCAGCGCCTCGGCACAGGCTGGGGAGATTGTCTATGTGCTCCATCCGAACTGTGCCGTGGAGGAAGTCTGATTATCTACTACGTAGGTAGTTCTACACAGTAAAGAGGAGAGATGAAAGATAGGGGTAAGATGGAGGGTTAGGGTTATTTGAGATGTTATGTGTAAAGGAGGACATGGCTGAACGATTCAAACTGGCTGTGGCGTATGGAGTTTTGGGGAAGGGCGTGGGATGTCGAATGATACGTTATGGCAATCACGTCGGATGCAGAGATGGATATCAGGCGGGTCCTTGTTAGACTAGAGACAAATGCCGTTAATTTTGCAATCTCGAGTCTCATACTGTCACGTAGTTGCCGTCACGTAGGAGTGTGTGAAGAGCGTCGAATGGTACCACTCTTGGTTACCCTGTAATTTACTCACAGTCCACTCATATTTTCTATTTACTCGGATCTTTGTACTGACGTTACCAAGCACATACAACAGTCACCCCCCTCAACCCTCCCTCCACGGCCTCTTTTCTTCGACCAACCAATTAATCAAGAGGCGGCGCGTTCGGATCCTCCAAACACTGGTCCACGCGCATCAGACGCTTGCCGGTCCCCTTCGCAACCCGAATAAACTCAGGCAACAACTCAACCGTCGAGTTATACAAATAATGCATCACCATCAGGTTACCACCAGCCTTAACATCCCGCTCAAACGCATCCAGCTGCTTCTCCGGCGTGTCGCTCTCCGCCCACAGCCAGTCCTCGATATCGATGCTCCACTCAACAATGTACGGGCTGGGATCGTCCAACACCGCTGCCAACCGCTGGCGCATGCGGGCGCCTTCGGTACCGAACGGAGGGCGGAAGTAGTTGGTGTGCACCCCGTCGCCAAAGACCTGCTTCACCGCGCCGACATCGTTGGTGTACTCCCAGTCAATCGACGCCTCGTCCGGCAGGCCCTCCATCGGCGGGTGGGTGTACGAGTGCAGCGCGATCTGGTGGCCCCGCGAGGCCATGTCCTTGTAGATGTCGGCGAGGCCGTTGGACTCGTCGAGTAAGGGGAGGCCCACCGTGAAGAAGGTCACGGGAATGTCGGCGGCTTCGAGAATCTCGACGACGCGCGCGGCAAACTGCGGGTCGCCGTCGTCGATGGCCACTGCGAACGAGTTGGGCCGCGTGCACGAGAAGACGAGGTTGCCCGACGCGAGCTTGGGTGGAATCTCGCCCCAGCCGGACGGCAGCTCGTCGACGATCTCGATCTTGGTGATCTTGGTCGGGGTGGTGCTGTAGAAGCCCTTGAGTGCGAAGCCGACGACGCGCGTGAGGTTAACATTGAAGTGGCTAATGGGGATGTAGATGTCCGACGACGTGGCGTAGCGCGCGGCCTCGAGCGAATCCCACGTCTCTGGGAACGGCTTGATCGTGTCGTCGCACTTCTCATTGTGCTGCTGCAGCGCGATGCTGAACTTGTTGCTGCCCGAATACGCGAAGTGGAGGTAGCCTCCCCCGTACTCGCGCAGGTCGCGGCATTGGCCCGCCAGTTGCGTGTACCACGACAGGTCCGAGTCGTTGGTGTGGAGAGTCACCACGTTATTGCCAAACGTCGCCACCATGCCTTCCTCGTCCGCGCCGTGCCACTCGCCCAGGTCGTTCGATTCCGAGTCTTTGAAGGTATCGATGACCAAGTTCTTAGACGCGGGTGTCGTTGACGGTGTAGGCTGCGTAACCGCCGGCGAGGTCGGGACGTCGGTCGGCAGCTGGTACTCGGACGCCTCGTCGCCGCAGTAGAAGGACATGGGTCCAAACGACACATTGTGGCTGAAACCCTCAAAGTAGATCAACGTGAGCTTCGACCCGCCCACTCCACTGAATGCCGAGAAGGGGAGTGAGTACAGCTTTTCGGTGCCGTCAAAGGTCCAGTTCAGATCGTCGGTCGACAAGCTCGACGACTGACCTTCATCGTCGGGGTTGGTACTGCACGTGTCGGCGGCGTACCCAATGCTGACGGAGAACTCGGTGCCGCGCGAGGCCTTGATACGGAACGAGATGCCGCCGTACGTGGTGCCGACGTCCAGGCACCCAAACTCGCTGTAAAAGTACGAGTCCTCGTCGACCGGGGTTAGTAGTAGTCTGTGGTTGCTGACAATAATCGACGCCATTGACGCATCATCACTCGACGTCTGGTCCAGGGCGTTGTACCCCAGGAACGTCAGCCGCGACTGTGACTCCCAGTCGTCGATCAGCAGGTTCGTGCAGGCGTCCGCCTCGGAGGTCGCAGCAGGTGCAGCATTCGCCGCGCGGGCGGCAAATGGGGGGGCAGTCGGCGAGGGTAGAGCGCGGCCGTGGAGGCCGACAATCTCCCTCTTGTGGGAAGCGCCAGCAGCAGCACGCGCACGAGGAACAGAACGCGCGCCAGCAGCACGGGCTGGACGGGTTTGCGTTCCGGCGTAGAGGTCAGTGGCGGCCGGCTTGGCCACCCTGGCCGCCCCAGTAGGCTCCGGTTCGCCCTCGGTGGGCGAAGGGTCAGGAGCAGGCTCAGTCTCGGCAGCGGCGCAAACAAGAGTCACGTTGCCTACAGACCAGTTCACTTCGTTCTCGGAAAACGTAGACCATGCCAGGCCGACGATGGCGTCGTAGTTGGGCGCATCGTCCCAGCCATCGAGAGGCAGGTTGATGGTTTGGCGCTCGCCGGTTAGCCCCTCGACAAAGTTCCAGGAACTGTTGTATGCCCCTGTCTCATCGCTGCAACTGGAGAGTGTTTGCAACTCAAGCGCAAACGAGCCATTGGCCGGGCCCACGACCGTGAACTCAATGGCATTGTAGCCGTCCGTGATGGCGGGTTGACACGCAAAGGACTCGTAAAAGTACGAGCTATCGTCGGCCTTGGGGGTGAACACAACATAGCCTGGTGTGGCAGCAATGGCTGTCATAGACCCGTCATCTACAAGGAAAGTCAGCGGCGAGTCTCATCATGTGTGTAATCTCACCGAGATACCCCCTCATCGAGATCACCAAGAATGGGGGACTACATACCCCCGTTTTCCGAACCCAGGTTGTTAAACCCGGTCAGCCATGTGGTGAAGTCGTCAATCACCAAGTCTTCTGTGCACGCATCGGCACTCACACGCGTGGCGGTCAAAAGACCGGCCAAGCCGGCCACCAAGCGACGGTCAAACAGCATGACGGGCAGCAACCGTCTCAACCGTCAAGTCAACAACGACACATAAACATGTGGGGTAGCCAGAAAAGTGACACAGCGGAAGCAATGGAGGCCGGGAGACCTAGGTATATGTATGGATGGATAGATAGATGTAGTATGTACGTAAAGCCATGTTTAGGCGTGTGCGGGAGCCAGGTCCGGTAGTTCAATAGTCGGCTGGGCGCATAGATGAAGTGCATAAATTGGTCGCACTCATCCAGTCGCCGCTCAGCGTCCACTGCACACGTCCACGGTCCCGCCCAGCGTCCCGTCCAGTGGTTCGAGTGGGCCAGCCCAACGAGCTGCCAACGTGCTGCCAGGGGCGGGAGAGCAAAGCAACCCTCCCAGAGAATCCCACGCAGGACGCGAAAGCAAACTCGCTCACCTCGTTATACGAAGTGGAACGCTGCAGTAGCAGCGGGCTATAACGGGAAGTTGTGGTTGACGCCATGCACGGCTGGTTTCCCGCGGAGAGTAATTAACGGGTGGCGGGTGAAAGGGGGGTAAATGTAAAAGAGGTAAATGTAAAAGACTTAATGGTCGAGCGGAGCTTCCAGCCATTTGACCATATCTGGGAATTCAACAGAGCATCCTGAGGGACTGTCGAAAGGAGGAAAATAAATAAAAAATAAAAATAAAAAGCCAAACCCATCGTCTCGACCCCCCTCTCAGTGGGGTGATCATCGGGCTGGAAAAGTCCCGTCCATGGCAAGACATGTGTGGGACTGCTGTGGGCGAGCTGAGTCCAGCGCTGGCTGGATCTCGCTGGAAGCAGTGGGCCGGTGAGCAGCCGAACGATGGTGCCGGGAATAGCAGTCTGGTCCATCCCGGCGCAAAAATCTGGCCGTCCTGTGGGCTGCTATGTAAAAAGGAAAGGGAAGAAAAGGGAGCAGAGAAGGGCTGCGGTTCCTGGCGAGGTTCCGGTTCGGCAATCAGAGCCGAAGCTTGGCTTGCAGATCCCGCCCTTGCCTTGCCAAGAAACGGGGCTGTTGTGTGTTGTGTGTGGGCAGAAGCCGCTCTGGGATGTTGTGGCTGCTCTCTTCGCCCGAGCTGAGAATGATATTTTTTCGGGTTGCCCTCTCTCGCTCTCGCGTTTTCTCTTTCTCCCTCTCTCGAGAGCTCGGTGAGTATCTCTTCTCGCTCATCGTCGTAGCAAACGGCGGATTGCGTTGGTTCGTCAACCCCGGTTGCCGCGGGGTCCATGGCTGGCCTGGAACTCATGCAGCTGCGTGCGCGGTCCTCGCTGAGCGAAAAAAAAAGGTAAGGATTTTGGTGACACAATCCCCCAAATGCAACGATCGTCGCCTCCCCCTCCTAGCTGAGGATGAAAGCTGCAGCAATGTTCTCAACGTTACCTCCGAGCTCTGACCAAGGTGCAGATATTCAGCCGAACTGGCTAATGTCGTGAGTTGGCCGGCAGCGCAGGTCGACCGGCTTTGCAGTCGTCCACGGGATCGGCGATGTTCTTTTTCGCTTCCATGAGTCGAGGCGGCGCAACAAACCAGCGCGCCTGTGCGGGAAAATCCAGGAAATAGGACATGACCGTTGGGCTGTCAAGGCGAGACCTGCAGAGAGCACAAAAATCGGTCGGCCTCATCTTTGGTGTTTGTGGGTGGGCTGCCAGAGAAGAGCGTGGCCAACAACCCACAGCACCACGCCAAGGTTGACGAGACAGCGGGCTTGCAGGCTGCGGGCGAGCGCTGCGACGACGGGACTCTTACCTTCTCGAAGCGGAAGTCGCTGGCTGAGAACGATGGTGGTGTGTCAGTGGTCCATCTCGTCGAGATCGCGAATCCTCCCCGGCTTCGTATCGGGGGAAAGAAAAACTGCCTGCATCTCAAAATGATGCGTTGTCGGCACGACACGTCGTCTTGCTCGCGCTAGCTCGGCGAGCGACCCGGGCCGACCCAGATGCGGACGTGCTTCAGCTGAATTGATGCAGGTATCGAGATGGGCAGCTTGCCCAAGCCTGCACCCGAGCACGGACTGGTTGTGTCACACGCGGGAGCGGACAGTCTCGTGTCTGCTCCTCGACATGTGCAATATCGATCCCGATATAGAACACTTTCGACAGTTCTTGGTGTGCATCCTCAAATCTGGGGTATGTAAAGACTGGACGCGGCGCGCGTCGGAAAGGCTGCGGGAGTGGAGAGGTGTGATTTAATGGTGATGGGATGGGGAAAATTACCATCGATCAAGATCACGCACATAGAAAAATAGATCGAAATGTGGGCAAAAATGCAGATTCCTTGACCCTCATGTCACCGGATAGAGAAGGAACGAGTCCTCATATGAGTGTTAGGAGCTTGGAGCTGATAGTTAGAGCGTGCACTTGCCGGGCACCCGCGGTCAGCCGGCAGATGAAGGTTGAGGTGGGCCCCCCATCCACGTGAAATGATGTTGATTGGCTTATTGCCAACAAGCAATTCCCCCGGCCGAACCTCCAGGAAAGCCGCCGGCAGACACATCGCAACCCCGCGATGAGCTCCAAGATTTTGGAAGTTTGTGTACAGATACCCCGAAGAACTCCACATTCCGTCCAAAAAAGCGATACAGAAAGCCGTGTCGAATTATATCCAAAATTACATTGATCAAAGTCCGAACGAGCACAAAGCTGTACAAATTCCACCCCGCAATTTGCAGCATCTAATTAAACGTCAACCACTGCCCCAACAACACACCCATTGTCACGAACTTGGGACTGCAGTTTTCCGTTGGGACTAAACACGAACAACACACTACACCCCAACCTCCCGCTCCTTCAATATCTCCGGCCGGAAACCTCCGGACCAAACGCTCGACCAATCCCAAACACCCCATGCAGCCTCCCGACGATGCCCACCTCGCACAGCAGCCCGAGCCCGTCAAACCGCTCCCCCCAGCAGCAGCCGCCATGACATCCGCCTCTTCCTCCTCGTTGCCCTCCCCACGCCTCCCCCAAACCCGCCAATCCCTACCCCCGACAGCCCACCATCCCCTCGCACAACCCGACGACGAGTCCGACCCGACCGGCAGCGGCCCTGCCCCCTCCGCGCGGGTACCTCGCCGAGCCCAACAACAACCCCCAGCACCGCTACCCCTCCGAGATCGCCGCTCGACAGCCTCCCTCTTCCGCTCCACTCTCACGCCGCCTGGCTCCCGCTCCGCCTCGCCCGCGGGCTCGTTCGCGTCCGCCCGCTCCCCCGGCCGCGCCTCAACCATGTCGCTACCCATGACCGGCTCCGTCTTTGGCGGCGGGGCGCGATCACCGTATCAGCAGCAGCAACTACAGAACCAGTCGCTTCTCGACGCCGGCGGGGCGGACAATCCGGGGGATCCGCTCAGTTTGATGCTGCATAGCTTTGTGCCGCATATTGCGATCCATGCGTCGGTGGATGTGGACGGGCTGGCGCGGGGGAAAGGGTTTGCCGCGGGGCTGTGGGAGCTGTTGCGGCCGTTTGGGGAGCGGGTGCAGGGGAAGGTGATGGTGAGGGATAGTAATGGGGCGTCCAGGCCGTGGGAGGATTTCTCGGTACGGTTTGTTCGGTATGGGGAGGGCTTGGAAGAGCCAGATGTTACGGGGTTGGTGGGAGGGGGGTTCCTCAATGGGCAACCTGATGCTAATGCTGGCTCCGTCCCTGGTGCGGCGAGTGGGAGTAAAAAGGGGGATATCATCGCACAGGTGGAAGCCGTGGTCGACAGGCATCTGAATTTTGCGGAGGAGGCTTATGCCGGGAGTGGGATGTCCCCGTCTGCATCACCTACGAGGCTGGGGCTAGATATGGATGCGACCTCGCCATATTATGCGCTGTACCTGCGTCGATTACTGTCAGGGTTGCCATTTGCGCCTCACGAGTCGTTTGCCCACCCGGTGGCCTGCGTCATGGCGATCAGCTCGCGGGACCCAGCACCTATCGAGACCTTACAGAAGTTGTACCGCGAGACGAGCCAGGGAGACCGCAGCTTGCCGCCATGGGTAGACGGCGAGTACCTCCGATACTACGTTCTCGTGCACGATGAGGAGAACGGCGACATCACCAAGTCGATGGCGCTGTTTGACCAGATGAAACGCAACTTTGGGCTACACTGCCACCTCCTACGGCTACGGAGCACCCAGAGCGCCGAGACGGACGACGACAGCATCCCACTCCCGAGAAGCGACTGGATGACGGCGGCCGAGGAACTGGCCGACATCGAGGCGAGCGAGACGCGGGAAGACTTTGAAGACCCCACGCGGTACATTTTCGAGTCGGACGCCACGGCGATACGCACACTTGTGCGCGAGATGGTAACCCAGTCCGTCGTGCCCACCATGGAGCGCAACATCTCGGTGTGGAACGACCAGGTGGCGTCGCGCCGTCGCGGACTCAGCGGTCGGTTCATGAGCCTGTCGAAACGGTGGACCTTTGGCAGCTCGAGCCGCAGCTCCTCCGGCGCTAGCGGTAGCGGCGGTGGCGGCGGCGGGTCGAGCTCGTCTAGCAACTACGATTCCCAGGGGGGCTTCTACCGGGCCGACAGCTCCGAGGCCATCATGCGGCGGCTCGCCGACTACGCCTTTATGCTGCGCGACTGGAAGCTCGCCATGTCCACGTACGAACTGCTCCGCAGCGACTTCCAAAACGACAAAGCCTGGAAATACCATGCCTCGGCCAACGAAATGGCCGCCCTGGCCCTACTCATCATGCCGCCAAACATGTCGTCCAAGACCCGCATCGAGACCATCAACCAGATGCTCGAGCAGGCCCTGTACTCGTATCACACCCGCTGTGACTCCCTCTACGGCGCCGTCCGCTGCACCGTGCTCGCCCTCGAACTCCTCCGTCTCCGTGGCGGATCCGGCGTCGACGAGGCCGTGCGCTGGGGCATCCGCGTGCTCGAGGCCCGCTTGACGGGCCCCGTCGGTGATGCCCTGCTGCGCGAGCGGATGGCCGTCTGCTACGCTTCCAAGTCGGGCCACGGATCGCAGTCATGGGGGGCACGCCATCGCAAGTCAGCGTTGTGGAGCGTGCTGGGTGCCGAGGCGTGGGTCGCGCTGGGGAAGCATGTGCAGGCGCAGCGGTGCTTGGGCGAGGCCAGGCGTATGTATGCGCTGCTGCCGGCGGAGTGTGGTGTGCAGAACTTTGGGGTGGCCAGTGATTTCCTGGCCGGCTTGCAAGGGCAGGTCAAGGCCGGGTTGCGGGCGGATGGTGCGGCTGCTCCTATTTATGGAAGTGAAGCCGGGGAGAACCAGTATAATAATTACGGTGGTAACGGAAACCAAAGCGATGAAGGGGGGGCAAAGGAAGAAGTGGATGAGGAGCGTGAGACGCTAGGGACTAGCAAGCAATCTAAACGGATGAGCTTGATCAACCCCGCGGGGGTGGCCGGTGTTGGGGGAGGAGGAAGTGCCGGGCTGGAAACCGCACCGCTGCATGATACCCTGCCAGCAGAGGCAGTAGAAGCCGGCCGTGTCAATGACGGGTTTGGTTGATGATTGATGATCACAACGGGAGGCAGCGGAACAGACATTGTATTGTGGTTTAGACATGGAAACAGGGAATAAGACGGCACTTGCATGGGTCGGCGTTTATCGTTTTCGAAAACCATACTTGACGACAGTCGAAGACAGAATTGAGGGATTCGCATGTTGTATTGATCCTTTTCTTTATGAGCTTGAGTATTCGCACCGAGCACCTCCTCAGCCTCTGCTCTTCAGCATTGAGACGTGATCTATGAATCGGCGGTAACAGGAAGCCCAGTAATATCATACATTGCGGTCAAAATGGCAAAAACCTTATGGCGGGAGATTCGCTGTGGAATCAGTTATTAGTCAACATACAGAGTCCGCAAAGTTGGCAAGTTCATATTGCCTACGGCGTCTCGACCACTTCCCAAGAATGGACCGCTACCCCGCTCACTAGTTCGAGTTGTCTATAATCGCAGTGTCCGCGCTTTCCCATCTTGGCTGGAGGTAACTTCCCCAGGTTCTACTTAACTCCCGTATTTGCCAACTCCCGTCTTCAGGTGTCAACTTCCATCTTCGCTAGATAGCTCACGTCGCTGCAGTATCTCTGGATCTCTTGCCATTTTAGTCTGGGCTTGACTGTTGCCCCCCACTTGACCATGGCAAACACAGTACGCTCCTGGAAATTCGTTTCCATGTCAAACCGCTGCGGCATCTGTACCTTCAAGGCTCTCGACGACGAGCAGGTGGATATAGGTATGTGCTGATTGCATAAAAGTGAGGATCATGATCTCTGATGATATCTATGTACCATTGCTTTCCTCCGCGTCTCTGAGCTGCACCTCACCCCCGTTTTCTTATGCTCCTTCTTCGTTCAGAGAGTGTCTTTTTCTTCTCATCACGAGCCGAGCTTGATCCAAGTTTAGTTCCGTGTTCTAACGCTTGAGCCCCCCATAATGGACATGAGAGACGGTACCACTCTTGCGACCTACGACTACAACCGTGGCCGCAGCTACGAAGATGATAGAAACGCCTTTGCGTACTGTGGGGGGGACGACTCCCTGTTTTGGTACCAACTCGCCACTCGCTTTGCCGTGCTCTGCCATACCGATTGCCTCACTCGCGAACGCAGCATCCCGCCTGCCGGCCGGTTTTGGGCCACGATATATGCTTACGACCCTCCCCCAGCTGAGGTCAAGCGGTATGAGCGGTGGCTTCACACACCATATGCTCTATTTCTGCGTAGTATTTCAGAACAGGGTCCTGTACCCCTTCCGTTCGAGATTTGCGAGATGATCGCTCAGCATTGTTGTGCTGTCGCAGCGCTCCGTCGGAACGCCGCGGACGCGGGCCGCGTCCTCTGGGAAACGCACGGTTCGGACGACAAGACCTATACATTTGACATCTCGACGAAAACTTGGGCTCGCTATGTCGACCTTGAGGGTGTACGGTATATTAGGTGTATCACAAACCAGCGAGACACGCCTGATCAACAAGCACCCGTCGCCTCTGAGCTCACACTACTGCATACGCCTCTCCCGGATGACGCCGTAGATACCATGTACATCGTCGAGGATCACCTAGGCGTCCGCAACATCATGTTTACCTCCTCGCTCACCACTTCAGAGGTTCATCATAACTATGACGGGGCCAATATTTGGTGGAAAAGTCTCAGGATCATCCCGGGCACCAGATTCAAGTGCTATACTGATGTATGACTGTCCTTTTCTTTTGGTCCTTTTTTCTCTTTTCTCTTGGTCTTTCATCTCCCAGTTATTGAATTAGAGCTACCACGGCTTACCGCGTGGCTGTGTGCCATTTATTATTCCCTAGGGCACAAAGCTTCGCTCATTGGATCTTGTGTTCCCCCAGCCCGCTAAGTCCGTGGGTTTGCCCAACGTATCAGACTTGGAGGATGCTTTTGATCGACCCCCGCGCCCCGAACAAAAGTTATGGGCGCACAACATATTCGAAACAAGTAATACACCGTTTCGCATGACTTCATTCGTCTGCAACGTCCCCGGGACCGAAGGTTACTCCGTTTTCTGCGGCATGCAACCTTTTGCCATCCTCCCTCACACCCCTCCAACGGGAGAGTAGGACTTGGAGGCGTACGCTGCACAAGATAGGCGAAAACGAATTCGCCCTGTGTGGTTGTATGCGCCGCGCAATCCGGGAGAGCTGATCACCGAGATCTGGGTACGTGTTCGGGATGGTGATGGTACACTGACCGCTCTGTTGCCCTTGTGGTAAGCGAACCCCTCTTCAACTAGCCAGAATTGGTGATCATTCCGCAGGACAGCCGCTTACACTGGTTGCAATATAACCTTCCATGGGTTATTAGTTCAGAACAAACCAAGATAGTACCTTGGTAATGGGCCCGCACCCTCAGAGCAAGGCTCACGCCGAGGGACACTATACCTACACTCTCGTGTATCGCGGCGGACCCGACCCCGGCCAAATCTATGTCGACACCGGGGACTACGGCCTCCGACGGTTCCTATTCGAGACCCCTCTTCCTACCGAGCCCAGCAACATCAGCAGCAGCGCCGCCTCCAATGACCACACTCGGCGACCAAAGGGGCTTCCAACCCCATCATCCCCACCTTGCTTCCCCCTTTACAATGACGAAGCCCCCTGCTACTTCATATTTTACTCGTCTGCCAACATGTACGGCGTGGCAGAGGTGACGTTCTGCCGAACAGAGCGGGGCACCATCAGCGGCATCGTCCTGCGCTATCACGACGGGCGGCAAGAGAGCCTCGGGCAGGTCCGCCCAGACAAGCTGGCGTCGAGCGGGGCGACGTTACGAGTCGAGGATCCCGTTCGGACCCCTCACCTGTGGTTCCGGCTTGACTGGTTGGGGGGTGAAAGACCCTTTACAATCGCAGCGGTCACGCTTGATCCGCCCTCGTCAGCTGACTGGCCTGATCCAACGAGCAGGTATGAAAATCAGTGGTATTATGTTCCTTGGAATGGGACGTTGGAGTGGTAGTTTACCCGGGACATGTGTCAGTTGGTGCATGAGGGGCGACTTAGCCGTTTCGCGCGTCAGGAACCATACTAAGGACCCGAAAGAGGTAACCAGGCAGCGTCAGCTTCGGCACGGTGGATGATCGAGTCTGTTGATGGTAGACTGCGGCCGCCGGCCTTTACCTTGGAAGAAAGCTATGACTGCCCCCCCAGCTTCTCCTTCAGTGATCGTAGGTGCTCCATCTCTACTTCGACACAATGAGTCAAGAGCCACTCGCGGCACCGCTCCGCATCGTCCTCTTCGCGGGCAAGGGGAGCGCTGGGTCCTTTCCGCTCCCAATACGGCCGCTCAAACCACTCGGGCCAAAATCCGCCATACTCCCAGTCGATGATGGCGTTAATTTTGAGTGTTTCAGGGTCGACAATGACGTTATGCTGGCCTAGATCGTTGTGGCAGAAAACGTAACTCCCTTTCTCGAGCTCTAGCTTCGACTTTCAATAAGAGTGATGCTTCCAGAACCAGCTGTAAGCCCTGTTAGGAGTATATAGTAGCGTTTGGCCTGGTACGCCCGGGGTGTCGGATCGGAGCGATTTGAGCGTAGCAATGTGCTCCAGAAGCTCCTTGGTGACTACTTGCTTTTGCTCCTCCATAAGCTGGGTTATACTAACCCCCGGTACAGGTTCGGTACTAAAATAGAAAGCCCCATTGTCTTCGAAGGTATGATATAGACGCGGGAGCGGGATATTTGTTTTCTCCCGGAGATATAATAAGATCGTGGCGTCCGTTTTCCATCGCTGAGGCAGGTAGGTAGATAGTGTCCAGTTGGTGGTTGTTGTCATCTATTTATGTTACCGAAGAGTCCGCTTGATGAACGAATTCCCAACTTTGTAGTATTTCTTATCTGGAGTAACCCCGGTGCAACCTGGCTCACGATGCTTGTTCATATCTTGGTTGGATACCATTTTCGATGTGTAGGGTAAGGCGACGAACGGCAAAACACGCCTAAGAGAATTCGCAACCTCTGCGCAAGGCTGCCCCTCCGTTCAATGTCTAACAGGAGGTAAACACAAAGTCTGGCTTTAGTGGGAATGCGGGTGTTTGTCGGGCAATCACCGCACTCATATATGGATATGCATGTCGACAAATACTTGCGATTTTGAACTTTGGGAAAATGATGTCTTGCAAGGGATTGTGCAATAAGGTACCTACCAAGTAAGAAAGGGGGCGGTTGTGGTCTTGTTGGTGGCCGCTTCGGGTACCGTAACACCAACACCAATTGCTGCCCCACTCCGGTCTGCTGCCTGCCGGAGCTGGCCTCGAGAGATAAGATAAGCACCTCGCTGCCTCGGGATCAACAACCACTGGCCAGCCCTCCCTGAACCCCCCAGAACGTCATTGCTGGAACGACTGACTCTCACCGTCCACCTTTTGTCGTTGAAGCGCGTTGGTGTCGTTGGGACCGCGCCGTTGCTGCCTATAGACGCGCTTGGGTCTTTGTCGTCTTTATGTTATTTATTTTCTTGTGAAAGTTTCTTTTGAAGGATTGAGGGCGCTGGCAGCATCCGGCGGTCTTTGCGTTGCCGGGCCATTTTGCCAGCTGAAGTGTATATCCCCAATCGACATCAGATTGCTTCGGTTCATCAATATTTGATAACGGCCGTTCGGACGGAAGACAATTTCTGGTTACGACCTTCCCCCCTGCTAAACGTATTTCCATCTCGACAAGATGAGCCCGTCTCTGCTTGAATATCTCGTGGAAAACGAGCCAGCTTTTAGGAAGTATGTTTACGTGTCTAAACATGGCTTGATGCTAAAATCTCAAACCCCACGCTCGGCAACTGACATTGTCCTAGAGCTCGACTTCCTGCACTCTACTCCGATTTCCAGACCCAGCGTACGCTAAACCCAGACGGCTACGAAGCCAACGTATCGGCATGGCGCAAAGCTCTCGGGCGCATCGTCGGCTCAGGGTTAGCTCCAGCCGGGCGAGGGGCTGCTTCAAATCTATTTGTTCTGCACTCGGATGAACAGCTGCTCCGTGCATTGGAGTCAAAGCAGTACGGTCGGCCACTCGCCCTCGGTACCGTAGTACGTGAGGCCTTAGCAGCGAAAGATCTCGTCCCGCTGCGAGACTTTCTCGAAGCTAAGGAGAGCATCTACTACCGGCCATGGTCGGTGTGGAACCTCGCTTCATGGACGATGAAGCAGCTCGGGGTAGCAGATATTCTGAAGAAGGATTCTCTTCCACCAGGGGAGTTCGTTGTGGTTTCCAATGTCGAGGAAGCCGGCAAGGCGTTCGCCTCACAACAAGGCCCAGCCGCCACAGCGGGAACCCGCTTCGACCGCACCTTTTCGAAAGCGCACTTCTACAAAACCTTTAACGACCAGCTCCTCGACGGCCACAAACTCTCCGAAACCGACATGGACGTCCTCCTCCGCTTCCTTTCCCGCGACAAACCCGCCATCCTATACGACGGCACCACCATCAAGATCCAGTCCCCAACCTCTTCCTCCAACGACAACAACAACGAACCCGCCGAGATCACCCCGGAAGACACCTCAATCGCGCAACTCAAAGAACTCCTCGTCTCCCTCACCCATCAAACCGCCCTCCTAACCGCCCGCGTCGAACAACTGACCGCCCAGGCCCACCAAGCCGTCTCCAAATCCAACCGCGTCGCCGCTCTAGCAGCCCTCCGCTCCCGCAAACTCGCCGAGTCCACTCTCGCCCAGCGCTTCGCTACCGTGCACCAGCTGGAAGAAGTCGCGGCGCAGATCGAGCGCGCCGCTGACAATGTGCAGCTGGTGCGTGTGATGGAAGCGTCTGGCACTGCGCTGGCGTCGCTGAATGCGCGCACGGGCGGGGCGGATCGGGTCGCGGATGTTGTGGATCGGCTGCGCGAGCAGATGGCGGATGTTGATGAGGTCGGATCAATCTTGGCGGAGTCGGCTGGTACGGTGGTGGTGGATGAGGAGGAGATTGATGAGGAGCTGGCTGTGTTGGAGGGTGAAGAGCGGAAGCAGAAGGAGGAGGTGGAGAAGGTGGCGAGGGAGGAGAGGGAGAAGGAAGAAGCAGAGAAGACACGCGAGCGGTTGCTTGCGGCTGGGGAGGTGCCGAGTGGGGAGGTCAAGGTGCCTAGGGGGCAAGGAGATAAGGAGATGGAGGATCTAATGAGTAGGATGTCCCTCAAGGAGGATTCATGAACCTGGCTGAACGGCCGGGGGATGGTTCTCACTTTCCATTGCATGATTTATTCACCGTTATTGATTCATCATATTCTTCGTCGTTACGTTCACGCCTACTACCTGCTACAGAGGTGATACAGACCAGAAGCTAATACGGACATGTTTGTTGACAGTTCATGAATGAGCGCGGCGAGACGACAGCCAAAACACAACAGGCATGGAAGGCGTACTTATAATGGGCAATGCTGGGTCTGAGCACAGGATATTCGAACGTAGGGACTCAATCATAACAGACATGGGACTTGGTTTCAGATTCACATTTCATGTCGTTGGACGGGATAGATAGGACTGCACGGGGCGGGGAATGGGATATCGCATGAACAAAACCTGGCAAGGCTCCGGTGATTTCTTCTTTTGTCTCGATGTAGCATTGAACCCCGACCCATCATGATGGCGCCCCCGGCTGCTCAGAAGGTATGCTCCCGGCTGGAGGGTACAACACGGCCTTCTCCGCAAGCCGGCCTGCGTTTGTTGGGCTATCAAATAAGAGCCGTCTTGTCCCACCGGGTGGAGAGTCTGGTGGCTCGGGCTGACTGGAGGGTGGTATCGTAAGATCAACGAGGTCTGCTGGTGGAGGTGCTGTCCCCGCAGGGCCATCTCCTGGACTCCCCCTATTTGGTGCTAGTGACTCTGGCACTGTCTCGTTTTCTTTCGTCTCATCTGTCACCGGCCGCTGGCCACCGGGCTTGCCCCTCGTCCCGCGCGCCTTAGCAATCAAATCTCGGAACGACGTGTCATGTTTTGTCGCCCACGCTGCCCCATCAAAATCCTTGTCCCGGATCTGCGCCCCCATAGTAGCCGCCCTAGATGTGGTTGGGGCCCGGCCGCCCAGAGTCCGCTCCCACACGTCCAAGTCCTGCATCAACTCGAAGCGCTTCTTGGGCCGCGCCGCGTCACAGTTGGCGTTCCATATCGTTATCCACTCTTGATGCCGCTTTTCAAGCAACTGGCGGGATCCGGCGGTGGACAGGCCAAGCTCGGACATCTTTTTACGGAGGGCGACGTCTTTCAGCATGGAGTAGGCCAGTGCGGGGAGTCGTTCGGGTACTTTCGTGGGGGTTGGTGGGTTTCCGAAGAGCGTTCTAGCCGAGCCAGAACCGCTTGTTGTTCGGGTGTTGGTGGTGTTGGTGGAGAATGACGCTGTGGGCTTTTGGGGTTGGGGCGTGCCGGGACAGGAGTTGTCAATGTGTCGGTCGACTTGCAAAGGCTTCATTCGTTTCCAGCAAATGGGACATTCAACAAGCCCGTCGTCTGTTGCCGGTTAGCTTTGTGGTCACGCTTCGTACTAGGCAAGTGTTAACATACCTGGTTCTGGTTCTGGTTCTGGTTCCGGTTCCGGTTCCGGCTCATATTCTGGTGTCTGTTCCCGCTCTAAGAAATCCACTTCCTCGCGCATCATCGCCGATGTAGTCTCCGCCGCTTTCGCCTTGCTTGCCCTTGTCGTCATCCTCGTGCGCTTGTTCTGCGAGTCCGGTGCTGGCTCGTTCAACTCTGAAGCCTTCCTTTTCGGGGATTTTGTGACAGGAGCCGGCGCCGGCGTTTTGGCAAACTGCAGGATCCCGGCCCGTGACGCTACAAAGGCATCGACGGCTTCCCGCAACGCCCAATTCCCTCGCAGCTTGGATTCCTGGTCGAGAGCCCGGCAGAGTGGGCATTTACCGTTCTCGGACAGGCTCCGGCGAATGCAGATTGAGCAAAACGTGTGGTTGCAGGAAGTGATCATGGGCGATTTGTACAGGTCTTTGCAGACGTGGCAGCGGAACGCCTGTTCGACCTGCATCAGCCCGGCGAGGGGAGTGCCGATCCAGTCGGTCGAGTCGGGAATGTTTGAGGAATCCATTTCGAGGAGGCGAGAGCGGGCGGCATGCGGATTGTGAGAATTGGAGGAGTATCGGTAGCTAACTGAGGTGATGATGTCGAAGGAACCCAGCCCCTTTCAACCAAGCCCAGTGTAGTGTTCCTAAGCAAGTTGACGTCCTGGACTCGAGGACTCGCACAGTCCATGGAAGGAGACGCGATTTTGCCAGGGAGCGCGTCCACGAAATGGCACAGTGAGGAAGAGCCGAGCAGCCACACTGTCTAATCAGTGTCTGCTTGTCCTGCAGTGCACCAACCTATTTGACCGTGCGTGGCACTTGGGCAATGGGTGTGCACGTGGATTGGCGTCAGAAGGGCGGACTTGGAGTCTTGGCGGTAGCTGGACCCCACTTCAGAGCTTCAACCTGAACCATTCCGCTTTAGGACACCATCAAAACAAAGCATCGCCCAATCACGTTGGCCCACTCCGAAACGCCCACTAGTCCGACTTCCTCTTCACAAACAGGGCGGAGAGCTCTTCCACCCTCGACTAAACTTTCAGACAACATCGACTCGCCTTCGTGAACCTGGTTTACTAACTAACCAGCACTTCATTTTTTCAATTCACGTTCTCTCTTTCACCCCGTTGTGTCCCTCTTTTAATTGTTTGTTGAGTTTTCCCACATCCGACACTCCACGATCACAGCACACCGAAAGCGCGACAATGGCGATGAGAGGGGGCCCACGGCTGCAAGTCGGCTCTGCCGCTTGGGTCGCGGAGGAGAGGGATTCCGCATTAACTATTGCGAAGTCTGAGCTCGAGGAATTTTCGTTCTCTGCGCGGAATGAGGTTGACTGGTTGAACGAACACATGGCGGAGATCTTTTCAGAAAGCCAAATGTGTGTACCGTTGTTGTTGCGCTGGATACCGCTCAGCGCGGAGCTGACACCATAGCCTTTAGGAATGTTGCCGAGCTTTTCAAGACACCAGGGAAGCTTCGCGGGAAAACACCACGCACAATCAGGAAAACGGCCCCCAATGCCGTTCGCATGGTATGCCGAGGGATGGATATTGACGAGACGCGTCAAGCACCGACTAATATGCCGCAGCCGCTCACAAGCATGTTCTCCGCCACACCAAAGGGCGCCCCGAGCCCCTTCACGATACCGATTTCACAACAACCACAGCACGCGAAGATGCAAGTGGCCGAGGACAAGCCCGACCAGTCAAATCAGTCTGACACCCACCCCGAGAGCCCGTCAAAACACGCAGTCGTTCGGCCTCCGCACTCAGTGGAGAACCGCGCTCCCATTTCACTCGGCGATTCAGGTTATCATGGCAGCCAGTCGCAGGATACCGTGCCCTTTGACCATTTTGATAAGGATGTCGAGATGTCCGATAGCCCTGAGCCCGAGCCATTAGATGACAAGGACCAGCCGGGCAGTCCGCTGGATGTTCAGCAGCCCCAAGAAACTGCCGAGGATGCCCTCCCCGAACATGCAGCTCTCACCCCATCCTCCGCCGTTTTGCAGCCAAGCAGTCCATTCCCAAGTAGGACTCGGCTACCCATTATGTCGCCGCGGTCGCCTTCCCCGAACAAGATCTCATCTCCCGCTCGGCAAACAACAAATTTGTCCTCCTCCCCCCAGAAGCCGCTCTCCCCGCAAAAGACCTCGTCGTTGCCGGAGACGAGGGACGCTAGTCCTCAGAAGGAAGATGAGATGGATGTCGACGTGAATGGTGAGAACCATGCGAACGACGAGGACGAAGAAATGGATGAGCCGCAGTCACCCTCCGAGGCATCTAGCCCAATCAGGCCCCTTGTTCGCAAGAGCAGCCTCAACTTTGCCTCGTTGCCGGCCCGTGAACCGCTGGCTTCTAAGAAGAGTCTCGGCGGTTCCCGTCTCTCGAGAACGAGTCATTTGGACTTCAACCGCCAGAGCTACTACAACCGGCCGACAGGGGGCAAAAGCCTGGGCGGGGCAATGCGCCGGGAAAGCTTGGAAGATGATGACAACGATGAGATAGACGTGGACGATGATGTGACGACCCAGAACGAGGATACCGCTGTGCACAGCAAGACGTACACCCAGCGTTTGCAGGATCAGATCAGCATGCTTGGCAAGGGCCAATCGGCGGGCACTCGGCCCTCCAAATCTATGGCGCACTTGCTGCCCTCGCAACAAGCCTCGCAAAGCGCTCAGAGCCAAGCTCAACCCGAGCCCACAGCAGAAGCTGGGAAACCCTCCCCCGAGGTCAAGCAAACTGCCCCAGGTGCATTCCCGGAGGATGAAGATGATGACTGGATTACATCGCCCCGTGCGAAGACTGCGCCCTCACATTCACGCTCCCTTTCTGATGATCGCGATCAGCTCCCTAGCAGGGGAGGGTTGGGGACTTCTGACGCGGTCATTCCGACGAATAGGCAAGGATCGCCAGCGAAGACCTCGGAATGGACCCCTAAACACAGCAAATCCGCTTCTGTGCCCGTTCTCCCGACTATGGAGCAGCTGGACTCGGACATGGACGGTAGCCCGCTGAAGAAGACCATTTCTGTTTCAAACCCAGCGCTGGCCACCGTTGGTGAGGATGAATTTGAGTCCTCGCCGCCTAAATCTCCCACACGCACCCTCCGGGACAGCCCGCTGAAGCAGGTCAAGAACAAGTTGACCTCATTGCTTAAGGGCGGGAAGGGCTTTATGGCTAGCAGCGTGGCTGTCAGCGCAGATACCAAGGCAATTCCGCAGTCGCCCTCACCGAACAAGCTTGGATATCACCAGGAGACGTCCGTCGAGTCCTTCAAGACGGCTGACAACGTCGTGTACCCCGACCTCTCTCAACAGGTGGCGGCCACAGCTGCACCGCTTAGTCCAACGCGCAGTAACAGCTCGCGTAGAACGCGGGCTTCGGCCGAGAAGGAACGGTTGGAAGCCAAGGAGCGGGAGAGGGAGGAGAAGGAGAAAGAGAAGGAGGCCAGGGAGGCGAAGCGCATGGCTGATCAGATGGACAAGCTGGACAAGGCGCGGGAACAAGAGCGGGAGAAGGCTCGGGTGTTCAGCAAGGAGCAGGAAAGGATTGCGGCCATGGAGAAGGAGGTGGCGGCTCAGCAAAAGGAACAAGACAAGCAGCCCGCCCGTAGCGAGTCTCGTACGCAAGACTTCCGCACGCCTGGTCCCGCCTTAAATCGGCCCAGAAGTCCCGTCAAGATGACCAAGGCCACGCCGCTCAAGAGCAGGGGGCTTTCGGAGCAAGGCGGGAAGCGAAAGGGGGTTCCCTCTGACGATATGGATGCGGATATGACGGATGTGACGAATACCACTACCGTGCTCCCGCCGTCTATTCCTCGCCCAACCACAGCCTCGTCTATGCGCGCGCAGAAACGGCCGACGAAACCGACCAAGGAAACAATAGCCAAGGCGAAGCAAGGTCCAACCCTGATCCGGGTCAACCCGCTAAGCTCTCAACAAAACCAATTCCACCCTTCCAACAGCGTGCTTGCAGCGAACCTCCAGGAGACATTGGGCCAGCCGCAGGCGCCCTCTACTCGGCCGCTGAATGGCAAGGCAAGCCAAGCCTCACTTCAGGGCAAGGGTTCCGTCCAAAGCTTCAAGAGCTCGGTGTCTTCCACTGGTCGGCCTAAGGCACTGGAGATGGCGGCCAAGCGCAAGGAACAGGAAGAGCGGGAGGCTCAACGGAAACGGGATACAAAGCTCGAGTTGGAGCGCAAGCGAGCCGCCCAAGAAGAGGAACGTCGCCAGGAACAGCAGCGCAAGGCTGAAGCAGAGCGACAAAAGGAGGAAGAGCGCAAGGCTGCGCAAAAGAAGGCCGCGATCGAGCGGGCCAAGCAAACCAAGGCACCACCACCGGCTGTTAGGTCGCAGCCCAATGGTCCGCCTGAGTACAACTTGGCCGGTGCCGAGCGCGGGACCCTCCGGCCGCCGTCACGACTAGGATCCACGATGCATCAGGAAGGCAGACTAGTGAACACGGTCTTGTCGAGCACCACTGGTACCGCTGGCAATAATAACAACACCAACAAGGGATCGGTGAAGCGGCCGCTGCAGCAAGACGGTGGAGAGGAGAGCTCGAGGTCTCAGAGTCAACAGAAACAACGGGCCATGCCGTCCTTCCAGGCTAAGGAAGCTAAGCGTATGCGCATGAGCGAGGAGTTTGACGAGGACTTGGACACAATGGATAGTCACAACCCGCGGATTATCAAGGGGCCGCCTGTTAGGCCCTCGGCTGGGTTCAAGAAGGTATGTTTCTTATTCACGCCCTTGGCCGGATCGGTAGGAAGTTAAAATGCTAACCTTGACACCTCTACAGGACCTCACCCAAAAGTCCCTATACGCCGCCAACGGGAACTACCCCCACGCACCACCACCAAGCGCAAGCAAGGACCTCTTCAAGACGGCCGTGACTGCGCAGCATACGAGTCACGCGGCCAAGCCCGGCCACCACGCGCTTGATACAGCCCAATTCTCCAAGGGCGCGATCCCCTTCGCCCAAAACCCACACAAGACACCCGCCCGGCCCATCGGTGGCATCATCCCCAAGTCCTCAGCCGCCAAATCTATCGCCCGCTCCTCCCCACGCCCACAAAATGGCGAGGGCATCGAACTCCCCGATATCCAAACCGACGACGAAAGCGACGACGACGACGACGGTTACGGCGGGGGCGGAGCCGGCACGGCGGGCAAGGGGCTGGCGCCGGAATGGACCGATTCCCCGGCCCTGCGGGAGGCGCTGCTCCGCCAGGAACGGCTGGACCCGATGAGCGTGTTTGGGCCGCCCGCGCCGTTGATCATGGAGGAGGTGTTCAGCAAAACGAAGGACCGGTTCCATAAGTTCCGCGCAAGGACCAGCAGTGCGAACTGGAGTGGCACGGATCGGTTGACGGAGGAGGAGGTGAGGAGAGATAATGCCGCAAGGGATAAGATGAGGAGGGAGGGAGGGTGGAGTTATGAGTTGGGGAGGGATATGTCGTAGAGTATCATATCAGCAGGAGCATGCTAGGTTATTGTGGTATTTTGGGGGGTCCCTTGGGAGGGGTTTCGGTTTTTATTCTTGGGGGCTACTCCCGAATTGTTCTCCGTGGACTTGGGGATAGAGCTGTGGCAGGTATTGTTGCCACTTTGATTGCATGGGCGTTTTTGTTTTTTTATCTGCTCTTCTTTTGCCGGGCTTTTTTATTCTACCAAAAACAGGGGTTACCGGGTTCGTGGGGAGATTTATGTTCTTTTTTTTTCTCTTTCATTCTACTAGCATTTTCAGCATTGGGCTGTGGGTTTAGGGGGTTTGGGGGTGGAGGGATGGGCGTGTGAGTTGGGTGGATGGGTTTTGTTTTTACTAGGGGTTGTGGGGCATAATTTGCGGTGTAATAGACTGAATTGCCTCCTGATGTGTTCTGTTTTAATGCCGATGAGGGTATGTGAGGGGTTTGTGTCAATGTGACTTACGCTATTAATTTGTTGTTTATGTGTCAGTTAACTGGCGATTGGACGTGTTCGTTAACAGTGGGTGACTGTGGCGTTTTTGTTTGTATGAGTCTTTGTTTTATTTTGCGATGTTTCAGTTTATACTCGCTTGTTGAACTTCGCATTCGACGTGTTCGGGGGTGTTCCACGGTGTTGAAGATGAACTATAGAAGTGAAGACTTTAGGGATCATAGATATGAACGTGTTCCAAGTTTTGAAACCCTAACTTTGCTAATTTAGTTCTCGAGTTAATGTTTTTTTCTCCCTCAATTCATGGATTGCTATGCTCTTGCTTCAAGGTATTATTTGATATTCCTGCTTGCATTTAAAAAATCGCGTCACTTTTTTTTTTATACCACATGCCAACTAAATACAATGTGCTTGATTTTGGGCTCTTATACTTCTCATGAATGTGTAAACAGTTCACCAAAATTCGTGGTCAATGTTAGGTAAAACACGACACAAAAGCCCACTATTCCGAGAGAGATGACCTATTAAGGGATGGGTATGGTAATGGTGGGTGAATTATCTAAATACAACTGAGGTGGTGTCATTCCTATTTTGGTAAACTATGTTACACTCAATATTGAATGTATGGCCACAGCTATGTAGTCCGTGAACTGTATCTTAGAGCGTGAATGGCTACATTGGTTGTGCGTAGCGATACCTGGTTTCCCATTCTTACACACTTGGGTGGTAATAGGACGTGAGCCGCGGGCTCGACCGGCCGCTGATACCCGGAATGCAACCTCGGATCGTGAATTCTTGGAACCGGGACTCTGAAAGGATGATGAGGGGCTACTTGGGATCTCACCGCCTCGGACAAAGGTACGGCTTACCTGCCGAGGTAGGTAAGCTTGGTTGAAGGAGAGTAGTACTTCGCTGTGTGAACCGCCGTCTATATTGGGTATGTGTTGGGGATTGCGATGATTCGGCCATGAACGGGAGCTCATTGCTCGCGTTACTCCTCGGCTCCCGACCACCCGTGAGATCTCATGCTCGATGACATTGAACATGCACGAGCGCATGCAAACTCGGGAGGAAATGCACAGCGGCCCTGCCGCTGGCCCGCGAAGATTGTTCTCCTGCTTTTTGGTACGTCATCCTGCCTCGAGGATGGGCATGTGGGGCAGCACCCTCAAGTGATAGACAGTGGGGGTGGGAGTTGGCAGTTGTTGCCCGTGACAGCTCGGGGAGGTCCCCACATTTTTGTTTGTTCCCTTTTGGGATGTGGGCGCGTTCGCACTCTAATAAATCTCCATCACTACGGTGGAAACCATTCTCAAAAAAAAGTTCAACCTTTTCGGATCGTGAGCGGGCACTGTTTTCGCTAGTCGGGTTTTCTAGTAAGTGGCCTCCTTCCCCGTAGTACAAGTTGCATTTATCCGTCCTTGCATTTGGTGTCTACCCCCGCGCTGTGAGTTGGGAGGCCTTCGAGTCCCGGGCTGTGCCTCGCAGCTGGTCGTCCTCTGGCTGTTGTCACGGGTACCGTCCCGCCGCAAGCAACGGCTCGCTGCGCCCGAACCTGCGGAACAGACCTGCACCTCTTGATTGCATACGACCTTTTTTACTCTACTCATCCCTAACAAACTCACAGTTCCTTCACTGGCCGTATTTTTCGACCTTCTCCCTTCACTCTATCCCGACGACTCTCGCTTCATTCTGGGATTTCATTCCCCCGTCGGACGAGACCGCCTTTTTGCTGTCTATTTGACCTTTTACACGTGTTGGTCTGCCCCGCATCGACTGTTTCTCAACCCCATACCGTCTCGGCCGACCGACCGACGAACGCTGACTGATTTGTGCCCGACCCTAGTCCTGCAAACGCGACGAGCCGATCTTGAACTTTCTTCCACTCCCTCTTCTGTTCCGGAAAGGTAGCCGACGCCCGCTCGCTTTTTGCGCCTCCCGACTTGGCGGGATTTCTGTCCCTGCGATCTCAACTCAAGACATCGTCAGGATCTCGCTTAGCTGCGCGTTTTCGACCTACAGGCAACCGCGCGATATCCACGAGGCTCCCAATTTCTCTGCCTTGACTGCCTTCACTTCGCCTGCCACCAAAGTTCCGACAAACAGCAACCCGAAATACTATTAGGCAACTGATGCATATATTCGCCCAAATCGCTACCACGTCTTTTCTTCGTCGCTTCTCCATCTAGTGACTTTGCGGCGGAGTCAAGATGGTCAAGCTAAATTATGAACGAGATTACTACGGTGATTTGGATCTGCCGCCGAACGCAGATGCTGCCGATGTCAAGAAGCAGTTCAAGAAGCTCGGTAGGTCGAAGATGCTGCGGAGGCAGAGACACAGGCATGCTAGGAACCTTTTTTGCTAATTATACCACCAGCATTGAAGTTCCACCCGGACCGTAACCCTGGCAAGGAGGATGAGGCTAAGGAAAAGTTCCTGGTTATCCAAGAGGCTCACGAGATTCTGTCGGACCCCACCAACAAGGCCAAATTCGATGGCTACCGCCTGCGAACCGCGAGCGCGAGATACTCGGGAGCCTCGGGCGTGAGGGGCAATCCCTGGCAGAACACCGCGAACGAAGTCAACTCGAGATATGGCGCTCCTCCTAAGCGACCGCAAATGCCCACCCGCCACCAGGCGCCAACCGCCGCGGCATCGGCAAAACCTTGGGACTGGGTCAAGACGAAATCCAAAGCGGATTATTCGAGGGCGAATACGGATGCGTGGGATCGTGCGAGACCACACACCAGGCCAACTCAGCCCAGTGCTACAACGTCTGGCGCTGGTGCTAGTGCTGGTGCGAGTGCGAGTGCAAGTGGGGGCGCTAGCGCCAGTGCTCGCCCACCAAAAGTACCCCCGAGGGAGCCCCCAACCCCGCGGACGGCATCGCAGGCGAGGCGGCAAGAGGCCTCGTTTGGAACTAGGAAGACGGGTTATGCTCCCGGCTCACCTATGGGAGACGAGCCGCCCGTGAAGAACCCACACTACAACACTGCGGGAGCCTCCGCAAGTGCTCAAACTACTTCTCAGCCGAGCAGTAGGTCGCGACCAACCTCTGCTTATGTGGATCCCCTGAGTGCTCAGTTTGGCGACGCCTTCATGGACAACCGCCAAAGCACACCCTACGCCGCTAATGTCGGCGAGAAAACCAACCCTTTCGAGCCCCTCAACGTGAACCGGGCCAAGAGCATGAGGGATAATGGGCGAAGATTCCAAGAGGGCGCACAAGAAGCGGCACCGGCCCCACCCTCCCGTCAACGTAGTGCCAGTACGGGATCTGAAGGCTTCAAGAGGACCGCAAACCCTGGGTCGGGTGCCAATGAGCAGTCGCAACAACAACAGCACCAACAGCAGCAACCGCATTCTACATTTCACTACCAATCCCGCGCCAGCGCCCGCTACAGCCCTCGCGGCGCCGAAACGGATTCTGCTCCTACGACTGCTACTTTCCAAGACGCAGCCAGCTCCACTTCATCCGTCAACAGTGCTAACGGTAAGATAACTCACTCATCGCTTACACACATGGTAAACATTCAGAGTTTTGTTGCTAACAGACCTTCCAGCTACGGTGGACGGTGATACCTCGGATCATAATCATCATCATACAAGTAATGGCGCCAGACCGTATGACATACCTTTTTCTTACTACCCCTACCCTTACAGCTTTTATGCCATGTATCCGCAAGCCGAGTCGGCCCCCCGTCATACCTACTTCAAGTGCCCGACCACCGATGAGGAACCAGCTCGCCCTGCCACCTTCGCCTTTCCAGCTTACTCTCACTACCAATCTTCTCAAGATACTACTACCCGTTCGGCTCCTAGTGGAGAGAAACGGGACAAACAAGACAAACGGGGTTCTGGCGCTACTGGGTTTCAGGACAAATTGCATGCGCAGTTGCAGCAGTTGTTGAGTGAAACGTGGCCGCCCGTCACCGCCACGATGCCAGCCAAAAAGCCTTGGGTCGCCAATATGACTGACGACGTTTACACCCTTAGCTCCTCCGGCTCCGGTACCGACCCGAACGCGTCGACGAACCACCACCCGCGCTTCTCCCGAAACAGCGCCGATAACATCAACACGCGATTTGTGGGGGAGGAGAAAGGTGGTTCTTCTAACTTCCAGTTTAGCGCAGGCGCCACCGGTTCCGCCGACGACAGCTTCCTCCGGGCCAAGCACCGCGCTCGCGGGCACCAATCGCCGCTTAGGAACGAATTCACGGCGTCGGCCGAGTCGGCTAACGGTGCTCAGCACCAGGCAGAGGCCGCCAAGAAGCAGGGCGATTTTGATGCCGAGCAATGGGCGGACAAGTTCGGGCCCCATGTCTTCGTGCCCGCGCAGCCTGGCAAGCCGTCGACGTCCCCGACTCGTCCCATCCGGCCCATCAAGAAGCCGCGTCCGGTCCGGGTGACTGCGGGTGGTGCCGCGGGTATGGTGGATGATGAAGAGACTAGCGGCGAGGACAAAGGAAAGGCGCGCGTTTCGGGCGCCTCCACGAACGGGATCAACGGGTCCAGGAGCCCTAACGCCATGGACATCGACACTCCGCCTCCGGAGCCTGCTGATGCGCAACAGTCTGACAGCCCCAAGACTGCCAACAGTGCCGCTGGCCCTCGCAACATCCCCGTCGAGCCGACGAAGCCCGAGTGGCGGCCCGGCAATGGCGTCACAGCCGAACCCAAGCTCGGCTCGAACCTCAAAATGCCCAACATTGCACCCACCGCAGGGGGATCCGAAGATGCCGACGATTTCTCACGCCCGATCTTTGCCGAGTTCCGCAATGTCGAGCCGTTTGCAGCACCCAAGGCCACCGGTCTCGGCTCCCTAAACGATCTATCCTCCAACCTGCCCTTCGCCTCGCGCGCGTCGAACAAAATCCCGATCAACCTCACCCACCACCAAGACCACGCCTCGTCCTCCTCCACCAAACCCCTCGATATCCCCACTCCGCCCTCGGCGCCGCGCGCTCCGCCGTCGTTATGCATCCCCGGTGCCAAGTTCTCCGCACCCGCCTGGCGCAACTACGAAACTGAGTTCGAGGCCTACATGGTGGCGTGGTTTGCCTTCAACCGGCGTATGACGGATCATTTCGCGGCGCGACAGCGCAGGAATGAGGAAGGCGGGCTGGATTGGCTGAACGCGCAGGGCGACGGTGGTGTGAATGAGTATGTGCGCGCACTGGATCAGGACCGGTATGTGCGTCAGAAGTGGATGGCGGCGTGTGAGAAGCATGAGCTGCATTTTAGGGAGTTCATGCAGGTGCGCGACAGGTTGTTGGCGGCGAGGTGATTGAGTAATTGGTGGGTTTCACGCTCCTTCGTCTTCTGCCGAGTCTCATCGCATGGCCTTGGTATCGAATATTGGTGGGTTATATGAGAACGACCTGAGTCTGGACGGGGAGCGAGAGGGCGTTTACATGGCGTTGGGGGAGCTTAGGAGGGAGAGAGATAGGTCTGGTGTTTGTTTGTATGTATAAGAGCTGGTCTGGTCATTGCTTTACCGGTCTGCGTTACGCTATTCCCCGGCCCCCCTCTTGCGCTTTTGGCCTTTTTGTTCATTGTCTTGTTTTTTCCCCCTTCCTTTCCTGCGAGCGTCTTTTTTGCCGTTTGTTTCCTTTCCCCCGTTACTCCTCTTTTCTCGACTACTCTTCTCCGTTCTCTGGTCTATTATACCGGGGTTGGAATTGGTTTGGGTGGGCTGGGCTGGGTGGGATGATGGATGATGTATCTGATACCCGATAAGGATGGGAGATGGATGACGTTCGGAATTGATGGTGAATCGGACGAACCGCGAATGGACGGATGCTTGGGCTTGTGAATGGGGATGCTGGGTTGGGGATGAGTACCCAGGCGATTGAAATTCAGGGACTAAGGGGCAGTCCTGGGTGTGATGTGATCATGTTCATATGAAGTTATGACTTATTAGTCTTTTCTTTTCTCTTCCTTTGTCCTTTGTTTTTTGTCACGTTCAGAGCTCACATTCGGATGGGTACGCGATGTATTGTAGTTATGGTATGGTATGATACAGTCTGGCGCGGTATAGACTTTTTCTCACGAGATCATAATATCATGAGATGGGGCGTGTGTTGGTCCTGTGTTTGCTTCAATTCCCACTCGTGTGTGCGGCCACCTGACAAGCATGGTTGGTTTGTTGGTGAGGGTTTGAGAGAGGGCCCGGCAAAAAGGGTGGATGTTGGTGCCAGGTCTACCGTGCCCATACACGGTCCGCAGTCAATTCGTATTATGTTGATTTTATTCGTATTTTATGTGTCCATCTGACCTTTGGATGAGGTGTGTTGTTTCCACCGCCTCTAATTATGGATTTCCACTAATGAATATACGATACGGACTTCTCAGTAATCAAATTAGCTGGTTACCTTGACCACCAAGGTTCTTCAAACCTGCACTTGTCATCATTCGCGTTTGTATTTGTTTTCTTCAGTGAAACTAAGCACCTTGATGGACGTCCTTTGTCTGCTCTGAGAAGGATTATTAAACTTGCGGTTGGCGGAGTTGTTGCTGAGGTGAGCCGGGGAGGTTTCAAAGGATCTGTTTTCGGGACGAGGTGAAACATGTGAAAAGGCGGGTGGAGCGGTTAGACTGTGCTATTATCGGAGTGGATGAAACCTCGATACTGGAATTCAAGGATAATGCAACTACCCCAGTATCAATATTTCGACATCTGACTCCCACGAGAGTACATCTTCCTGCGGCTTTTTCGAGACGGCAGTAACTGCACCTTAGATTAGAAGCTTCCGTAGCCTATGATCAACTCTACGCTGGGCTTTACTGATCCCTTCGGCCGTGTTGAAATCATTTAGTAATGTCTCAATATCGTAATACTAGGGTTCTATCGCCGATAACAGCATAGCCCCACTACTTCGCTTATCGGCTGCGCCGCCCGCCCTCGCGCTTGTCAAGCGCAGCAACTTGCAAGGCAGCACAAAGTTTCGTGGACCCTTCTGGCCGAAGCAGGGCGTCTCGTCGCAACTTTGCAAACCCACAATCGACAAACCGGCTCTCTCTCATCCCTTCTCTTGGGCCTCTCGCGCCTCGCCCACCTATAAAACCTGTGCAGCGGCCCAGGCCTGGCACCTGCACCTGCACGTGCGATTGTGAATGCAGCCGGCGCTGTTGCTGTGCCGTGGATTGCGTATTACCTCCATCAGCTCCCACTGTGCAAAATCGAGCCCGAATTGGAAGTTCCTGGCTTGCAAGCCGGCAACCACGACTACTTCCACTCTCGCTTCCTCTTCGCCCTTTTCTTACTTTTCCTCTTTCTCTGGCACGGCTCAACTCCGATTTGCGTCCACAGGGTCCAAATTTCGAACGTTGCGCAACCAGGGCGCTTCCCCGGATCTCTTTCCTTCCCCATCATCACCATTTTCTCGACCTAGTTTCCAGCGCCATCATCCCTCGTCGACAACCACGATCGCTCCGTATTCCAATTCCTCGTCTTCCACGCGCGTCTCGTCCTCCCCTCCGACCGACAACATCGCAGACACCATGAACGGCACATCAAACCCCGCGGTCCGGTCGAAGCGCAAGGAGCCGCCGCATGCCGTGGACGGTCGGCATCCCAAGCACCACCGCCCCAACGGCGATGCCTCCTCGGCCGGCGACGATACCCCCGAGCGACCGGACGAGTTTGAAGGCGAATTTGTGGACGAATTCGAAGACGCGCGGTTGTCAGCCCTGTTGCCCACGGGACCCGACACGGCAGAGTGGCAGGCGACGATTCAGAGTGTGGTGCGGAATGTCGTGTCGATTCGCTTCTGTCAGACTTGTTCTTTCGACACGGACCCGGCGTTGACGAGTGAGGCCACTGGGTTTGTGGTTGATGCAGAGAAAGGGTACGTCGCAATTCAATGCATGGGAAAAACCAAAGTTTTTTTTGGTGACTCCGGGGTTTTAACTGGCAGTACAGGTACATTCTAACCAACCGTCACGTCGTTGGCTCTGGCCCGTTCTGGGGCTACTGCATCTTCGACAACCACGAGGAAGTCGACGCTTACCCCGTCTACCGCGACCCCGTTCACGACTTTGGCATTCTCAAGTTCGATCCCAAGGCCATCAAATACATGCCCGTAGCCGCCCTGCCGCTGCGCCCCGACCTCGCCAAGGTCGGTATCGAGATTCGCGTGGTCGGCAACGACGCCGGCGAGAAGCTCAGTATTTTGTCCGGTGTCATTAGTCGGTTGGACCGCAACGCGCCAGAATACGGCGATGGGTACAGTGACTTCAACACGTGCTACTACCAGGCTAGCGCAGCCGCTAGCGGTGGTAGTTCAGGCTCGCCGGTCGTCGACAAGGATGGATTCGCTGTGGCGCTGCAAGCCGGTGGCCGTGCGGATGGTGCCGCGACGGATTACTTCCTACCGCTCGACCGGCCCCTCCGGGCGTTGAAGTGCCTGCAGGAGGGCAAGCCGATCTCGCGCGGCGACATCCAGTGCCAGTTCCTGCTCAAGCCGTTCGACGAGTGCCGCAGGCTGGGCCTGACGCCAGAGTGGGAGGCGCAGATCCGCAAGGCGTTCCCCAAGGAGACCAACATGCTGGTGGCCGAGATCGTGCTGCCGGACGGCCCCTCGCACGGGAAGATTGAGGAGGGTGACGTGTTGATCAAGGTCAACGGCGAGCTGCTTACCCAGTTCATTCGGTTGGATGACGTCCTGGACTCCAGCGTCAAGCAGCCGGTCAAGCTACTTCTGCTTCGTGGTGGTGAGGAGGTCGAGGTGGAGATTGAAGTCGGCGACCTGCACAGCATCACCCCGGACCGCTTCGTCTCGGTGGCGGGAGGAAGCTTCCACAGCCTTTCGTACCAGCAGGCCCGTCTGTACGGTGTCGCCACGAAGGGCGTGTATGTTTGCGAGGCTGGTGGGTCATGGCGGTTCGATAACTCCGATAACGGCTGGCTCATCCAATCCGTCGACCATAAGAAGACGCCGGACCTTGAGACCTTCATCAACGTGGTTAAGGCGATTCCGGACAAGGCCCGCGTAGTGGTGACCTACAAGCACCTGCGCGACTTGCACACTCTGAACACCACCGTCATCTACATCGACAGGCATTGGTCCAAGAAGATGAAGCTGGCGGTGCGCAACGACGAGACTGGCCTGTGGGATTTCTCGACGCTGGCCGACTCGCTCCCGCCGGTGCCCCCCGTGCCGAGGAAGGCGGCGTTTATCCAGCTCGAGCACACCTCGCACCCTGCCGTTGCTGACCTAGTCCGCAGCTTTGTGCACGTCAGTTGTACCATGCCCGTGAAGCTCGACGGGTTTCCTAAGAATCGCAAGTGGGGCATGGGCGTGGTCATTGACGCCGACAAGGGCCTCGTGGTAATATCGAGGGCCATTGTACCGTACGATCTCTGTGACATCAGTATCACCATCGCCGACTCAGTCGTCGTCGAGGGTAAGGTCGTGTTCCTGCACCCGCTGCAGAATTACGCCATCATCCAGTACGACCCCAAGCTCGTCGACGCCCCCGTGCTCAGCGCCAAGCTCAGCTCCGAGGAGATCACGCAGGGCGCGTCGACGTACTTCATCGGCTACAACCGCATCGGGCGCATCGTTCACGCGGCCACGACGGTGACTGAGATCTTTGCCGTGACTATCCCAGCCAACTCGGGCGCCCCGCGGTACCGCGCCCTCAACGTTGACGCGATCACGGTCGACACGAGCCTGAGCGGCCAGTGTGGCAGCGGCGTCCTCGTGGCGCAAGACGGCACGGTGCAAGCACTCTGGCTAACATACCTGGGCGAGCGTAACCCTTCGTCGCACCGCGACGAGGAGTACCACCTGGGCCTGGCAACCCCGTCGCTGCTGCCCGTCGTGCGGCAGATTCAACAAGGGGTCAACCCCAAGTTGCGCATGCTGTCGGTCGAGTTCCGCGCTATCCAGATGTCGCAGGCGCACCTGATGGGCATCTCGGAGGAATGGATCGCGCGCGTGTCGCAGGCCAACACACAGCATCACCAGCTGTTCATGGTGTCCAAGCGCACGTTTGATCCTAACGAGCAGCCCGAGGGACAGCAACAAGAAGAAGCAAGGGACAACAGGAACGCTGCCACGCTATGTGAGGGTGACGTACTGCTCAGCATCAACGGCAACATTATCACGAGGATCTCGGACCTGGATGTGATGTACTCGCACGAGGAGCTGGACGTGGTGCTGGTGCGCGAGTGCGAGGAGGTCGCGCTGCGGATCCCGACCGTCGCGGCCGACGACGTCGAGACGACACATGCTGTCTCCTTTTGCGGCGCAATCTTCCACGCGCCGCACCACGCCGTCCGCCAGCAGATCAGCAAGTTGTTCAGCGGCGTCTATGTCTCGGCCCGCACGCGCGGGTCACCGTCGTATCAATACGGTCTGGCCCCGACCAACTTCATCACGCATGTCAATGGCAAGCCGACACCGGATCTTGACGCCTTTTTGGCTGAGGTAATCAAGATTCCGGACAATACTTGTGAGTGCCATATTCTTACCCACCCCCAATGATTCCATTAGCTAGTAGATCATCGCTAACAGGATACCCCCACCAGACTTCCGGCTCCGGGCCATGACATTCGACAGTGTCCCGTGGGTGGTCACGATGAAGAAGAACGACCACTACTTCCCGACAGTCGAGCTGATCAAGGACCCAAGCGAGGAGTGCGGCTGGCGGCGCGTCACGTATGAGGGCGGAAAGGTGATTGAGGACGAAGAAGGCACGGATGGTGTGGCCGCGCCTGGGACGGGAGAGGCGAACGACATGGAGGTGGAGGAGGAAGAGTGAGGTGATTATGTGTATGATTAACTACTCTCGGGTTTGTGTCTGAAGTGATGTTGCGAAAAGCTTGAATGTGAAGAGTGCGGGGGCTTTGGGGTACTGGCTGTGCTGGCTGCTGAATATGACGAGTGCTTACAGAATGCTTGAGGGAAGGAGAAAAAAGGGGACTAAATTCCTGGATTGACCTGGTGTTACAAGTGTATTAATGGGTATACGGATATACGGAACTCGAGCAGGAAAGAGAGAGTTAAAAAAACACATGGGCCAGGTTCTGAAATAGGTCGTTAGTCAGCTTCTGGTCTCAATGTGGCATGTATTGTATACCAAGCCAAGCATTCTGTGTCGTTGTCCTGTGAAACATTGAGAGTGGTCGACAAATCCCGAGCCATCACCGTGTAACAAACCAAAATGCGACTGTCATATTCCCCAGTTTGTGTCATAACTTCCTCCGTACGCCATAAATTACTTGAAACATCGCCCAGCAGACAACATGTCGTTCAGCCGCTCCACCCCTGTCCAATCGAGATCCTCGACCCGCCGTCCAATGAGAACGTCAAGGTGTCACCAAAAGTTCGGCAGTGAAACCCACACTTGACTGGGGTGCCCCCAACAACCAGTCTCGATTCCGCACGTCACTCGGAGGGGCAATCGAGTCGATTGCTGCGGTGCGCTTCTCTGCAAGGCGCCCGCAGCAGCGGGTTTGTGGGAGGGATGACCGACTGACTGACGCAGCTGACCGCCTTCTTTTTTTTTCTTGCGTTGTTAGGGGGACGGTTCCAAATTAAGACGCCTCGGCGGTTCGGAGACCGCCTTTTGGGGTTTGAGTTGGAATTGGAAGAAATATTGGCTTTTCTCTGATGAGGTTTTGCCTTGTTTTTGCTTTCTTCCATCAGCAATTTGATTTGGAAGCCCCGCCGGCTTGGACACCCCTCATCTGCTGAACACCCCTGTCGTACCCGCTGTAATTTTGGGAACCCCTCCGACCCAGCGCCTGGTTGCAAGGATCCTCGACTTTTGGTCTGAACCCTGATCTCGACTTTCTGATCTCGACTTTGGCATTCAGACTTGGGAAGCTCAGCTCTCTGCCGCCCTGCTGCTGCGTGTACGCCTGGAGTGCCAATTGATCGCGGCCTTGTCTTCTGGCATTTGTTTTGGTACTGTTGACGTATAATTCTGTCTACACCACTGCCGAGACAACTCGATCACGAACTAGCGGGGGAAACGAAATAAAAGGGACAAGACGAAAAAGGAGAGGGAGAAAGACAATAGACGGAGGGACGGGGCCCAAGGACAAACAGCCTTCGCTTTTCACATCTACATCCACAAACAATGTTTGCCCCTCCGACGCCGACAACACCCAGGGGCGGACGGGGCGCTTTCATCCCGCTCGTCTCGGTCGTCGACTTCCACCATGCGCGCGGGCCGGAGGTGGAGCGCTGGTTCGGCGTCGAGGACGGTCACGATCCGGCGGCCGAGTATGACTGGACGCTGCTACCGTTCATGGCGCTTAGCGATGGTGCTCACGCGTGGGTTTTGTTTCTTCCTTCGTGCTATTATCTACCTTGAATAGGTATACGCAGAGGTTAGCTCTAACATTTCGTTGTGTACACAATCCAGACTCACCGAAGATTTCTCCTACTTCACCCTCCTCCGCCCAGCTACTAGCACCACTGACGGTGACAACAACACCAACGATGTACCCGCCACCTCCCTGTTTGGAATCTCCTGCACGCGCCAGATGGACGCCTCTCAGCTCGTCAATCGCCCGGCCGAAGTCACACGCTCGACCGTGCAAAAGGCCGTGGTCGTCATCGCCGACAGCCCGCAGTACTTTGGCATGCTGCGGGAGCGATTAAGCGTGGTCACCAAAGCGTGGTTTGCCCAGCGCGAGTTCACGGATGTGGAGATTCTGCGGCGGTTTCAGGAGAGTCTGGCGGACGAGAAGGCGCGCGGGATGTTGCAGGCGGAGGAAGAGGCAGAGCGGGATCAGTATCTGGGGTTGAGCTTGCGCGAGCTGGTGCGCGAGTTTCGGTGGCAGACGCTGGTGCTGTTGAAGTGTTGCTTGTTGCAGCCAAAGGTAAGAAAGGAAATCAAGGGGTTGTGATCTGAATTTGTCCGGTGTGCAGTTTTTGCTGACTTGTTTTGTTCTTTGTGGCAGATGCTCTTCTTTGGTACCCGCTGTGAGCGTTTGTGTCTAACACAGTTCTCTCTGATCTCATTAATACCACGGCTGCTTCATAATCTGCAAGACTCGGCCGGTCCGGAATTGGATAGTTACGAGAAGGAGCTGACGACACCAACAAGTCTAAGGACGAGCGACAGAAACTCACTCCTGTCATACATGGGGTTACCTCTGCAAATCTTCGGCAAGGGTAGCCTCTTCGGCCCTTATACCCCCCTTCAGCAGCTCGATATTCTCGCCGACTTTGGCACCAAGTCCTACATCGTCGGTAGCACCAACTCACTTCTCCTTCAACAAAAAGACCGGTATAGCGATATCTTGATCAACCTCGACGAAGACACCATCAACGTCACGTCCCCTTCTCTCAAGGCAGCCCTTCAACTCTCCACCCCAGACCGTCGCTGGATCGACTTCATCACCCAGAATGTTAATGACACCTGGGATGATGCCAATCCGTCCCGCCCCAAGACCATGGGTTACGTCGGAAGCGAAGAGTTTATCCGTGTACAGTTCGAAGAATACCTCCTCTCCCTAATCTCGTCCGTCAAATACCACGCTCATCTGGCACGCCACGCCCACAACCCCCGCATGCTCCTCCCCGATATCGAGGGCGATCCATCACACGATTTCGGGATCGAGTTCGTCGACGCCTGGGCCCGTACAGAAAACTTCCGCATCTGGAACTCCCACACTGACTCGCACCTGTTCGACATTGTCGAGCCCAAACACCCATGCGCCGGGGGGCTAACTATCGACGACATTCAACGGCGAATCACACAGCAGGTCCAAGACATGCATTGGGACGAGCGCTTTGCACAGGGCCGGGAAGTTCTCGGGCGGAACCTGGCTGCTGGGAGAGAGAAGGCGAGCACTCTATTCGGGAAACTGTATGCCGATATGGAAGCACTCCGGGAAGCGCAGAGGCGAAAAGCTGAAGAGTCTCGGCAACACCATCAACACCACCACCACCACTCTAGCCACCCATCAGATGGGTCGAAATCAGAACACAACGAGAAAACCGGTATGTTAGGGGGAACTGCTACTGGAGCTGCTGCTGCTGCGCCTGTAGACCTTGCCAAGGCACAACAGACCGTGCAAACAGTCGGCAGCAAAGCCGGCGCCTTTGTTAATAGCTGGGCAGCATGGGCTGGGGAAAAGCGACGAGCAGCATGGGGCGGCGGCGGGAACAGCAGCAGCAATACCACCAACAACAACACCTCTACCACGACCACAAACACTACCACCACGGCATCTACTAGCGACACAACCAGCACCGCGCGAAACAGCGTCAGTAGCGGGTGGAGTACATCCTGGGTCAAAAGCGCCACAGGCCGCAACCGCTCCTCCCAAGCCTACGACGCCCTCCCATCCTCGTCCTCCCGGAACAACAACAACCGGCCCGCATCCATCGCATCCACAAACGACACTCTCCACGATGATGATGATCACGATGACAAAACGGGCGAATTCGAGCGCCGTCCGTTGCACAGCAGTGGTCATGGTTCGATAAGCGGCGAATCCATGCTGGACGGTGTCGCGTCGGATACAGCGTTTTCGTCGCCTGTGGCGTCACCGAGGAGGGTGGGTCGTAGTGGTGCTGGTGGTGGTGGTAGTGCTGTTGGGCACGAAACGGTAGTGTCTGTGGGGAGTGTGTTACCGCCCGTGGTGGAGGCAGAAGCAACGCCAGCAGCAGGGGAAAAGACCGCCGCCGTCAGCGGGAACGAGAAAGCGAATCATTCCGAATCGGCAGAGCCAAACGCAGCAGCAGCAACGGAGAAAGACAATGAAAAGCCCACCGTCTTGGACATCCGACGGAAGAACCCAGACGCAGACACAGACACAAGCGCAAAAGCGGAAACAGAAGAAGAAGAGAAAAAAGAGCAGGAAGAAAAGAACTCAACTCAAGGGGCGTCTCAATCAAAATCCAACCTCGTATCAAAATCGGACGACTCTGATCCCGAACCGTCCCCACACCACACACCAGATATTGCGACGGCCGAAGCTGCCGTTGTGCAGGGGGTATGGGAGAAGAGTTGATCCTGACCACGCCGAGATCGGGGTACAGTCGTTAGTCAAGGTGTGGTATAGAGATGGGGAATGTTGGTCCTTATCAGCTCTTTGGATTTGAATTTTAGGGGTCGGAGTAGATTGGCTTGGGTGTTAGGAGTCTGTGTTGTTGGGAATATACATAAGGTGGAAGTATCGATGGATGGATGGATTGCGGTCAAAGGGATAAATAGACAGACATCTGAATCTTTTGTGTTTTATGGAATATGCCGAATAATAAAAAACCAGTTCTCACATGGTTGTGTTTGTAATTGCATCCGTGTGCGGGGAAGAACAAGAAAATAAAAGCAAGACGGCAACTAATACCGAATAGTTCTCTTTTTTCCGTCTCTGTCTCATTCATCATACACTCGTCAGGTCTCCTAAAACATGATTGGTCACCAACAAGGCATTGAGCAGAACATTTATTATCTAGAGACATATCAAGACCCCACTTCATCCCGCTAGCATACTCGGTCCGGTCCAAGTCAAATCAAGGCATTTATTGTCTCTTTCCTCCCTTCAGTCGACAGAGCCCATTTACGACTCCGTTCGCCCCTCTGACCTATCTCTCTTTGTCCCTCCTGCTTCTGCTGCTGTATGACAAAAAGAACAAGACGGGAGAGGAATACCGTAGAAGACACTGAACCCACCGCCCATCCGCCCATCTGACCTATCATCTCGAATCATATATGCTACCACGACCACAGACTCTGTTGTCCTGGCCGCCCCCCCAGAAAAGTCACGAAGGACTAGTTGAAGACTGCTCCCGCCCGGGTAGCTCGACAAGCCTCTCATCCGTCGATTAACGTTGACTGCTTTGGCTCCATCCATCCATACCAGCTAACAACAACAAGATTTGTTCTTCGTTCATTCCCGAGGTCCCCCTCTTCCCAGAAACGCCAATGTAAGCAACCAGCCATTATCAGCGACCCGTTCAACACGCCCCGCCATTCCTAACGTAGCAGCAAACGAATCCCGTGTGTATTTTGTTTAACTTTATCCGGTCCGTCCAATTAATTTCTCAGTTCTCATTGGGGCAGGAACTGCTGGTCGTCAACCTGACCAACACCTGCGGCTTCGACGTTGTGGTAGTCGAGGATCTCCGAGTACCTGGTTGATCAGTTTTGTTAGCCCTGTCTCGTTGCATTTGAGGAGTAGGCCGTGAAAAGAAATACTCACATCATGATCTTCCATGTGTCGACGGGCAGATCAGCATCGTTGAAGCTCCAATCGAACTTCTCCTCAGCCATAGGCTCGTCCGTGGGATCGTGGTAGGGGGCCAGGTACTCGTGAGCCAAAGCCTCGGTCGCTGTTATCCGCTTCTTAGGGTCGAATACAAGCATGCGTTCGAGGAGGTCGATAGCTAAAAACAGTTAGATGGCTCTAGCAGGGGGGAGAATGGCTGAAGTAAAGATGGGGTGAAACATACCCGACTCGTCAGCATTCTTGAACTTGTTCCTTAGTGGCTGCCTCTCCCGCCTGGGGAGTGACTTGACGAACCGCAGAGTCTAATAAGTATGTTAGCAATAGTGTTAGACATAGATGCCGAGGAGAAATTTGGGGTCCTTGTACGCACGTTCTCGCTCGCGATAGTGTTGATCACATCGTCAGGTGGGGTCCCGAGAAGCTCAGTGATAATGGAGAACTGGTTGACATGGTCCTTGCCAGGGAAGAGAGGCTTGCCCTCAAGCATTTCCGCAAAGATGCACCCGGCGCTCCAGATGTCGACCTCGACATCGTACTTTTGCCAGGTGAGCATAATCTCAGGCGCACGGTAGTATCTCGTAGACACGTAGCCGGTCATTTGAGGATCCTGGATACGGGCCAAACCAAAATCACAGATCTTGAGATCGCAGTTCTCGTTGACGAGAATGTTGCTGGGCTTCAGGTCACGGTGAACAACGCCGGCAGAGTGGACATATTTAAGACCACGCTAGTTATGGTCAGCCAACAAACACTTCGGTGTTTCATTATACCTCAAAGGCAGACTGACCATGATCTGGTAGAGGAAGTACTGGATGAACTGCTTCTCCAGTGGCCGCGAGGTGAGTAACCTGTGGAGATCGGTGCCCAGGAGTTCCGTCACGAAGTAGCTGCGAGGTGGGTTAATGGGTGTAAACGCAAAACAACGCTTTGTGACAAAACCTACATATCCTCAAGAGGGGAAATGAAGATGTCGCTGAGCGAGATCACCTAGACGGAACTCGTGTCAATTATCACGACGCAAACTGAACGTGATGGGGGCCACATTGCTCACATTCTCGTGCTTCAAATGCTTAAGCAGCTTTAACTCACGGTACGTGCGCTTGGCGAGCACGGGGGTGCTAAAAGGCTTCATGATCTTCTTGATGGCGACATTCTGGCTGGTGAGTTGGTCCTTTGCGGAGCTACATGTTGGTCAGTAGCCGGCGCGGTTTGGTCAATGAAACAGGAGGCGCATACCAAACCAAGCCGAACGCTCCCATGCCAACAGGCTGGAGATCAGAGTACCTGGTTTAAAAAAAAATCAGCTGGTGTGTTCCGCCAAATTGTGTTTTTCTCCTCATCATATGATTTTCCTATTTGTATCCAAGGCAGGGCGCTGTACCTCGAGGTGATCTCAAAGGTGGTCCCAAAGATTTGGGCACGCACGAATTCGGCCATGGCGGGCAATGAAGCTGTGTATTCTCGGCGTAGATGGGCGAGGGCGTGGTTGTGTGGCTTCCGGATCGCCGTTGTCGATGCGGAGGGCGGACAGAGGTGCGGGGCAAATAAATAACCGAGTCGAACGCGCCGCGCGGGGCAACTCGAGGTTATGTGAGGGTTTTCGGGGAGGAAACGGGGCGCACTGCGGGGGTCGCACGAGGATGAACGATCACGGTGGCTTTTTTCTTGTGTCAACAAAGGCGTCCAGGCGCAAAAACACCAAAGGGCGGCGCAAAGAATTTACGGGGTGGTCGATTATGTTCCGGGTTCTCGTGGTGGGGAGATCGATGAAATCGATGGCGATCGAAGCACCTAACAGCGGGGCCGGGTGCTCTCAGGGCCGGGACCTGGAGGCGAAATAGCCAAAGTTTAGCTTCTAGCCCAAAACGGGGTTGCACTGGAGTCGGCGAAATGGGTGAGGTGTGTCAGAGCTGCATCAGGTGGGGACATTGCCGCTTACCGTGCGCGCAGTTTGGAAAAGTTGTGCAGAGAGTTGTCAAAGAACAACTCAATGCTGGCGCCGACAATTCCACGTCGCCTTTTCTTCGGCAGTGGATTTTATTTATCCGTGTTGCTGCTGTTGGATGGGAAGCCGTGTCTCGTCGGTCCACACGATTGGCAGGTGGGGGGGGGGCCGTTGGGGGCGTCACAGGTAGATGACCTGGAATGCTCCTGCTTCTGCAAACTTCGTTGCTGCTTTCTTTCCCGGGGAAAATAGCCTCTTTTGTTTTCCTTTTCTCCTAGCCTTCTACTGCTGGTTCCTGAGATAGTTTCGGGCGCAAAATGCTAAGGGCGTCGGACTGCAAGCTTCTAGCGGTACAGGTTTGATACTTCAGGTTGTCTCTGTCGCAAGCCGACTCTGAGGGGTGTCAGAGATAAGCGATCCTCAAGCTCCGCGACCAGCAAGCCATGCCATTGGTGATCACTTACCCGCACACACAGGCAAAGGAGACCAAGGTATGTACCTAGGTATGTATGTTAGGTATTCGGTGAGGTTTAATTTGTTTGCAGAGCTAAGTCGAGGCTGTTCAATGGCCTGGATCGATGGTATGGGAGACAACGGCCGCTCCTAGGGGATTGTAAGGCGAAGGGGATGGGAGGAGGAATGCTCAAAAAGGTCGGGCAGACAGAGGGACAGATGGACGTGCCCAGTATTTTAATATTTTCACAAGCTCCAGTCCCATGCGCCGGGGCGCGGCTGGTGGTCCAGATGCGATGCGGGGCTGGGTGAGGTTTGAGAACAGGATGTGGCAGTCCAGCAAATTCCATGGCACTCCTGCTTTCCCGTCCTTCGACCCTCCAATCGAAGCATTTCGGAGTCCACCTACACTAGCGAGTAGTACATTACAACACAGAAACTCTCTTTGCGGACCGTGAACTGTATCTTCCTACTCTATCAATAAAATAAAATGAGGGGGGCGCTAGATATGCTGAATGAGCCTGATGCCCTCTTCCATGTACTTTCAACCCGAGCGTATCTAACTATTGTATGAACTGTGTCTTCTTCCATCGCTTCCCCTCGAGCGGCTAACTCCCCTCGGAATAACAATCCGACGGAACATGTATCTCGTGTGCGGACATGTGTGCGTGTCTCGGGCGCCCTGCAGCTTGTGGTGCATCGTCAACACCCGTGCCGTGCTCCCCTCCGATGGATGCATTCATCGTGGGAGGGGCTCACCCAGTCTGGAGCAGTGCAATGACGTAGGCTGGCAGTGGGGGGCATTTCACCCCTGTCGCTGCTCAAACCAATCGCTTCACTAATCTCCGCGACCTCCTCATACCCAAGGGGGGGAAACGAAGTCTGGTGCAACGCTTGGCCCGGAAAGGTAGCAGGATCCCATGCAGCTCTTCGGCGTTCACGTTTGCGAAAAGAGCCGTTAGTTACTGTCAAGGGGCTCTCTGCGGTGTAAGCGACCTTCCCCCATCAAGACACTAAGGGGAGCTTTTCCTCCGGATTGGAAGCTTCATCGCCCGATCCTCTGAACCCTCTCCGTACAACCCTGAATTTTGGTCCTGCGCCAACAAGTCTCAATCGGTACCATCTTTGGGTCGACAATGCATGCTCCCAGAAAATATGTAGCCATCGCCCTTTAACTCGTACAAATATAACGCAGTGTCTCGTCGACAAGGTCCAATGCCAAGCTCTCAGCATCCCGAGCCGGGCCCCGGGGATCATCAGGGGGCGTCGACAACGGAAAAACGGGCTGGGCGGCCCTTGGGCAGATCAGTTGACAAAAATACTTGAATAGGATTTTGTTTTCTATTTTCTTTCCCCAGGAATGGGGGAAGTGGTCGCATATCCATGCACGACATCCCACCATCTCGTGTAATCGAGCGCGTATCTGTCCCCATCCACCTAGGTCAGGGCGCAACCGGACTAACCCTTTGATCTCCGGCAGCTCCCGAGCAATGCCCCTCATTCGAGACAAAATAAAATCCAAGGGACTTTGATCTCGATCATGTCAGGACCCTGATATTGACAATTCTTTTCCAGGAATTCCCCATCCATCCTGTAGCTCAGCCGTTTTTTGCTTTAGGGCCAATGATAACAAGCTTGCGATTCTCTCCAATGAACTAAACGGCGTTTTCCGCAGCAGATGGAAGGCGGGGTTTGACAACGAGGAAAAGAGACGAGAAAGCGGGAATGCACAATGACGTCAACTTCAGCCAAGTCTCCTCGTACCCAACCCACGCTATCCAGCCGTTGACGGTCAAGACGGTTTGGGCAGCTTGACATCCAACAAAATATTCCAGACTCAAATTCAAAATCTCGCTAACTAGGTACACATGTACCTCACAATGGATCTCGCAATTATGACGAGTTGATATTTCTTGCTCGCTCCGGATGGTATCCACTGATCCTTGTCCTCCAAGGACTTGGAACCCTGCGAGCCGCATGACACTCCTGCTTTTTGAAAAGAAAATTCTTTCGAGGAAAAAAAGACTTCAAAAAATAAAAGACTAAAACGCTCGCTAGTCCGCGTGTCTGGGAGCGTGAGCAAAAAACTTCAAATTCAGAGGGAAAAAAGAGACCCTGCATTGTTCCCGTAGCTCGGGGACCAATACCCCGCCAAATCAGAAGCTCCGGAGCAGGACCCTTTCGGTTACACTGTGACACTGACACCGGACCCCTAGCTTGCACTGCCCCAACACGCACCCAAGCACGCCAGGAACAGCAATACAGAAAGAAAATCAGGGTCCCCTCAACTCCAACGCCCGGGCATCGCTACGCCCCGGAATTTACTCCGATATCAACACCATTGGGTAGTTCATGACCTCTGGCTCCCACAATAGTTGGGAACGGAAGATGCTAAAAACAAGATGGCCCCTGAAAGCAAGAATAAAAAAGAGAAATGCACCGTCCCACAATCCAGAACTTGGAATCTAGAATGCAGAATCCTGGCATTCAGAACCTACACTCGCATGGAAATCTCGAATACCCACAGCAACATCCCAACGAGCCAACCCAAAGTCCCCGACCCACGCTGCCACGTCCGAAACAGCCGAGAGAAACATTCCTATCCACAACTTACACTAGTGTAGACGACCTCATATGAACCTACCCCCAACGCATGCATGCAACTCTAACGACCGGGTACTGCACCTCGACGCAACGGCACGGCCCACCGATTCGTGATCCTGCATCGTGGTCTCGCCACCGCGCTTTCCATGCTTTCGTGTTTGCAGATGTTGCCTCGTAATGATGCTACGCCAGATGCTTGGTCCGAGGTATCGTCGGGACCTTTGATTGGGGAGCGTCGACAGGTCCGGCTACCTTACCCACGCCCTTCATCTTCAGCCATCATTAGCCCTACCTAGGTATTGTGTCATCGAGCGTGTCAGCCACCTCGCACCTTTCGATCCATGTTCCGAGGGCTGCCAACATACTATGTGCCTGGTATATTTCCTAACCGCCCTGTTCTCTGGGCCTACGCCACTGTCAAGCACATGTGGTCTGGAGACTACGTCGGCACGTGTTTGTTGGAAGGGGGAGCACGCATAGATCAAACAGCTTGGTTACCTTCGAAACCGCTATGAGACAACGAGAGGAAACGAGTGGAGAAACAGAAACGACGACGAAAAGCCCGCTATACCTTCAACCCTTCATCCATTAATGCCGTCACACATACACCAACAAACCTCAGAACCCCAGTCCCCCACCAAGCCAAAGCTCCCACTCTCTCATCGATGTCGACCCGGCCCTATCGCCTCCCCCCTTAAGGACCTCATCTTCGCCAGCCCGCTCCACCCATTCTAATGTCACATCCAACTCCGGGTTTGTTGGCATCCCGCCGGCTTTCAAATAACTGAAAACGACCTCCCACCTCGGCAGCAAATATTCCCCAAAATGCTCCCAGACCCACCAGGCGACACTAACCACTGCGGCCATCAAGAATCCTGCGACAAAATGCAGCATCACCATGCTCAACAACCAGTCTTTCCAATCTACCGCTTCGGCCAGGTCCTCGCCTTGGTCAACCAACAGGATCACGGGCGGCCCCCCTCCGAGCCCGTCCATCGCTCCTCACTCGGACTCGCTCGTGGATAGGTCACCACCTTCATCAGTTCCCCAGCCATCGCTTCCAGCGAATACGCTGATTTCGTCTGTATCATCATCTTCATCCAACCCCGCCATCATCTCCTCCTCTTCGATTAAGGGTTCCAAGGTTCCCAGGGCCCCAGCTGGCGTCTCCGTCATGTCACTAATCGCGCCCATAAGCTCAACTAACTGCAAGACGCTGTCCCGGTCTGGTCCCCCTCTTTCATCTTGAGAAGCTCTCTAGGCATCACCGGCCTGGTCCGCCTTGAGCGGCTCGACGTTCCAGATCTCTTCGGCATATTCATGAATGCATCGATCCGAGCTGAAGAAACCCATGCCGGCGACGCTGGTGATGGACTTGGTAATCCATCCCTCTTGGTCACGGTAAGCCTTGTCGACTTCAGCATGCGCCTCGATGTAGCTCGAGAAGTCATCCGAAACAAGATAGTAGTCACCGTGCTCGCGCACCGCCGAGATCATTCCGGCAAAGTCTTGAGGGTTGCCGAAAGTTCCCTTTTCAATTTCCTCGAAGACGCGGACGAGCTTGGGGTCAAGAGGATTGCTCTTGCCATAGCGGTGGTCATGCCGGAGGGCTTCCACGTCCTCGGCTAGGTTGCCAAACAGGAAGATGTTGGGCTCGCCAATCTCACGGGTTATTTCGATCTGGCGGTCGGATTAGTAAAAGTTCAAGAATACAGAGTGAGAAGGGTGTCGAGGAAAGACATACGTTGGCACCATCGCAGGTTCCAATAATCAAACCACCGTTAAGCACGAACTTCATGTTGCTAGTACCGGAGGCTCTGTATCAAACCAGTCAATACTCATCAATCCTTCCTCGACTTGTGATTAGGCGGCCACTTACTCAGTACCGGCGGTAGAGATGTGTTCGCTGAGGTCAGAGGCTGGAATGATGATTTCGGCCTTGCTGACGTTGTAATCCTCCAAGAACACCACCTTCAGGAGGTCACCAATGTCCTTATCGTTGTTAACCACCGAACCAACGCTGTTGATCAAGTGAATGATTTGCTTAGCCATCCAGTAGCCAGGGGCGGCCTTGCCGCCGAAAATGGAGACGCGCGGGAGCTGCTTCTGGCGCTCCTCGGGGGACAAATCTTTGAGCGTCAGATAACGATGAATGGCACCAAAGATATTCATCTGTTGGCGTTTGTACTCGTGGATGCGCTTGACTTGGACATCGAACAACGAGGCCGGGTTGACGGTCACGCCGGTGCTCGCCTTGATATGCTTGGCCAGGCGTACCTTATTGGCGTACTTGATCTCGGCCCATTCCTTGCGGAATTCCTTGTCTTCAACGTAGTGCTCGAGCTGGTTGAGCTTCTTGAGGTCCTTCAGAAAATCGTGGCCACCCGTCTTGCTGGCAATGAGCTCTGACAGGCGTGGGTTGGCCTGGTGGAGCCAGCGGCGCGGTGTGATGCCGTTGGTGACGTTGGTGAACTTGTCCGGGCCAAAGATGCGGACAAAGTCCTTGAAGATGGTGGTCTTGATGAGGTCGGAGTGCAGCTCTGCGACGCCATTCACCTTGTGGGAGCCGACAATGGCAAGGTACGCCATACGGACCATCTTGGGCTGAGACTCTTCGATGATTGAGACTTCACGTAAAAGCTCGTGCTCGTCAGGGAACTCCCGCTCAACCTTCTGCAGAAAGTAGAGGTTGATGTCGTAAATGATCTGGAGGTGGCGCGGGAGAAGGTGTTGAATCAGCGGAACAGACCACTTCTCAAGGGCCTCCGGGAGCACAGTGTGGTTAGTATAGCCAAAGGTGTTGACAACGATGTCCCAAGCCTCGTTCCACTCCAGTCCCTCGAGATCAATCAGGATGCGTTGAAGTTCGACGATAGCCAGGGTAGGGTGGGTGTCGTTCAACTGAATAGCCACCTGCTGGGGGAATTCCTTCCAGGAACGTTTCGTCTTCTTGAAGCGGCGGACGATGTCGTACAGAGAGGCTGCAACCCAGAAGTACTGCTGCTTCAAGCGCAGCTCTTTCCCGCGGTCCAGGTTGTCGTTGGGGTAGAGCACCGCACTGATGGTCTCGGCGCGCTGTTGGTCCGCGACGGAACTCTCGTAGTCCCCGCTGTTGAATTTTTGGAAGTCAAATTCACCACTGGCCGCCTTGCTCGACCACAACCTCAGGTTGTTGGTGGTCGGCGTGTCGTAACCAGGGATGGGCACATCATAGGCAACGGCCTTGACAGTCTCGCCAGCATCCCAATGGAAGACGGGTTTGCCCGCCTCGTCCGTCTTCTTCTGGACACTGCCATAAAATTGAATCTACGCTATTAGCACAGAACCTGCTGTGGAACGAATGCCTGGGGGGGAACACTCACATCCACGGTCACATCGTGCCGGGGGAACTCCCAAGGGTTAAAGTCAAGCCAGTAATCCGGCACCTCGACCTGGTACCCGTCGATGATCTCCTGCTTGAAGATACCGTAACGGTACCGTAAGCCGTAACCCCAGGCCGGGAAGTTTAAGCTGGCTAAGCTGTCGAGGAAGCAGGCTGCCAGACGTCCCAGACCGCCATTGCCCAGAGCGGCATCGTGTTCTTGTTGAATTACATCCTCAATACGGAATCCGAGGTCGGCGAGACCGTCTGCCGGCGTCGTGTTAACAACACATCCATGATACCCCTGCCCTGTTATGCCAGGGGCCACGAGAACCAAGACTTACCCCTCGCCAAGTCCTTTTGCTTCACGTTGAGCATTGCATTATCCAAGGCTCGGCCCATCAGAAACTCCAGACTGAGATAGTACACGCGTTTGCTGTCGGTAAAGGTCTGGCGTTGCTGGGTCCGGTTCCACTCGAGGATCAGGCGATCGCGGAACGCAAGAGCCGTGGCCGAGTACGCGGCGACTTCATCGCAGTTGTACAGGCTACGCGCCAGCGTCGTCTCAACATGGCGGACCACCTCGTGCTCGAATCCTTCCTTATCCTTGAAAGCGCTGGCTTGGTTCTTGAGCCAGGCCTCGCGCTGGGGCTCAGGGATGGAAGCTAGAAAGGAGGTTATTGTCAGCCAGCTATTTTAACGCTCGCCGTCATTGTTCTCGACCCTGATGGGTCTTTTTTTTAGTGGCCTCATAGACCCACAATAGAGAGCCCTGAGGGGGAGCTCCAGGGAGTTGGTGCGGGGGAGGGGTGCTGAGCTTTTGCCCCAGCTGCAACGGAGATCCGTCACGTCCCACTTCCAGGTTCCAAGGGGAGGTGACGAAGATGAAGCAAGCGCCCAGAGTGGTGAGGATATCACGCCCGTACCTTCAACATGCTTGATCTCACCAGGACCAAAACCGGTCAACGTGCGCTTGTGTTTAGGCCTCGAGATACCTGCGGGGCTGACGGAGCCCTGGATGTCGACGATTGGGACTCCCACGGAAGGCCGTCGTTCTCTTACAGGGATCTTCTCGGACGACGACATGATGATTTGGTGAAAGATTGGCTCGGGGACGGACGGACGGACGGGTTGAGAGGGTGATCAACACAACAACAGAGGATGAAGAAAGGAGAGGCAAACGGAGACCCTCTTCTTTGTTGCTTAACGGGCGGGCCCTAGGATGTACTTGTAGGGTTCAGAGGACCTGAGGGGGAGGGGGGGCCAGCAGAGGATACGGGCCGCACGACTTCGGTCGAGGGCTTGCCTGTGCCTGCGCTGTGACGCAACTGCCTTCTCGAGGTAGGTGTGGTTGGAGCCGATGCTCGCCTGTCACCTGTCGCTCCTTCTGAGAGAGGAGGAAAGGAATTGCTCAAAGCCGGGGTGGGATGCTCGTGTTGGGTACACTCGAGTCGAGACCATTCCATGGTATTGAGCCGCGTCTCCACTCCAAGGACCCCTCCAAAACCGCATTGGAATCTCTTGTTCTTAAAAAGCTACCTAGCTGAGAGTCGAAGTCTGGTTTCTTCCTGCCTCGCTATTTCCTCCATGTTTACGCATTCTCTCTTTTTTCTCGACGCAATTCGAGTTCCATCGGACTAACGACGAAGGGGAACGGTTGTTGACGGAGAACCACCGTGTGAATCCTCGTCGACTTGGCCGTCCTACGCCGCTACCGGTGAGCATCTGTTGGAGGCGGGGTTAATTCTTACCCCCACCACACCTCATCCAGGTACCACACGCCACAAGCGTGAGATGATACCCCAACTTCGTCGCTCCTATGCATGATGACGGAGTTACACATGCAAACGACCCCTCTCTGGGCTCCCGAGACCCTGATCAAGCTCGTCAAGTTGCCGCGGAGACGAAACGACACCACAAAAGACGCAAACCACTTGCTTCCGGACCACCACCATCTTCGGCGCCCGGCATATGTCGTGATTGACTGCGCGTGTCCGCATATTCAATTCCGGGGGTATTTACCGGGGTTGGTTCCAAGTTTTGCGTGCTGTTTTTCAGCGGCATTGTCAGCAAACGAATGTAATTATCCAATCTCACCAGCTTTGAGAAGTTGGAGGTGGATGGACAGATGGAACTTCTTGGACGTCCCTCATCCGAGCCTAGATGCAGCAACAGTAAGTCCCCCGCCGCTGCCCTGGTCATAGCAACATGGTAGCCAACACACTTGCACACCTTTTTCACCAGTGTATGTAGAATCCCTGGGGGCGGCGCAACAGGAACACCGTGTCTCTATGTCGAACTTCCTGCCTCCGCCGTTTCTCGGTGGCGGAGTCGTATGAGAAGCACGGATTGGAGTCCAGTGGAGCGGCGCCGAACAACGAGGGATCCAAAAAGGTTGAGCGAGACTTCGAGATGGTTTCTGAGAAAGGCCTCGCCTCTATAAACCCCTCTCTGAAAGGGGGGCGGGGCTTGCCATCCCCGTGAGCCACCAGCTGAGCCGCTGAGAACGTGCAAACCTTGAGAAATGGAGGCGGCCAAGATACTCCACAACGGGTTTGATTTATAACTGGCCGGGTCTCGTTGAGAAGGCGCCAAAAACACCAGGTAAATTTCCAAACTAGATGTCGCTGGTCACTTTTCGAAGTGGACGTGGAGCTGGGCTCGTTGAGTCGAGAAAGAGGATGCCGCAGCGTATATCGCCCGGACCCTCTAGCGTATCCATGTGCGCCCGCCTGCCACGGTAAGTGGAGGAATCCGGGACCGCTAATCGCCGGGCGGCTCGGTACTCCTCCATAAACGCGGGTCGCATTGTCGTCAGTTTCGTTTCAAATAGCCTCATATTTTTGAGGGTTTAAAACCTCAAGTCGGTTCCTAAGTTTTTCAGCGAGTCAAGGCCTCATCCGAAAGGCCAACTCAAGACCCCCAGAGAAAATATAAGCCAGAGAAAAAAAACAGTACCTATTCCACTCAGCCGCCAGGATCTCGGAGCGCCCACCATGACGAGTGCAACCCCGCCATCGGACAACAACGATCACCTCGTCCAGTCCAGCAACCCAGACCACCCTGCCAACCTCATCCCGTCGCTATGCGCCAAATTCTGGACACTTGGCTGGGTGACTGGCACTGGAGGCGGAGCGTCAATCCGCGAAGAGTATGTTGAATAATATTTCCACAACTTGCTTCAAAGATATCACAATTCCACCCCGCAGTCACCGACAGTCCAACATCGCGGGGTAGCTTCTCTCGCACTTCGCTAACCATACACCCCCTAACGCTAGTGATCTCGTCTACATCGCGCCGTCAGGAGTCCAAAAGGAGTTGATGAAGCCGTCCGACATCTACGTCCTCTCGCTCGCCGCGCAAGCCCAATCCCTCGACCGCCGCAACCGGGTCTACCTGCGCAGCCCGCCCAGCTACAAGCCAAGCCAGTGCACGCCGCTCTTCCTGGCCGCCTTCACCAAGCGGCGCGCCGGTTGCTGCATCCACACGCACTCGCACTGGGCCGTGCTGGTGACGCTTCTCCTCGAGACACAGACGCCAGCGCAGGCAGAGGCCGTGGGCAGCCAAAACCCCGGTCGTGAGTTCCGCATCAACAACATCGAGCAGATTAAGGGGTTCGGGAAAGGGTTTGAGAAGAGCGGGAACCTGGGCTACCACGATACGCTGGTCATCCCGGTGATTGAGAACACGGCTCATGAGGAGGATCTGACCGAGTTTTTGGAGGCGGCCATGGACAAGTACCCGGATACCTATGCGGTGCTGGTCCGGCGACATGGCGTGTATGTCTGGGGGGACAATGTGCACAAGGCGAAGACCATGTGCGAAAGGTGAGTTTTCTTTTTTCGAAACGGGCGCGCGAGCCGCAGCAAACGAACCCAAGAAAAGTAAAGGCAAACGGAATGAGCTAACACCGGGTAGTCTCGATTATCTCTTCCAATTGGCCGTCGAGATGAAACAGCTCAATCTGCCCTGGATCACCGACATAGAGCCAGTGGTACCGACGAGGTCGTGAAGGGACGAGGAAATGTTAGAAGGGAAAATTAGCGAGGAAAAACACCATAAAAGTTCGTCACGATGTAAGCCGGTAGCCGCATTGACGATAATCCATCAATTATTTTGATTCAAGACTGCCTAACCGCACTGATATCACCCAAGCGCCTAATACCAGAGTAGGCATTACAACTTAATTCCTATTACACAATCCCACCCCAAAGTCCGTACCTCATCATACCCAAAGACATCAACCATCCATCATACGCATGTACAAGACTTCAACAAGCTCTCCACTTTGCTCACCCCCTTTACAGAGCGAGGACAGCGGCGATGAAGCCGAAGACACCAGCAACACCCGAGGAGACACCCACGAGCGAAGCGGCACCAGTCGAGGACGCAGCCGCGTTGCCAGTGGTCTGCGAAGCGCCGTTGCCGCTGGTGCCGGTGGGACCGTTGCCGTTGCCAGCGCTGCCAGTGCTGTCGCTGTTACCCGAGCCAGAGCCCGAACCAGAGCCAGCGCCACCGGTGCTGGAAGCGTCACCAGAGCCCGAGCTAGAACCCGAGCCGGAGCCGGAGCCGGAGCCGGCGGTGCTGGTGGCCTGCGGGGGAGCACCGGCCGAGCCGGTGAAGTAGTGTTGGCCGATGCAGTCCTGGACGCACTGGGAGTACTTGTTGTTGTCGGCCTCGGTGCCCTTGCCCTTGGGGCAGTTGGCAACACACTTGGTGGTGTCGTTGACCTAGGGGGTTGAACGAGTTAGCTCTCTCCACTGCTAGATCTCCGTTTGACTCCCTTGAAAAGAAGGCAACGTACCTGGCTATCGTCAGGGGAAGGCACAGCAATGCACTTGGCCTGGCAGTTGACGTCGCCGGCCTTGCAGGCCTTCAGGCAGCGGAGGATGGCCTCCTGCACGGCGCTCTGCGAGGCCTGGACAGCATCGTAGGTGGTAGTAGCAGCGACCGAGGTAGCGGGGGTCGCGGCATTGGCGAAGAGGGCAAGCCCAGCGGTCAGGACGATCGAGGTGAAACGCATGTTGGTGGTAGTTATTAGTTTTGATTTATTAAGTTGGTGTATTGGTTGCTGGAAAAGCACAAAGCTGACGACGCTTCAACGAGTGTAGTTTGTTGGAACACGATGATATGAGAAAGAAAGCAAGAGAGACGATGAGAATTTGCCTGGGAGCGTGTCAAAACAGGAAGGAAAGGAAGAGGAAACCACCAATTCCTCGCGGCGGCTCGGGCTGGCCATTCTTTTAATCAACTTGCTCGTCGAGGGTGTCCCGTCCTCTGTTGTCCCGGCCCTGGCCCGGCTTTCCCGTCCTGCAGCCAGGCCCGCTTCGGCCACAATCCAGGAGCTAGGGAGATGCTGGACCAGTGAGAAGGCAGGGACTGCCCACCTTGCATTCCCATCCTTGGGGACCGTTGCCTTGCTTCCCCAAGTCCAGGTACCATCCTGCCATCATCCAAACTGTGCCGTACTGTCTCCACACTCCTGAACACGAAAGAGGGCAACCTTCGGTACCATGAACATGGAGGCGATGGAGGAACGTCACGAATACACCCGAGTAAGGAGGAGGCAAAGACTCCCTCTTCCAAGTCTTGCTTCTCCTCCTTGAATTCAGAGAGTAACACCAAAATGCGACCTCTCAACGAAGTTGGCGAGCCAAGCCAAGCTTTGCCGATACCAAACCGCCGCGCGCAGAATTAAAATTACAATGGCGCCCTGAGATGGCCAGTCGCGCGGGAAGTTTCTTTACATCCCCGATCTGGCCACCCGATCCGATTCTGGGCACCAATCAGGTCCTCTGACACGCCTGGGCCGACAGGCGCGTGTTTTGGGACAAATTTCGTGGTGAGAACGTCCGTTGATCAGCTCCTCACAGAAAGGGATGAAAAAAGAGGGAAAACCGCCATCCGAACCCCTGGTAACTCCATGCAAGGTTAGGAGGGTTTTCCCCGGGAAAAAAAACGATGTCACCGATTGCAGGGCTTTTGGTGCTGGCACAGCTAGGCAGCGCCACGAGCAAATCCATCGTGACACGGATGCTCGGCACCGGGCTGGCGTTGGGCGGATGTGAGTCGAGAGCTTCACCAACACAAATGTTTGGAGCCAGGATCCGCCAATAGCGCTCGAATCATCACATCACGAAAGACCTGACTGTTTTGTTAGGTGACGCTAAATACGTAAGACAACTTCGCACGGCGAGCCCGTGACGGCGAGACCCCGTCAACCGGCAACCTTGACGCCGACGACGATCCTCGAAGCCGAAGGCTTCCCTGGCGCGCCCGGACGGGCGCTTGGTCGCCTTGGAGACAGGCTGCAGCAAGGCGAGAACCAGGGCAGAAGGCTTTGCCGCTCTGGCCGGTGCGGAGAAGGGAACTTCGTTCGTGCCACGCCGAAACATGGTCCTCTGGCCCGTGCCGAGAGGGCGCTAAAAACACCACTGAGCAAGGGTCAAAAGCTGGCGGGTGGGCGAATGTTTTGTTTTGGCACGGTGGTCTGTTTCAGTTGACGTTGGTGTCTTTTTCCCTTTCGACTTTGTGGGGCAGGCAAATTGCTTGGACGTTTTGTCTCTTTGCCCTGGCGTTTGGTGCAGAGACCTCGAGTTCGAGGCAATTGTCAACAAACTCGTACAGACAAAAACTTTGAGTTTGGATGAGAAGCTTTTCCCCAATGATATTGGAGAATGGTCCAGGCCGGCTGCACTCCACCCGTTGATACGAGGTGTTCTCCAACACCGGCTTGTGTTTGTGATTGAACTCCAAACGTCTTGGACAGCTCATTTGGCCAATCAAGGTGGGGTTATCCTCCTGCGCAACGTGGTTATTGACAGGTCTTGGACACTGTATACCTTTGTGGGGAAGACCTTGAAATAAAGACACAGGGATGGTAGGCGGACGACCGCATGAATTATTTTTGTTTCTCTTGCCCGGGGCTCTTCTACTACTCGCGCATTGAGCATTTGGAGATTTTAAGATTAGACGCCTACTGGCGGTAACTTGGTCGCAAAGCGACACCCATCGTCTTCAATTGTCCATGCCCTCCCTTCTCTCTACTACTAGACATGCTGTGCCCCGAGAGGAAGAGAAGGTTCACTGGCTGACAAGTTCATACTCTGAGAAGCTCAGCCAACACAAAGACAACGGGCTCGTGTTTACGGTCATGGGTGGACCACCCCGAGAATATGTGCCTTCGACCCACACTAGCAAGGCCTTTCTTTTCTAAAAGAAAAAAAAAAAAGGTCGCACAAGCCGAATCGATGTTAGCCTCGCAATGACCGCTCCCGTTACGTCTACCCTGTGCCTCCGACTTGATCACCAGGCAGGTGGGAGAACCGTTCGCCCCCCCGCCCAACACTTTTCTCTTGCTTAGTGAGAGTCGTTGGCCTGGCGTTGGGTCGGTATACGACTCGCACGCTCGTTATACGTAACTTTCCAAGCTGGCGGGAATAATGGGTGGTTAACAGAACATGCTCTGCGCGTGTCTAGCATGGCGTGAGCCGTTCCCCCCTTCGTTGTCTCGTCTCACGACTTCCGGGTGTGATCGGGTTACCCTCGATCCGGCGAATCGGAAATTCTACCCCATGTTCCCGGTTGTTTGAAACTCTCTAGACCTTGCGGTAAGCTTGTCCGCGACGGGTTCGAGCCGTGTCTTAGAGTGTGTGGTATGTGGTAAGAGCAAGACTTGAGAGTTGTAAAGTTGTAAATCAAGTCATTGCCTCTGAGCTCACACCAGCTCCGCGCTCCCCGCTTCCACTAATGACTTCGCATCAGCCCACCGCAGAATCACAATATCCCCCTCCTGCATCTCGGCCGCCTCGTCTGTGTCGACGCCGCGGCCTTCGACGGGCGTGTCCTTGAGCGCGCGGATGAACACGGCGGACTCGAGATCCGGCGTCTCAATCATACTAATCCCGCCCGCGGCATCGTTCAGATTCTGCAGGCCGGCAGGGAACGACGACAAGAAGGATGAGAGGTAGTGGTTGTGCAGTAGGGCCTGGTGACGGGTGGCGTAGGCCAGCTCCATCTCGGACAGACGGGCGCGCAAGGCGTCTGTCGACAAGTAGTGCAGGGCGTGGCGGTCGAGCTTGGCTAGGCGGGCGCGCAGGTAGCTGCGTACGAGGTAGCGGTAGCGCTCGAGCTCGGTTTGGATGACGATGAGGGCGAAATTGGTCTTGGGGTCCATATCGCCCGTCATCTCCTCGACCTTTTCGATTTGCTGTTTGATGTTGCCATTGATGCGTTCGAAGAGGCCATTGGACGGCCAGCTAGAGAGAAGGAGTTAATAAGGGCAGCTTGGCATGTGGAAGAATATTATGGTGGGTTAAGGTAGGCGGTGCAGCTTGAAATGTGAAAGTAAAACGGAAGGAAACAGCATACGGTAAAAGCTCTGGCGCCGATCGCTCGGCAATCCAGGCACGCGTGAGCGCCTGGAGGTCGCGTTTCTCCTGCGGAATGGCATGGAAAGTTGGGTCGACATCCCGGAGAATGTCGTCAATGTCCATGGCGGGAGTCGGACGAGAACACGGGGAGGTGCGGGCCGAACAGATAAGTGGCTCGAGTGAGAAAAACCCGTGTCTGTCCACCTTCAACGGCAAACCTTGAAAAGTGAAGATGCAAATGCCATCGTCTGATTCGCGGTTTCCCAGAGCTCAGTGGTCGCGCCTGACGCGGGGCTGCTGTGGTGGGGTTCCTGGCGGGGCGCTGTTCACCCCCCACAAAGAGTGGGCCCAGCCCTGTCAGCGCCAAAATATCTGGCCAGAGTTCCCATCTCTGAGACCTCATCCGTCCATAGGGCAGTCTCGAGGCAGTGTCTGTCGGGTTCTTTTGTCTGGCCCTGAGCGCTTGAAAGGCACCATTTCCCATTACGTATGCGGCCTTTTTCTGGCCTGCTTCTTCCAATCCATGATAGCGTCCATTCCTTAGTCTCGTTTCGTGCATTACGATCGGACGACCTCGTTTACGGCTACCAATCCGAGGCCGAGGACGATGAGTAGGCAGCTGAACTGCGAGGTGAAAGAGGTGACGCGATCCCGTCAACAACCCGACAGCCCGGCAGCCCGACGCAGCGGGTAACACCCAGCTGTCCCAGCGATGAAGCACCCCCAATGGGTTACGTTAGTTCCCCCTTGAGCGGCGGATGGTTGGGTTCACAGCAGCTTTCAACCAGGTTCCAGGTTCCGAGAGCGTGCATAAAATGTCTTACCCCGAGAACCAGACGAGCGGCGGACGATGGGGAACAGCCGCGTCCGGACACGGCGACCCTTGCCTCACTCGAACCTCAACACCTCGTTATTGGACGCAGCCGCGCTGCGGTGCCCGCCATCAGTTGCCCGTTGTTGTTGCGCAGCTGAGAGAGTCGGTGTAATCGCCCTGTATCCGTAGGCTGTGTTGGCCTGCACGCCGCCACATGTCTTGGGACCGTGATTTGTTGTCTGGCGCGGTGAGTAAAGGCGGGTAAGCGAGCGGGCAAGCGACCGAGCGATGAAGCGTTCTGTACCAGCACACAAGTCGCACTGGAGGAACGGATTCTCGAACCCCGGATAGAATCTGGCGGTGGGCTGCTCGATCCGATCGATACTGCCTCACCTTCCTCCATTCCCCTAAGCCACCCTCCTTTCTTCCCTATAGCACTATGACCCGGCATCGCCATGAATCTCGCCCGGGCCCGACTGGCTGCCCTTCTCACGGTTGCGCTAACTGTTACTGTTGCCGCCCGTCTACCCTCCTTCTTGTCAAGACCGGAACCTGAATCCGAGACAAACTCCCCTCCTGGTTTAGATGGCGCAGACGCCCGGTATCACAAACTCTGGTTGGATCCTCTTCCCGGCACCAAGCCGCTTTCTGGGCCTCTTCAGGATCACACTTTAGATTTGGTAGGTAAGAGGGATTGTCTCGCCAACGGCTCCAACTACTGCTTTGGAAATACCGTCGACTTTTGCAATGGCTGTGGGAATTGCTGCCTGGAGGGACGGTTCTGTTGTGGGAGCGGGGAGCAATGCTGCGGGTCGGGCTGCTGCTCGGAAGGCGAAGTGTGCTCGGAAGGAAAATGCCTCGCTTCAGTGTAAGTCTAACCGGGCGTACTGCAGTGTTGAAGTATCTCGAGAGCCATCTGGTTAACAACGCCTAAGGGAGCCCGTGACTGTCACCTCTACCGTCGTTGAGACGGAGACGAGGACGGCAACACAGCGAGCCACTGTGGTGGTTGTGGAGATTGAGGTGTCGACCGTTGTCTCTACGAGCGAGGTCGTCATCTCCACAGCAGCGACACAGACGGACATCGTCTGGGAGACGATAACAACAGAAGTTGCCAAGAGAGATGTTGCCCCTACGGATACACCATCACCAGAAGGTCGTCGAGCGGCACTGTCCTCTTCGCGGGGACCCGGGGCGCCTGTTAAAAGGGGACCTTCCGCTCCTATGACTGCTACCACTGGGCTCTCTCGCTTGCCGAAACAAGCAAGGCAGGAGGCTCCGACTGTTACGGAATATGTCACCGAGACTGTAGAAACGACGAACGTGTCTACTGTGCTGGTAACCGTTTTTAGGACCTCTACTTCGGTGACCACTTTCGTACAAGTCGAAACCCGGTGCGTTCTGAAATCCTAGGTTTACTGACCCTCGGGCATGTCCATCGTGAGTAGTTGTACTAACAACACTGTGGTAGCGTTCTCGAAGCCGAGGTCACAACAACCATCACATCCACCATTACCTTCACCACGCGACCTCCATCTACCGTTACCATCACCTCCACAGCCGACATCGTCCCCCAACCAACCGCCTCTGAAACAGACTCCTCCGAAACCCCTCCGTCCTCCGGCCAGCAAACCCCGCTCTCCACCCCCGCCATAGCCGGTATAGCCGCTGGTGGTAGCGTTCTCGCTATCTTCTTAGCAGGCTTCATAATCCTCTCTGTCCGACGTCGATGCTGTCTCCATCGCAGCAAAGAGTCCACCGCAGGCTCGGTGACGCTCGACAACTTTTACTACAACAGCCATCACAACAGCAGCAGCAACAACGACAGCTATGGTCAGTCACATTACCACCAACAACATCGGCTGGACGAAAATGAAACGCTGTATGGCGTAGCTGGGACTAGACCAGGGACTAGAAGCCGTAGCAGCACCAACACTGCCGTCGCTGGGCCAGCGGGAGTGAGGACCAGTTTTGGGAACGGGCGAAGGAGCCGTGATGAGAGCGGGATGGGTAAAACCCCGCCGGGCATGGGCATGATGATAAGGCAACCGACCTTACCGCAAATCTCGCCACCGTTACCGCAGTTTTCGATGGAGTCCTCGGCTGCGGCGCATCATGCTGAGGAGTACAAACTGCCTGTTTCTATATCGGGCGTTGATGGTGCCAATAATACTGCGGCACAACACGGAGACCAAGCCGGGGATATTGCTAGCAGCAGTGGTAGAGCGACCGAGGATATGCGGAACCCGGGAGGCGGTGGTAGTGATGGTATCAGTGATGGTTACTTGACCGTTGGGTATGGGCATGGACAGGGACAGGGACAAGGCCGTCCACATCATCACGACAGAAACGAATCCGGCTATACTACCCTCGTAGGCACGCCCTTGCACGAATCACCCGCAACCTCACCCGCTACCGTTGTTATCACTGAGGACACGACCGCACCACAACACCAAAGGCGCGTGGAGTTTGTCGGAGCCCAAGGCGATTCCCCAGATGCCCGCCATGGCACACACAACACTCGCCTCCAACGTGAAAGCGGCCGCAGCAGCGGCTTTGTCAGCCCATTGACAAGCCCTCCTGGGAGTCCCTTCCGAAGCCCACCAGACGACGACGGCCTCCACAGCACTCCCTATATCGTCAGTCCATTTACGAGCCCTCACCCCTCGCCCCTCAGCAGCCCTGGCTTAGCACCGCTGGGCCAGGTAGCGCAGGCCGCGCAGGCGGGGCAAAGGCCGACCTACCAAATGAGACGAAGCATGTCACCAACCTTTCGGCCCCCGGTGTCCGTCGGTGACGAAAGCTTACAACAACAGCATCGTCAACGAGCATATTCCACCCCTCCCTCTTCTCTTGGTTACCCAGCAGCTCCTGTGATACCTACCATCACCAAGTTCCATGGGGATGCGGACCCGACCACAGGTGCGACTTCTGGCCCTTATCCAAACCCGGATGCGAGTCTGGGGGGAAAGTCTCAAAGACCCGCGGCTGTGAGGTATTCCCGTGACCGGGCCGCGACTGTGACCGTTGCGATGGGCGAGTTGGAAGGAGATGCGATTGCTCGAGCTGAGTTAGCTGGGACCGGACCTGGGTAGTCATTGACGGGGCGGGTAAGATAAACTGGCGTCAGATAGATGGATCTCTGGGTTTTTATTCATGGCATTTTCGTTCAATTTCTTTTGCATTTCCCCCTCTAGCATTTCCCCTCGTTTTTCCCTTTTCGGCGATTCTTTCATATTTTCACCGGTCGACTCGCTGCTTCATCTTGAGATACCACGGGAAAACTTTCGTTTAGGGTAGAAGGGCTACCAGACTTAGAATGAAGGTCGCTCGTGAAGCCCCCTTTGGAGGGTTAAAATGACCAAGGGAGGCGGAGTCGCAATGTTCGTTGCTGTATGGCCAGGTCGAGGAAAACACAACGCTGAGGTGGGGTTTCCGAACACGGCCGTCTTCGACGGAGAACTCGGTTTATGAGGAAGATGGAGGAGATCACACATTACGTTGATATCCCAGGACGCCCACCTCACATCTCACATACGTTCGCTTAGGAAGCAAGACTCATGGGCAAGGGGTTCAAAAGCCCCGGGAAAGAATGGCTGATGATATGAGGCGCTTCTTGCCATACATTGATTGCAGGATAGCATAGCATTGGATAGCATAGATGGACCAAAAAATGATACCCCTCGCCCACCACAGACACCGCTTTCTTGGGTACCCCTGCCCCCATGCAGCCCCAAGTCAAAGCGCCAAGTTGTCCAGCCCCAAACATGAAGAAAGAAGCTAAAATGCTATTCAAACTACCTTCGCTTCTCCCAAAACCGCAACATCCTCAATACACTCAACGTGATATGATGCTTGAAAGAAACCACAAATCGATAGATATCATTGCCGACCAGCCCAGCAAAGTTCGGTTCATTACAATGTACAGTAGCTTTCCCTTCTCGCTTCACACATGACATGATTCCTTTCGCTCGCTCGCTAACATTCATCATTGCGTACCTCAACCATAAACCGATCATTTCCTGGCAGCGGCAGTTCATGTTCACACACATACATAGATAAACAGATCAACCAACCATATACCACAGTGGGGTTTTCCTCGGCTACCGCTCATATGCCGGCAGCGGTTCCTCCGGCGCTGTAGCGTTTACCGGTACTGCAGACGACGATGCCTCAGCGGGCGGCGTCCCATAGGTGTAATGCGGCCCATACGCATCCTCATCCTCAAGGACGGGAGCGGACGGTGGCAAGTCGTGGCCACCAGGTGGCGCGCTGGGGTTCAGTGGTGGGGCCGAGGGTCCTGTACTGCCACTGGTCCCGTGGCTGTAATCATCTGGGAACTCTGGTGGCGCGCTGGCTTCGGCGAGGAGCCGGCGTCGTTCGAGTTCTTGCTTGTCCTCTACTGCACTCGGCCCGACATTTGAGGAGAGGTCTTCGAGGGTGGGGGCTGAGGGAGCGCCTAATACGCCTTGTTGTGCCGAGACCTGCGGTGGGCTGGTGCTGTGTGAAAGACCGGGAGTTGGGGTGGGTATTTGGTCGTCGGCATCGTAAATGTTTTCGTCGGGGGGGGTGTGTGGTTGAGAAGGGCCCGCAATATCCACTTCTGGCGGCTGGCTAGGAAGAAGTCGTTGTTCGGCCTGCCGGATGCGCTCTTTCTCGGTAAGGTTGCCTTCATCGGGGACTTGTGGGGGCGGCACGTAATGTGGTGCGGGGGGAACATCTGGAGGAGAAGCACCCCAATAGGGATAAGGCTGTTGCGGCTGGGTATGCGGTGACCCTGTGTAGTCTTGTGGAACATAGGGTTCCGAGGGTTGGCCAGTGGCCGCGTGGTCTGGGGTAGCGGGCCATGGTTGCTTTTCGGCAGCTCGAGGGCTTTCGTATGTTTCCGGTTCTTGAATGACCACCGTTTGAGAGGAGGGATGCGGCTTCGCGGATGCTTTAGCGCGTAGCCGGCTGCTATCAATTGTGCCCACGACAATCTCGAAGTAGAGGGGGACGACCCCCTTCTGGCGACGGAGCGTGTCTGTGTCGATGATGTTTGTGCCCCAGGAAGATACGGTTCCGGGAGTACCTTCATGTGCGCTGCCGGATACACCCAGGGCGGAGCTGGACGGTTTTATGGCATGCAGTTGACTTGACAACTTGCCCCCCAAGTCGACAATCACTTCAATCCGATACCCGAACGATATCATATCATATGGTGCACCTTGGATCGTGGGGAACACATCCTCAGGGACCCTCACCGAGGCAGTCAGATTGGCCGTTAGTGTGTCTGGGTCAATAATGAGGGGAGCAAAGGTCTGGGAGAGATCCTTTCGGAACACGCTGCAGGGCCCTGCCGACGTCAAAGACAAGCCCCCCAGTCCCGTCTTTGATCTGGGGAAATATTCCTCTTTTTCAAGTCGCCGCGCTTCGCTTTCGGAAGCCCCTTTGAATAACGCCGGAGGGGACGAGTCGATGCGCCCCATCCTGTACAGGGTGACAACAATACCGTGCATGCTCTTAATGCATCTATTGTGCTGCACCGATACCTTGATGGGGACGGTGTCGCCCCTGAGACAACCCCGTTTCGGTAGCTCGACGGTCGCTGTGATGGTTCGGTCCTTTGCGGCGGGCGGTTGTTTCCCGGCAAACGAAACTACCGCCCCAGTCACATGGTTTGGATCGCCAGCTTTGCTCTGGCTCGTGCTTCCGCTCGCAGCGCTCCCGCTACTGACGCTCCGGACCTCGCTCTGTGGACGGGGAGGGTTGTTACCAGCCGGGTCTTGCTCCTGTTCTTGCTCCTCGCCGATAACAGACAAAGAGCCGTCTGTGGAATTCTCGTTGACCCGAGCAGGCTCAGGCTCAGGTTCAGAAGGTGATGGGATTGTCTCAACCACGGCTGGGCTTTTCCCCGCACTGCTAACACCCTGTTTCTTCTTCTTCGGTCGCTTCGCGACGGGGTCTAGGGAGATGATACGCGGTCGCGGTGGGGCCAGAGTCCCAATGTCGAGCATCTCGCTGAACTGAACTTTACGTTCGCAGCTTATTTTCAGTGGTACTTTCGTGCCCATGGATGCCGGGCGCGTTAGAGTTGCTGTGATCATGTACGATATCGTCCCCCGTTCAAACTGCAAGTGGTAGATGGTATGTTAATAATGATTTGCTGATAAGAAACGAAAAAAAGGTAAATCGCAAAGTCCCCAACATGGCGCGCACATACATCAATACTACTCGGTAACCCGCTGGAAGGGAATAAAAGATTGAAGTTGAACTCGTATTTGCCCGGCTCAAGCCTCCCGTCGCCGCTGAGGGTTTGCTCATCTTGAAACAATCTCAGGCAGCTGTTCCCGAAATGCTTAGAGCGGCCGGAACTAGTAAAAGCCTCTGCGGGATCCACGATGGGTTCGTTTGCTGGGGCGTTCGGGCCCTTGTAGACGCGCATGTAGCCATGGAGCGACACGACTAGGTGGGTGATACGGATAGGTTTGACCACGGTCAGGACCACCGCGCCCTGGACCTGGTCGCCGGCGACATATTTGCGATGGGGCTCGGCCGGGCGGACATGAAAGTCGGCGATATAGCGGGCACGCGACCGGAGAGGGAGGGCGAAACGTGAGAAGAAGGAGGCGCTGCTGTTGCTTGACGATGGGTCGTCCGAGGTAGACGTGGACATAGGGATAGGGTCGGCGGCGCGAGTGTCGGTCGGCTTCTTCGAGAAGCCCATCTATGCTTGCTGCCTGGGCGCGCAAACAGGGCGTGCGATACAGATGCGAGTTGAGCGGGCGAGTTCGGGAGGCTGCGTGGGAAGGGGCTCGGCGGTCGACTGGCGGGTCAGCGCTGAATGAATGTGTGGGTGCGTTCCGGTTCAACGTTGGCTAGATGTACGCGTCGCCGCCCACGACACGACCACACAAAACACGAAAGTCGGCAGCAGAGGCCGGCGGCGGGCTTGCGCACGCACACGAAAGGGTCAGGCTAAGCCGTGACGGCGTCCAACCGGACCGGAAATCACAGAAAACAAAAGTTTAAAAGGCGGATTCGGGGAATGCTAAAGCCAAGAGATCGTGGACAGGACGAAGCTTGGGGGTTGCATATGCCAAGGCTGGACAGGTCTGGGTGCTTGGCTTTTGCCAAGATGGCAAGAGAAATCGTGGGGAGCAGCAGAAAAGGTGGAGGACAAAACGAACCAGGGCGTGATCGGCTGGGCTTGGTTTATCTCAGTCATGCCAGGCCTGAGATCCGGCCAATCCGGGCCTATGCTGCGAAGTGGAGCCTATCCCCGACAAACCCCACTTTCTTCCCGCACAGCCGCAGTGTTGTCGACCCTGATCCACTGTCGTCGACCTTGATCCATCTTGGGCGCATTACTGGAGTCCTGCTCGTCGCCATAGCCCTCCCACTTGCGGCTCGCTCTGCTCGACGGAGTATACAGGTTCAAATACCGGGTCATGTGATAAACCAGCTCAAGGTGGCGCCCGACATCATCCTTACTTTTCGGGAGCTACCTACAATAACGGTACTTGCCGCCCCGCAAGCCCATGCCAAAAGAGGTGTCTTGGTAGGTATCAGAGAGGAAGCCTTGGCCCGAGACCATGCCAACGCCGTCTTTCTGCTCGACCACAGCGGGGACGACGTGAAAAGAGCTGAAGAGCTGCAACCTGCCTAAGATCGACAGACCGACGTCGTCACCGTTCTCGGCACACTGCTGGATAGGGGCGCGCCACTGACACAGTGGCATCACTCGCGTGGTGTCAGGAAGCACCTTCCAGCACCTACCAAGACACTGGTGCTGATCCGGCGTCATGAAGTGTACGTCAACACCTAACCTCGACGCGCGACGGCACCATCGTGATGTGATTATGGGCGGTACAGTTAGCTACTTCGCTGGATTCCCGTAAATGGTCCGCGTCCCCGCCGGCCCCCCCCGGCGCAAGCATAGAGTCTGAGCAGATGAAGGCGGTTCGGACGATGGAATTATCCTCGGATAGATCCGGCGCTGTAACAAGAGCCTGGAATGCCGGAATCTCCATACACTACGGAGTAGTGTAGTGTACGAGAGTAACTCGTGACACATGTGTGTCTGCCAGATTCCCAGGTGGGGTGACAGGTCAACCGCGGAGATAAAGCCTCGAGAAGAACCGGGATGTTTTGTGTTTGGGGTGCCAAGCGCCCGAAAAAAGCTTGATCCGAGGGAGTTGCCGGCTGACTGATCCCCGCCAATGAATCAATGATGCAGCCCCTCGGGGACTTCCAATTCCTGCTTGAAAGGAGCGTTTTGTGAGGCTTTGGCTTGTGACTGAGATGCCCGAATGCCCTGGGAATCTCAGGATGGAGGAGGTATCGGCGCAGTAACTAGTTACCTAGTGTAATGGCTTTCGCAAGTCTCAGCGCAGAGAGGGGCCTGGAGGATTTGGTGTGCATGTGCATGCATTTGGCAACATCTCAGGCACTCTGACATCTCAGTGCTGAACTTGCCAAATTGGGTGCGAATGTCCCGAGGTCCCCTCACGGCCCCTCACGGCCCCTTCTGGGGCACTGCAGCAAACGAACATGGTCACTGAGATAGCTGCTCGTTTGTGACTGGGCAGCGACTTGGGTTGCTCTTCATGGGGCGAGCCGGGCAGAAATTGTCTGAGACATCTCCAATCGGGCTGTTCCAAATTCCATGATCTTTGTAGTTTTGTGTGCGACAAATACACTGCTTCTTAGGTTTTCGGGATGCGCTGGCCCGGGCCGTTTTGGCAGACTCCATTAACAACTGCGTCGGGCAGTCCCTAGGGTTGTGCCTCGCCTTTCGGAATATTCCAGGACATCCATGTCCACACAGTATATATAGACCTGGATGCACCTTCCTCATGTTTTCCAGCCAGAAAAGTAAGGCCGCGCAATATTTTTCCCACGGCAACGAAGGGGCATGTCGCTTAGATGCCCACGAAACCATTGCCACACACAATTTTGTCCGGATTATGGGTGGGAAGGCACAAGACTCGTGCGATGCAAGATCCATGACCATGCTGCAAACGGGTCCGTTTTATCAGAATGGGGAGCGCAGAACCCCTGGACCAGTCCTTTTTCATGCCTTGAGACGCCGAAACAAATCACTCCCCGGAGTCGAACCTTTTTCATGTTTTCCGAGTGAACCAGAATAATCCACTAACGTTAATCACACCAATATTTATCGCCAACCACTACTCCTTAATGACAAGCATTTTTCTTATTTTTTTATTGCAAAAAAAACAACAACATCAAAGCTACCCCTGCATCATGAGGGACATCACTGAGCTGCCCCAGGACCTTTTCCTCCTCGTTGTTCGTTGCCTTCCACCGCAAGACTGTGTGCGCTGCAGCGCCGTCAACCGCCAATGGAATACCGTGTTCACGAGCGAGCCGGTTTCACTGTTGCTCCTGCGATGGAACTTCCCGCGGTGTCGAGAGCTGCGTCTAACGGCTGCAGCATCGAACCCCCCGCCCCCCCCTGGTCTCCCGAAGAATGCGCTGGGCGAACTGGAAGAGATAGCCGCGCAGCCCTGCAACTGGCCCGCAGCCTTCACCAGAGTCGCTCGCCGATACTTCCATTTAAGCAGAGGTCGGCCGTGGGTGATTGAGAAACTGAAACTCGCCCCAAACGGTCGGAAGGGCGACGATGGTCTTTCTTTCAAAGAGGTTGCACCTTGGAATCGATTCCTGCGGCACTCCGGGGCTTCTTACGAGTTTAATTATCCGGACCCGGTGTGGTGGTACAGCCAGGAAGACGGTTTGCTCGTGTACCCGCGCGACCCCCACAACGTCAAAGGTGAATATATTTACGTCGTTTTGGATCTCGCTACCGGCCAGTGGGTCCGTATCCCTTTCTGGGTTCACGACAGGCACGTCCGTCGAGTTCGTCTTGCTCAGGGGGTTCTCATCTTTGAGTGGGCAGAGGAGGTGGCTTATCACCAACTCAACCTGCGAGAAGTCGTGCATCGCCACTTTGTGACAGCTTACGATGTCTTCCGCAAGGCCTCCCAGCACTCCCCACCAGGATGGACTTGGGATGTTGAATTCCGTTCAGAGTGGAAGCTACACTTCCTGGGCTTACCGCTAAACCGCTCCGACCGGTTCATCTCTACTCACACAGCCACCCATTACGCAGCTTACTTTTGGCAACCCAACCGGTCACTCTACAACGACGACCCCATTGAGCAGTTGGCGGTGTGGGATATATCCTCGCCTGATCCTTATCGGCCTTCGGAGGACACAAAGAGTGCCAACCCACAGCCATCTGCGGCCCAAGCGCCGCCATCTTTACCTCCTGGTTTGTGGCAAGGCCAGAACAGCGATCATGAAGCTGCTGGGGCTCCAGCCGCCGTAGGGGCATCACAGACACGCTCACACAATACCGTCATCGCCGGCCCACGCATCGTCCGGCGGATGGCCTGGGAAGAGCTAGACTTCTATGGTTTGCGCCAGTGGGTAACGCCGCGGATTCGGGCTTTGAGTCTAGACAGCCACAACCTGTATGTGGTAGAAGAAGGCCACCGATGGGCGGATGGCCAACACAGCGCGCTGGACCCTCCTCGCGCCCATCTTGTGCGAACCACAGGGATTCCGATGATTCCGACCCCAACCGTCTTTACCGACGGTGACCAGTCAGCCACAGCTCCGACGAGTATCAACGATGGGCCAGTTAACGGGCCCTTTTGGGTTGATTGGTGCGGCGCGCATGGGGATAGTAACATGTGTTATTGTTCACGCGTAGCAGATGCAGATGGTACCGAGACAACGAGCCCATCACGACCCATGTGGCTTGAACCCACCAATACGAGGCCGCTCATCGATGAGACCACAAATCGGCCACCGATATTCTCGCCTTCGGAAGCCACAGGTTGGCCGTGGGCGTTTGTCAAAGACCGCGGTCCCGCCTCCATTATATCGACCGAATCGGCTCGATGGCCCGGATGGGCCCCTTGCTGGCGCCACGACGATTTCCCATATATTACCGTTACAGAGATGGTAGACTTTGCTGCTGGCGTGCGGGTGGCCGCTCGCCAATTCGCCAACGAAAAACACCTCTCGGTACACATCCGATCAGCGGCTGATACTCAACCGGCTGCTGCAACTCCACCAGCCCAAACCTCACCCGAAAGTAAAGCGGCCTGCCTCCCCGATAAGATGTGGCCGAAACTTCTGGCGAAGGGACATATTGCTGGTGATGAGCGGTGGGTAATTGGACAGGACGAAACGAATAAACACCTAAATGTTCTCCGGTTTTGAAGATTCGGTTAGTAGTTATGATAGTCTCTGGAGCTATTCCGAACTCTCAAATGTTTACACTGGTGGTCATTGAGTACCGCGATCTTTAGATGATGTTTACAAAACCAAATACCCTAGCGAATCAAGACACGGTTCATCATGACCTTTCGGTAATACGATACGATACGGCAGCCTTGTCCTACTGCAAGCCCTTTCCTTCATGCAACCTACGGCCCGGCTTCTTTCCTGCAGCCAGCGACGTTTTGGGAGCGGGGTGACCAAACCCCCGCCTTCGTTCGCCTCAAAGCTCAAGGCTCCCAGTTCTCAATGATTTCCCCTTCAGCCCTCGACTCCCATCCTTCCGAATTTCTTGACGGGAATTCAGACACAATTAATCAGCCATGCGGCTCCTAAATATCGACACCTTCAAACTGGAGGAGTTCTTTTATTCGGCCCCACCCACGTACGCCGTCTTGTCTCACACATGGGGTAGTGATGACGAGGAGGTTTCCTATCGTGATGTTCAGAACGGTCGGCTCAACTCGCCGGCGACGCGCCCTGCCAAGATCACAGGCTGTTGCACGGTAGCCAAAGCAGATGGACATCAATACGTCTGGGTCGACACCTGCTGCATTGACAAAACCAACTCGGTCGAGCTTCAGGAGGCCATTAATTCGATGTTCCGCTGGTACCAACAGGCCGCCATCTGCTACGCCTACCTCAGCGATGTTCCACCTGGAAGCGGCCCCCGCGACGCGACATCAAGCTTTTCGTCCAGCCGGTGGTTTCAGCGGGGGTGGACACTGCAGGAACTGGTCGCGCCGTTGAACCTCCGTTTCTACCGCGCTGACTGGACAGTCCTGGGTACGAAGGGTTCCCTGTCCGATGTTGTTGAGGCGATAACGGGAATCCCCACCTTGTTCCTCCTGGGCATGTCCCATCCCTCTCAGGCCAGCGTCGCTCAGAGAATGTCCTGGGCAGCAAACAGAGTGACGAAACGAACGGAGGACATGGCGTATTGCCTTCTCGGGATCTTTGGCGTGTCGATGCCCATGATCTACGGCGAAGGCAACAGAGCTTTCCGCCGGCTCCAGGAACAAGTCATGAAGGAACTCGGCGACGACTCCATCCTCGCTTGGGGACTTCAACCCGATGGTTCACCGCCTGGAGAACCTGCCAATGGCGCCATCGGAGTTGCGCCCGTCACGACCGGTGCTCTTGCGCCTTCCCCGTCCTTGTTCAGAAACTCGAGCCGAGTTGTCCTGCCGGACGACTCTCGACAGCCCTCATCGCTCGAACTCCACGGCGGCAACTTACGGCTGTCCCTTCCATTACTCACTTCTGAATCGACTCCCGCCCTTGTTTTGCTTCGGTGCGGGCGACAGGACGAAGAAGGCAATTTCCAGCCCATCGGACTGCCATTAGTGCCGGCTCCGGGGGCCGCCGAACACACGTACCTCCGGGCGGGTGATGCCCAAGCAAGTAGTCCAGTCGACCCTATCTCGCCCCCTACTTTGCTACGGATCCAGGTCGATGACAGACGAAACGCATCATCCCAAGCCGGGCTGAAGAAGTTTTGGGTTCACATCCAGAATCCACTCCCTGAACTGGAGCTGATCGACGTTTGGCCACAGTCTTGCTGGCACAAGGAGAGGTCTCTTGTTGAAATGACATCGGATTCTAATGATGGGGCCTATAGCCTACTGCTTCGGTTCCGGCAGGTGGGAGGGGAAACGGACGATTTCATCGCTGCGATCGGCCCCAACGGGGGCGGCATTTGTGGTCTCATGGTTGTGTCGCGGTCAATATTACTGGAAGCTATCTTTCGCGGAGGTCCGACCTGGTTTGACGCCGTCGGCGGCATAACGGCGGCGGACAATTCCTCTCTGTGCCTCGAAGTGAAGCTAGAGTCTGGTAGGTCTTCTACAAGCAAGCAGGGCTTTTCCCTGAGGCTCCATCGGTCAAATTCCACACCTAGCGTCACTGTCAATCCCATCACCAGGATTTTGGCAGGTGAACTCGGCGGATTCCTGGACCATTTGGATCAGGTTGAAGCAGAGCAAACAAGAACGGCAAAAGACCTCGAGCTTCAGCTGAAAGCCACGAATCATGAGCTAGCATCTTCTCTCACGGAAATGAAGCACATCCGTTTGGAAATTGAGCGTCTCAAGGCAAGAGAGCATCAGCTATCCGAAAAGTTAGCCCAGGAACGGCAGTTGCTTGTCCCGCTAGCTGCACAACTCGAAGAGGCAAAGCAGGTCGCTAACCCCACGCATCTTCACCGCGCTCGCATTGCTGAGGTTCTTAACGACTTCACTACCCCGGAGGGCCTCGACGCCGTGGACCAGAGACAACGTACCGAGCAAGTTCGAGAACTCTTCGCGATTGCGATCCAGCAGAGCCACGAAAGTTTCGCGCGCTTTTTACTGGACGTTACGAATCGAGATGTGCTCACCTCGCAACCATTTGTGTTGAACGATGCGGTTCGTCAAGGAAACGAAAAGATGGTGAAGTTTCTTCTCGACAACAGAGCTCCGATCAATCACCTCGATTGCTCAGGGAACGGCCCTCTTCATCTCGCTGCCATGTTCGGGCTCCCAGAAATATGCAAGCTCCTCCTACAAACGGGTGCCTCCAATACCCTACCGAATATAGAAGGCAACTCACCTGCGGGCTTAGCTATCCTGCATGGAGATAGCGAGCTGGCACGCCTGCTGGGGGCCATGCCCCCCCCTCCTGGAATGGGGAGATCTAGACAAGTTCCCTTACCGACTCCCACATCGGCGTTCCTGCTGAGTTGGGCAAGTCCTCACGCGTCGCATAAATGTCCGGAGGCAAACATTCCATCGAACGACTGGTATCTGGATTCTATTCAATAGGATACGAACTCTTTTTTTTCCAGCCTCTCCGTCTTACCGGTTCTAGGGCCATGGAGCAATCCTCACCAATACACTCTGAATATGGGGGAGCATCTTGTTTGGCCGGGTCTTGCTTGGGATGTGGGGACTGAGAGCAATTCGGGATAGGGAACTTTGCCAACCCGGTTTAAACGTGACCTGGTGGACGTGTAAGGTAAACAAAAGGGGCAAGGAGCGGACCTCAAATGTCCCCTGCCACGCGCGTCCGCCGTCGGATGAACATGTGCACAGGCCTATCTTATGTAGCATTTTTAGCAATTCAAGAATAATTGTTTCCTCGTTCAAATATCCATGCCGGTCTGTGAGACTGAAAGAATGCCTGCGGAGAAGGCGTTGCCCCGGAAACGAGGACCCACAACGTCACTTGAGGTCCTGGTAACCCCTGAAACTCCCAAAGAAGACCCGAAATATTCGTACTTGGACGAGGATATGAATGACATCCAACACACACTGTTAGTTTTTGCTTGCTCTGTTACAACTTGCATACTCTTTCCGCTCCCCCAAGCGTCCCAGACACGATCACATCTTAACTTCATCTAGCACCTGCACAAACCGGTCATAGTACCATTCCGACCACCACGCCGCTTCCTCGCCTTGTCCCGCCACCTCTGACGCCCAACAGCTGATTGATCCAATGTGGTAATGGCCAATTCTCCTACACTGAACGTTGTGCCGAGCTATTTGTTAATGAAGCGACTTCTGCGTGTGTCTAGATCGGGGTCATTGGCTCTCCAAATTGACGGTCCAACTGCGGTCTTGGGACCGTGGAGGTAGGTCGGCGAGTTCGAACGCGGATTTTGCCATTGTGGCGAGGGAAGGAACTTTCTCTCGACATTAGGTACATCGTTTCACAGCTAAGGTCTCGCCCACGGTCCAAAGTCCAGACGGTTCGTATTCCCCGAGCGTTCTAGGCTTCTATCCCTTTCTTCAGGTTCCCAAATCCCAGTCCGTAATCCCACCCAAATTCCCATCTTACCTGGTGGACTTAATCCGTTCCTGTAACTATGCAAGTACCCTCCAGACTTGGTGAGCCTCATATCTCCGAAGTTCGCAACCCTCTCAGTGCGCAAACCTGAAATCCAACCTCCGACTGCCAGTCAACTTTGTGTTTTTTACATAGTCTCGCCTCTCTTGGTCCGTCATGGCGTTCCAGACGCGATCGCGCTGCTTGTTGCGCCAGACATAATAGAATTTCGCGAACAAAAAGGCGCCAACGACAATAAAGTTGATGATCACCAAGTTCTGGTTACCGGTTTTGTATAGCGGCTTATCGCTTTCCACATAGACGTTGGCGGAGATGACACTGCCTGCTTGAACGGCCATCTGGGGATAGTCAGTACGCTTTTTACCCGGGCACTTCTGGGTCCAGGGCTGGTGCACTCACGTTGTACAAAGCAGCTGATACCGAGCGCACGCCAACATTGTTCGAGTTTCTCGACGTCCATCCCACAATAATAGCGTCTTTTGTGTCTCGAATTAGCTTTCAAAGTCCCTCCAAGCGGTAAGACGGAAATCTAATTAACTTACGGGCATAGGGATACGATGCCAGCACCGTGACAAGGGCGTAAGTCCCCCATTGGTTGACAACAACGCCTGGCCACCATCGAAGGGCGATTAGGCACGGTAAGGTCCAAAGTGGCTGAATCAGCGCCACAAACGCGCGCTCGTTGAGCTTGTCGGACAGTTTCGTAAGGAGGAGGAGATTAAAAATATGAAAGATATCCTAAGCGGGGGTGAGCGACTACCTAATCAAGGGGGGAAGAAAAAGAGGATGATACCAACCTTTGGGATGGTCAGAAGATTTGTGGCGAACGGGCTGAACCCCAGGTTTCTCAGAGTCAACGTCAGATAAGTCACAGGCGGGTTCGACGGGATGAACTCGATCAGGCCAATGATGTACAACGGCCAGAGATCATAGTCCCTAAGCGCGTCCCATAACCGCTTAAATGTGATAGCCTGGCGGTTGTGCATGTCTCCCTTGGACGGATCATCCCGCAACACGCGGTTCACCACAATCCCGACCTCACGGTCGTTAAACCAACCCTTGGGGCGGAACCACGTTTTCGTCTGGACGGCCGAGGCGGGCATCAGGAAAAAGCTCATAAGTCCGACGACGAGCGTGATGAGCCCCTCGACCAGGAAGAGCCAACGCCAACCGCCCCAGCCGTTGACACCGCGGAGGTGAAGGAGGGCAAAGGCGAGGAGCGATGTGGCGATGCCGGTGACAGACAGGGAGGTCCAGAAGAAACTGAGGCGGATGGGCAACTCGCGGGCGGTGTAAAAGTAGGATAGCCACAGGACGATATCGGGGATGAAGCCACCCTGGTGAGCGAGACAGACTTGATGTTAGTAACCACAATCCACAAACGGAGGGTAGATAGTAAAAGACGGTAACTAATCATTCCCCTCACGTACCTCGAGCACCCCTAGAAGAACACGGGTACAAAGAAAGCTGGTCCTCCCGGTGAGAGCGCACTGTGCCGTAGCAACGATGGACCACAACACCATTTGGATGGGGATCCAGCGGTCCGGGCCAATCTTTTTCGATACCAGTTGCGAGGGAAGTTCGGCCACGAGAAATGCTAATCGGAAAACGCTGTTGCCATAGTTATAATCTGCGATGGGAATTAGCGTCTACTACTCCTTTCTAATTGCTCCTTACGTCAATCAGGTCCTCTCACCATCGGTATTAAGGCCTAGATCGTCCAACATGTTGTCTGACACGGCCTGTGCTAGATTTCCACGGTCTACTTGGAGGGCGAAGAACATAACACACTGGAACAGTGGAGTCAAGCACTCCATGTTAGTGATGTCCCAGATAAATGAAAGAAACAGGCCTCTCCTAGCGACCCAGTATTTCAGCAGGAAGAAGGGAGAAGAGAAGAAGAACACTTACAGCCCACAAACACACCCGCCAATCCAACTTCCTCACAATCTGCTTCTCCTCCTCCTCCGTCCACGTCAAGGTCGGATCATACACATGTCGACACTCATACTGCGATTTCTCGTACACCTGGCGCCAATGCTCGGCCGCAGCCGGGTCGGCAAAGGGGTTCTTCTTTTCGGTGTTATACGGGTCGTCGGTACCGTCCCCGCCGCCGCTGTCGCCGTCGGAGCCGGACTGTAGGTCACTAACCGAGACCACGGCGCCGTAGCTCTTGCTGTGGGTGGGGTCGTCGGGCTTGAGCTCGGAGCTGCTAGTGGCTCCGGTGATGGCGGCTTCTTTGGTCATGATGATGACGAGATAATGGACAGGAACTGGGAATTTTGGCAGAAATAGAAAGAACAGGTGATTACCCTGACCAGAGGAGAGCGGGATGAAGCAATGGTGCCGTTGACCTGCGGGCCGGCCATTGGAGTGACACAAGCCAAAGAGAGGGTGTGTTTAATCTATGTGAGGAGGTTGACTCGGTCGGGAGGGTGTTCGGCATGTCTTATAACGGCTTGATTTTCAAACGCTTTCCCCCCTCGAGATCCCCCACCCCCAAGCCCTCGACACGAACCACAGCGATGGAACCATTCTTTCCTGCTTTTCGACTATTCATAGCGTATAGGTCGCTTTCGCATGCGCGCGGACTCGCGGAGAAACGCTCACCACCACGCTAAGGCCCCCGGTCATGGATTTCATCATCCAAAAGTCCACAGGAATAGCACACTAAACGAACCCCCCACTTCCTAAGTCGCCATACGAAAAGAATCAACCCCTCTGTTCTCCGGCCAAATCTTTGGTTTTGGTGTCTCCACACACCCTGTCCTATATGATTTCTTCATGAGGTCTCGATATGGCGTGCTGCCTGCAGCCAACCCGGCAAAGACGGGTTGCGGCAATGGGGCGGTTTTTGGAGAGCTTCCCAAACGATTTCGCCCAATCGCAGCCTGTCAACCACCCCCCAAAATGTAAGGAAACAGAAAACGCGACGCCCAGGTCGACCTGACGCCATCGCAGTCTTAACTTGGCTATTTTCTTGGCCAACATCCCGAAACACAACTCCCCGCAGGTGATCAGAGGTTATCAACGCTAAAAAGGTATTGAGAACGTGGAGGCCCAATACCGGCCCCCGGGGGTAATTATTTTATCATTCAATTAACCACCCCCCCTGACGCTTATGAATGATGAAGAAGTGTGAAAAGCGTGGGGGTGGGATCTTCTTTCGAAGTTCGAACCTGCCGTGCAGCTTTTGCTATGGACCCGGGGAGTGCACCTGGGTATCACAAGATCCTTGCGCCAACGACATCCACGAGCACGTTGTGGCGACTGGCGAGTTGTGCGGGGCCGGTTACCGAGTCGGCGGTCGCCAACGGACTGAACCTCCGGGCGAGTACTAATTATGGAGGTAGGTAACGAGGAATATGTTTGTGAAAGTAGCCACCGCTTCTGGGATCCAGCTGCCAATACTTGTTCTTCAGCCTTGTGGATTCCCGTAGGGGTGCCGACGGTGACGAGGCTTTTCGTTTCGGGGGCTTTGTACGGGGAACGTGGTCTTGTGCAGATGGGAACGGCGTCGACGAAGAGACGGAGCTTGACCCCTTGGGTGGTTGAGAAAACGTCGCGGGGGTGGGTAGCTCGACCACCTCGTGGCCAACTTCGTCTTCGTCCACGTTCGTCGCCCGGGAAGTGCCTCCTGGAAGGGGCAATGGAGGTCCTTCGACGGTGGGGTGGATGTCATCGCGATGCCGCTTCCAGTGCTCCTTTAGCTCGTCCCTCAGGGCGCACGACTGTTTAAATGCATGATCCTGTTCATTCCTGAGTCTTCTTCGGCCTTCGTTGTGTGCTTCGAGGGACTCTACAAGGTTTATCGACGAAATGGGATACTGGTGGTATTTGAGCGTCTTGTCCTCCGCCTCAGCAGCATAGTGTGCATAGAAGTTGAGAATGGTTCCGTTTGTCGTGAAAGTTGTGACCGCTGCATGGCCCGGGGGGTCAGATTTTCCGAGATAGGCAAGGGCCTTGTTCCGGGCGTAGACGAGGGCGGCCCCGTCGTAGCGCGCCTGCAGCTCCGCTTCGTCCATATCCTTTCCGCGTCCCTTCCACTCCCCGGCTAGATGTGGCAGGGTCACGGAAAAGGGGTTGTCCTTGTAGAGAACGGCCCCGTCGACATCCTCCTCAACTGGAAACGGGTCAAATCCGTGCATCTCTAGACCTTCGACAAAGTCGGGCTGTGGAGCAGACAGGCCATTGTTGAAGCCAACATCCTCCGGAAAGCCGGTGAATGGCTGGTTGAGGGCTCGTTGATAACCCTTGCCGTCGTACTCCTTCAGCAGCTTCGGGCCCACTTCAAAGACCATGGTTGCTTCGTTTGAGGCTTTTACAATTCTGTCCACCAAGGCGTTATACGCTAGCTCGGTGGCCGGAGGCGTCTCGCGAGATCCAGCCTGTCGCTCGCGGATTTCATTGTAGTTTGTGGGAGGTTTAGAGATGATGGAGGGGAGCATCCCATTCCTATAGGTCTTGATAGCAAAGCCAGATGTCGTTGCCGAGGTCGTCCTCGTTGAGGTAGTATTTGCTGTTAACGACTGGACTGTGGATTTGGGGACAGGCACCGGCGTATTGGTCCCCTTCTTCCTCGCCATTTTGTTGAATTGAGCCAAGTTCTTCCGCGTCAACGGTGCCCGCTTTAGCTGGTGTTCATCGTCGTCGCCGCCGCCGATAAGCGACTGCGTGGCCGGAGAGACCTGCTCTTGTTCCCCGACCTTGGGAGGCTTGTGCTGTTGTGTATTCGCCCGAGTCAATCCGGCTCCCTTTGATGCTAACAGCTCGCTCGCAACACCTGCTTCGATCTGCGGTCCGTGGGGAGGCACTGATGGTGCAATGCGAACAGGGTCTTCAATTCCCGCAGAGGCCTGTTGTGATTCAAGCCTTGCACTACGCCTCAAGGGTCCTGTATCTGACGTCTTAGTATGTTTATTTCGTCTTGTAGGCGTAACAGGATGTTCACCTGGTTGTGGATCCGTTCGCGCCAACCGCGTTCTCTTCGCAGGCAACGACTCACTCGCAGTGGCAGCGTCAAGCCACCGTTTCCTGGGCTGCGAGGCCATCGTGTGTTGCGCGAGATCTACGTTCACTGGAGATTGTTCGGGATGGCTCGGTGGAGGCTCTTTCCCTGACGAGTCAACATGTCTGCGGAGGAAAGGGCATTTGATGCATACCTGTATTTTTGCTCCTGGTAGCGCCCAGCAGCTTCTCTCGGGAGGCCGTGGATGGGTTCAGACCAGAGCGCCGGGCCTGCGACTTTCGAATTCCACCTCCCATAATGAGAGGCGTGCTAGTGTGTGAAAGAGGGGTGGATTTTGTATCAGAGCTGAAGTTTGGGAGGGGTCAGTTTTCTGGCGGTCGTGTGTGAAGAGCCGCAAAGTTGTCAGAAGCAGTCGCAGAGATTTTGCTTTGATCGCCGCGAAAGTGCAGCAGGACGTGAGGGCGGCTAAAATGATTGGTCGTCCGGTATCCCGTGATTTTATTTTTGCCAGCGAAGCTAGAGAAAAACGGATCTCGTTATTCTTGTAGACGGGCAACATTATCTATTTTCCAGATACAAACAAGGACCTAGATAAGAGAAGAAAAGTAACACGCCTCTCCACAAATGTTAGGCAAGAGCCTTCCTACTTATACCTCATAGGGTGATGACATCGATATTCAGTCATGAGGTTCAGCCAGCTAGGTGGGGTGACTCGCCCAATCTGGCTGCGGAGTTGGCATCTCGAGATTGTATTTGCTGGGGACCCGAGACCCCGAGGGGGAACTAGAGCGAATGACGGGAAGGAATTAAGGGTTTAGGGAACTGCCCCGGGCCGGGAAAAGGTAGCACAAACTTGTGAAAGGGAGTCGTGACCCGATCGGTTATGAACTCCCATTATCGCGCAGTGGCTGCTGAAATCTGCCGAGCCGTACAGGTCTAAATACATCTGGTTCGCAGCGTCACCCGCATGAATGCAGCTGGAAGCTTGACCCATGATACAACCCTTCCACGGGCGTTTTGTGAGTTACCTTTAGCGAACCTCGCAGGGATGCTTGTCCATGGATTGATATGTTTACATAGCTGCCCCAATACCGTTCCAATGTGCTAAACCGTTTATGCGTCGAGACCAGCAGCTTCATGTATCTGAAAAAGCACCCAGAAGACACGCCACTAGCCTAGGCGTTAACCTCCAACGCCACCACTAGCCATCCAATCATCAGACAATAGTCGATGTTCTGTTTTCACACCGCTTTGAACTTGATCAGAACTCAGACCGTTCTGCAACTCAGGGGAACCAGCTGCGTGGCTCAAGTGGCTCCTGGCCAATGAGAAACACATTCGTAAGGGAAGACGTTTGTCAGCGTGGCCGAGCCTCGAGAAAGGACTCCATGCATCGATGCGGCAGCTCTTCTGCCGATCATTGAGTGCTAATCGAGAACAGCCCCACGAGATAAGATCCTGCTACCTAAGGGCTATGTCCCGATTTTGGAGCCAACCTCTCCCCGAGGAAGGTCGCACGACCGAGGCCATATCTGTCGGTACGCAATGAACCCCTGCTTCTTGACGTGTCCTCAATGAGAGGATGGCCTGGTGGTTCCAGCTGTCTCGAGGTAGACGTGAGCCCCCGGGGTTCGTCTCACGTGGCGTGGGGTAGCTGCTGTGGGGGGGAGGGGGGGGGGGGGGGGAGGGGGGGCATTCCGCAGAGTGCTTTTTGGGTCATGTTCGGTAATTAGATAGCTAGAGGTAGGCTGTAGCTCGAGGCGGGCGTTCAGGTCCTCCACGATGTCAACCCTGTCCAGCCTCCCCTCGCGGTTGCCACAGAATGATTCACTGTGTTCTCCCTCCGTCCTAGAAAGTATAAGTGGCGCTGGCGAAATCTTCTGGTCCACCATCTGAATTGGTTCGCAGAGCCACCCGCATGAGCTGCAGTGCCCCTCGCAACGACGCGTCAGGCGAGCTGACCGAAACGACAGCTCACCTCAGCGACTCGGAAGAGCTGGGCAAAGGGCAGACCAAGCCATGGTGTCTCGTCTCATGTACAAGAACAACTCAAAGGGTTGGGTACCTGTGACGAGGGCTCTTTCAGGGAGGGCTCGTATCAAGGATCAAAGATATGGACATAATAATCTTCTTTGGCCTCAAGGTCCTTGGTGCCTGTTACGGAACAGCTCTTGAGAATTGCTGGAGGCCTCCGCTCTCAACGCCACGCTCGGACCTTGACGGGAGCACCGTCAAGCGGGGGCAGAGTAAGACCACGCGTCTCCCAGGGGCGAGGGGACCTATACTACCGAACTAGCACTGCAATGTGAGCATGGTGATAGTTGTAGATTCAGGTACCCTCTCCAAGTTCGAGGTTGCCCGAGCCTTGGAGAGGAGACTATATACTACTACTATGCACGTGAGTGAGCACATGGATCGAGGGCCTTCGAGAGCCGAGCCCGAGGCTTGGGCACCAAGATCCAAGGTGCCGTGCAACAATGCCCCTCAACCTTCGAGTTAGGTATGACCGTGTTCCATTTAACCAAAGACTGACCTCTGTCTAGTTGAGGCCACCTGGTTAGTTAGCGATCTATTTATCTAATACCTATTTACCTTACTCTAGCTATTATTGACCTTTCTCAGCTTCTAGATATAGGATAGGAATATTATAGGCGTTTACCATTGGTGCCTGCTCTATGTATAAGATATCTATATCTTACATCTATATCTTATATCTGAGTTATATACCTCCGATACTTGTCAGGGCGTGCTAAGCCAACCTGGATCCCTCAGAGGGTGATCCGATCCCACGGTCACTGTGTGACAAGTATATAGTTGATTGCTACATTCTGGGCGGCTAGGGCTATATGGCCGGGTTGTAAGAGATGAAACTTAGCAAGGGAGCCCCATTCTTAGCTCGAGCCATTGTAGAGAAGGGGGGAGTGTGACTTCTAGTCACGAAACTGAGATGGTTACCATGTGAATAACCAGACGGGGGGGTTAGGGACTGCGTATAGCTTGAACAGCTTTGATTAAGAGCTCGAGGGCTGTCTGAAATTGGCTTCTGCTAGTTTTCTCCACCGTCTCGCCTGTCACGCGCTATCTGCAGTTCATGGACGCGTCTCCCATTTAGTTAAGCATCTACTGTTAACTTTTATCCCTCTCTCCTCTTATCTCAGGAGCTCAGACCAGCTATCGGCAGTGGGGCGCTCAATGTCACTCGGCGCCCCACCCAGATTTCGACTAATCAGAGGTCGTACCTGCCACTGCTAGATGCTGGTCTGAGGACGTTCTGAACATTTTCGGGATTTCTGTCATTAAGTATTATATTATAAGCCGGCATTGCGTTGTAAGGAGGGCTCCAAACAACCGTCGAATCGTACATAGGCATCGCATTGCAAGGAGGGCATCAAACTACCTAGGGCTTTGAACTGCTCAGGGCTCTAACCGACTATCGAATCGCGCGCGGGCAAAGCGGCGGGAGGGTCGGGTAGTCGTCCGGGTGCGGGATGTAGCCGGCGGCGGCGTCTTCGTCGTGCTCGTCTCGCGGGCGGTCGTTGCGGCTTCGCCGCCGAAGGGCTTGAGAGAGCCTCGCCCACAACGCAGTGGCTTTAGCAAGCATAATGCTCGCAAAGTGAACGCACTCTCTGACACTTTTTGGAGTTCAAGTCTCTAGATGCAGCTGCTCTTGTTTGCCGGGTGTAGGTGGACGATCAGATGGGTTGCAAGGTCCTAATTAGGATTTGATTGATCTGGGGGGCTCACAAATGCGATGAGGCGGGGAGGGCATTGACTACCTGAGGTACTGTACAGAATACCGTACTGTACTACATTAGGTAATGTGGGTTGACTGTTGAGACCTGATGGCAATGGTCACGACTTGAAGCCATCACATTGACAATCCGAAAGTTCCTAAGCTGGTAGGTACCTAGATATGCCACGAGTGAAAAGGCACAGTGCATCAAAGGTGCCCATAGTCTCTTATATAATTAACCCTAACGTTGGCCAGTGGAAATCCAAAGCACAGTTGCCCCATTCCCGGTTTCAGGTTCACTGTGCCGAATGTTTATAGATAGATAGGTAGGTACCTGATAGAGCTCCTCGACAACCTCTTTAAGCAAGACCGAGTGTTGTGAATCGATTTCTTTTTTCGACCAATTACTCGCCGTACCAACTCTAATCTTCGACTGAATCATTTCGGAATTGACTAGAAACGCCGAAAAAACAAAGTCAAATTAAAGTAAGGTACCTCTTAATCAAACAAAGCTAGTTAATGGCATCAGATCTTGATATACATCTCTGCTAATTAGATTTCAAGCTCTAAATGCTAGAAGTCTTCCTATCTTAGTTCGTAAGCCAGCTAGTTAATAAATTTAATAGATAATTAGCCAAAGCAGATCAAATATAAACTATAATACTGAAGAATTAAATAAAAGGAATAGCTCAATCAGGCTTTCTTTAAACTACTCTACTTATATCCCTTTTACTCTAATAGCTATTACCTTTATATTTCTAAATCTAAGCTCTTTCCTTCTATGTCAGGGAGCACAAAGACATCGGCCTAGAGGCAAGGCCTGAGCAAAGGCACACCTGAGGGCCAGAACGAAGGGCCTTGCAAGGAAGACTGAGCAAGGGCACGTAGAAGGACCAAAGCGAAGGCACAGCGACATCATTGCGCGAAAGCCTGAGCGCAGGAGGGCCAGGACAGAGGCATTACGAGGAAGCCTGAACGTAAGAGGGCCAGGGCGAAGGCATCACGAGGAAGCCTAAACGCAAGAGGGCTAGGGCGAAGGCATTACGAGGAAGCCTGAGCGTAGGAAGGCCGGGGCGAAAGTAGTACGTTATCATTGCGGAAGTAGAGGGCAAGGCGAGAGGAAGGAAAAGTATAAGTAGGAGCGCCTCGTCCCCGAGAAAGAAGGTTAGAAGGTTCAGAGTTCAATTCCATCACCGTATTGACCTCAAGATACTACTGCGAATCCACTGTGACTTCCTTGTACTCTCCTCACTCTTAGTATCAACCCCTGAGTCTCCCCTGATTCTCACATTCTATAACTTATCTAGGATTATCTAAGGAATAGTTAAACGTCTAGATCTAGGATTATT